TATACTTTTTATTAATGTTTTCTCCTACAACATCAGAGTGCAGCGCCACATTAAATACGCACTACATTGACAATAGTTTAAAGCGATGTGAAGCATGTTTTATTTTCAAAATGGAAATATGGTTTTGGGGGTTGGGGGCAGAGCTTTGTGACGTCATATTTGAGGAGGGGGGGGGTCTGACTCTTTGTGACGTCGTGTGACGAGGGGGGGGGGGGGGTCAAAAATCGTCCAAAATCGCGTGACGTCATTTATGGACGGCCCCTTTTTGAGATCTTCCGACTCTCGACGGGAGCGGTGTAAGGAATGATGTCGTCTTGCGAGACAGACCCCACGAACAGCGAGTCGGGGGCAGTGAGCGAGTCGGTGAGAGCGAGTCGGTGAGAGCGAGGTCACGGGCGCTGGGTGTGGGTGTTCTCTCTCGGCGTCCAGTTCCACTCGCAGTGGCTCTTTATTCAAACTTGGCGGCCTCCGCTACTGAGGTTGCTTTGCCGCCGTCGGCGGAGGCGGTGGCTGAAGATGCCGTCCGAGATCTTGGGCTTCGCGGAACGCGTGCGCGTCGATTTTGGTATCGCTCTGGGCGGGCTCCATCGGCCTTTGGGGTAACGTTTTGTTTTACGCTCATCTACTGTTGTTTGTAGAGAAAGATAAAGTTCAATAAAAAACGTTTTTTGATCGATCTCGGGTTGTTAATTTCCACGCGTCCCCTTTGTGTCTCTGCAATCGCAATGCCGAGCATCTCTGGGGGACATGAACCCGGCCACGTGTTTCGTGTCAACGGCATTTGGAATAACAGAGACAAAGATCACCCGTGTAGCCTTAACAGGCTGTTGGGGCAAGTGCTGTTAGCGAGTAGCAGCTACGAAGGACGGAACGGCACACGAGTGGGTGGTTGGCCCGGCCGCCTTTGCCTCTCCAGTGGCGATGTTTACACACCGCTACACCAGGTACTCGTTTGAGGCTGAGTCAATCTGGGGGAGGCCCAGGACTGGTTCAGACAATCGTCACTGGGTGTTGGCCGCCATGAGTGGAAATCGAACTTGGGCCGCCGGGTTCGTAGTGCAGCTACGCTAACCGCTCCACCACCGCTCCCCACCATCGGAAACAACCGGATCCATTGTGGGACGTGAAGGCGGCCTTCTCGTTGACACCGAGAGCTTTGTCACCCCGAGACGTGGAGACAATTGTCTGGGTGGCAGTGACAATGCTCCACGCTGCAGGGCTGCGGACGTGACCAGGATGTGGACTGCAAATAGTTGATGGAATTGAATTGAATGAAACATTTGTTTTCTTTTCGTTGGGTTTCCACACGCGTGTTGACCAGGCGGCATTCTTGTCCAGAGGCATGCAAACTTTGGGTAGGCGTTGATGCTCGGGTGAGGTTTTCACGCAAATACACATCTGGTGAGCGAGCATTGGGGTGGTGAGCGGTGGTGTGGTTCCTGCACCTATCAGACGTTTTATAAAAGACTAGCATAAGTACCCGGCATTGCCCGGGTGAAAAATATATTTCTTAATAACCTTACATATATACACAGATGGGCTGCTACCCCTGCCCCCCCCCCCCCAGCCACGATCTCCTCGGCCGCTGTGCAGTAATATGTACGGCCTATAGTGTGGTGGGGTGTCGAGGCCTAGTACCGTGCAGAGCCTCCGGCCTCGCCTAAATTGCCCACCCGGCTGAGGCTGGGTTTTAAAAATATTTCAAAACTACTGTTAATAATGTAACTGCAGTGCGTACTGACTGTGGTGGTACCTGCTTTCACTGCAACAGTGCATACTGTGGTGGTACCTGCTATGATTACAGCAGTACATGGTGACTCTATAGCAGTATTTATGGACTGTATAGCACAAAGTACTCACCTGTCAGAGTGGCGTGGTGAGGCCTAGTCCCGTGCAGAGCCTCCGGCCTCGCCTAAATTGGCCACCCGGCTGAGGCTGGGTACTGGGGCCGCTACCCCCCCCCCCCCCGCGCTACAATAATACTGTCTAATCGCTATAATTTTATTATCTACCGAGCCTATAATAGTAATTGCACACATTGTGGTGGGGGGGGGGAGTGAAGAGGACGTGAAACTTTGATGAATTTACCTCAGAGTCGCGTGTTAATGCGTGCGCATATTTTTAACGGGAATTCAAAATGGCGTCCACCCCGCAGCGAATGCGTCGTTACCCGTTGCCAGGGGCAACTGCCGTGGAAAACCAAACGGACCAATCGCGTCTCGCAAATCCCTCACATTTCGTCCAATGAAACTGCGTATGGTCCGGCGACACACACACAGACAAACAGACAGACAGATTTGCGATTTTATATATATATAGATATACAAATGTAAACGTTTACAGTGTACCTAATTTTTTTTTTAATGGGGACAATTTCATCCCGTTTGTGAGTAGGGTAAGCCTCGTAAAAGGCAGTGTATATATTTAATCTATCTTGATTTTACAAATAACTTTTACTAAAATTATTAACATTTATATCATTAAAACATACGCTGGAAATTGAGGCTCAATGTTGTACATTACAGTACCACAACACAATATTAGTGTGCTATTTCAAAAATAAATAATACGCCATTATCCCACGGTGTTCACGGTAGCATTTTAATATTCCAAAAGTCAACACGTGCCGCTTGAGTGTGCGAGGTCCACCTCTTCCGACTACTTTTATTATCACTATACACGTTATTTGTTTTTAAATTTATAATTCTGATTTTAATATATTTAGTTTAGACATCTTCGTTAAAAAAAACATTTGGCAAAAATCGAATTGCATTCAAATGCGCGTGCACATTAAATGATGATTTTGACTTGATGTCTACAATTCGGTTATAAATTGTTAACATTGGACGCGTGACGAGATTTCCATTGAATCCCATCCGCTATCAACCCACCAATGGATCAAAGCTTCCCCACGGCGTGGGTTGGTGATAGGTGATGGGGATGCGGTAGCAGGACCGGTTCTGATAAAACTCGCCACTGAACTTACCCATGGCTGGTAATCAAAACTTGGGTGACGGAGTATCATAGCGCAGCAAGCGAAACCACTACCACTGCTCCACCCCATACTTTCATCTTTGCTCACTTACTGGAATCAATTAACAGCAAGAGAAAAGTTAAAGAGAGATGCGTGCCTCACTAACTTACCCACCCAGCCAGCCACTGTCCACACCGCAGGTCACAACACATTACAGGTCACTTCTCTCTCATCTTCTGTTATCACACTGCTCCGACTTTGGACCCCCCCCCGCCCACCGTCGTCTCTCGTGCCGTGGTTGAGTGGACCATGGTCCCCTTACTGGGCAACTGTGTGCACTGTGGGGGCCGTTGGCCCCCAGGGTCTCCCCCGCCTGCATCTCCGGGCTCGTTTGCGTTACCGCACCGCCCTAATACCCGCTAGGGTTTCGCCGGCATTCGAACGCGACGCCTCCACTCGCACAGCCCTACGCAGCGCTCCCACGCTGCGAGCGTGCGTACACACAGCACCGCGCGCGTCCACACTTCTCGTCGAAACCACACGAGGCTACGAACAGTTATTAATGATTTATTATCGGCTGCCTACGATTTGCTGTTAAATCAGTGTGGATCGACAAGGCTGACCTACGCTAACGCCCGAGGGTCTATTCCCGGTTTATCTAATTCGATACGCTCTAAGCGGATTTGGATACCCCTTTACCTCTTTACTCACGATTTGATGCGCTCGGCGTTCCGCTGGTCTCCTCGCCGCTCACCTAGACACGTCGCACGGACGTTCGGGTGGCCGAGCTGGAAGTCGTCTCGAGCGCTGACTTTTTGGAGTAAGAGCACGTTTACCTCTCTGCGTCCTCTTTTTATCCCCCATCTACATCAAAGAATGCCGACCCGAGCGCCTTCTCGGCCAATCAGGTCGTCACGCTCGTTCTGCCCAATTCCCGATTGCTCTAACAATGAGCCCGTCCACGCCCGCGGCGCCTTTTGTTATGCCAATCAGCCGCGGCTTCCGTAACAAAGGCTCGCTGTGGGCTGCTTCGCGCCGGCGGTTCCCGAGCACACCGCCACGCCAATTAGCTGCCCCCCCCCCACCTCTGGCTTCCCCTTAGTTCTTGGCAGCGGACCCCTGTCTGCCTTGTCGATACATGTGTGGGGGGTGCGTTTCAACCGCGGTGGCTGGGCAGCCCCCCGCCGTGACCATGCAATCTCAACCCAGGTCACAGTGCCACGGTGCAAAGTAGCATCGGGGGAGGTCGCCCAATTCCCTGGCCGCAGGAAACCGTGAAGATAATCCCTATGAGGGCTTTCGGGTAAAAACCGGCCGGCCAGGTGACCTCCCCTCGGAGGTCTATGGGGGGGGGAAATGCGTGAGGGTGTGTTTATGTGGGGGGTGGTGAGGGGGAAGCGGAGTCGGCCCCGTCGCTTGGTGGTGGCGAGGTCGTAGATGGGGCGCCCGCCGAGCGGCTTCGCGGCGGCGGCATCACGGCACCGTTACCCCCCCCCCCCCCCCGCAGTGCTCACTCGGGCAGAGTTGACGGGCAGCTGCCTCCGAGTGATCAAACTATCCCGGAATTGCGCCCCCCCCCCCCCAAAAAAAAAAAACTGCAGCAGGATTCTAGATTTGAAGCAGGATCTCGGAAGCGAAGCCGGGTTTGAGCCTGGACATTTCTTGCAGGATGGGACGACTGGGCATCTTGCACATCAGGCTGCGTTATCGGCTCCTCCTGCCGGGGCAAGGAGGCGGTGGTGGTGGTGGTGAGAGATAGAGAGAGGGGGCAGTGCAATGGAATCCATTGGGATGCACTTTAAACTGCTCGACTCCCAAACCACACTGACTGTGGTCTAACACCCCCCCCCCCTTCAGAGGCCCTCATTCAGCTGTGGATAGAGACTAACTGGGGGCTGAGTAGTAACGTGTATGCCCATTTCCTCCACACGCGCTCACAACAGGGTATAAAGCTGAACACTGGGACATGCCACACAGCGCTCGACGATGTATTTCAACTGCGGTTTTATTGCTTACAAAACGGCGGATTAAAACACTTGAAGGGTGACCCCCACACACACCCCACCCCCCCCCCCCTTCGGCAAACACCACACGCGTCATTTATGAATACAATCTCAGTGTTAAATAATACACGGATGCTTATGTAAAATACTAAAAAACTGTAAAGTAATTCTTTTAGTACAAATCGTATTTTTGTAAGGGTTACTTTTATCAAAAAATGGGTTTGCATAATTCGGTTTTGAAACACTTTGCGTGGAACCCAGAGAGCCAAACTTCTACCACGTGACTCGCGCCTCTCCCACGTGGAGCTGCTCTAGCGAGTCACGTGACGGTGAACGTCACCCACCACCCCCGGGGGGGAGGAGCTCAATCATCCCCCGGGGGGGGAGGGGGCCTCGACCATCCCCCGGGGGGGGGAGGGGCCTCGACCATCCCCCGGGGGGAGGGGCTCGTGGGTGCTGGAGGGGTTCCTGCTGTCACCACCCAGTTCTCTGCCTCGTTCGCGGGGTCACCCTGCGACCTCCCCCTCCCCCTCCATCCTCGCTCGGGGTCTCGATGTCTACTGGAGGAATCCGATGAGCTGTAAAGCTCTTTGTGTTTCTCAACAAATGTCCAGGTTCGAGAGGAGCCCGCGGGCTGCTGCTGCCACTCCCGCGCCGCGATTCAAAACGACCCAGCGACCCGTTCGTATATGGTGATCAAAACAGTCTCGGGTGTGTTGCGTGTTAATGGGTGTTGCGTGTTAATGGGTGTGTGTTAATGTGTAGTAGTGCGTTGTGTTAATGTTTGTTGTATTAATGTGTATTGGTGTGTTGTGTTAATGTATTGTGTTAATGTGTATTAGTGTGTTGTGTTAATGCGTATTGGTGTGTTGTGTTAATGTGTTGTGTTAATGGTTGTTAATGTGTTGTGTGTTAATGTGTATTAGTGTGTTGTGTTAATGTGCGTTGATGTGTAGTGTTAATGGTTGTGTTAATGTGTAGTGTTAATGTGCGTTACTGTATATTAGTGTGTTGTGTTAATGTGTGTTGTGTGTTAATGTATATTGGTGTGTTAATGTGTTTGTGTATTAGTGTGTTAATGTGTTGTGTATTAATGTGTATTGGTGTGTTAATGTGTCTATGTGTATTAGTGTGTTGTGTTAATGGTTGTGTTAATGTGTATTAGTGTGTTGTGTTAATGTGTTAATGTGTATTAGTGTGTTGTGTTAATGTGTTAATGTGTATTAGTGTGTTGTGTTAATGTGTGTTGTGTGTTAATGCTGGTTTACTAGTGTAGGGAGCGGTGGTGTAGCGGTCAGCGCGACGCTGCGCTACGAACCCGGCGACCCGAGTTCGATTCCCGCTCACCACCAACCCCAGTGACGATTCTCTGAACCGGTCCTGGGCCTCCCCTAGGTCGACTCAGCCTCAATTGAGTACCTAATGCGGTGTGTAAACATCGCCACTGGGGAGACAAAGGCGGCCGGGCGTGGTGCTGGCCACCCACCCCCTCGTGTGCCGTGCCGGCCTTCATGGGTGCTGGCTCACAGCACTTGCCCTACAGTCTGTTAAGGCTACACGGGGGATCTGTGTCACTACAATACTGCGTGTACTTTGCACGCACAATGAAATCTACAATTGCTAAGTCTAAAATTTAAAAAATGCTATGTTTAGTGAATTCATTAAAAACCAGAAGTAGTCTGCCAACTTTTCATCACGTTGAAAAGTGCTTTTCCGTATCATTTCAAATGACCATTATTTAAATAAAAATTAAAACCTCAATTGCATCAGCAGAGTTAGATGCACAGAGCAGTAATTAGCGGAGCGGGAAGCCGTGTGCCACTGGGGCGCCGTTCAACTTGCGGAGCCGGGAGGTGATTGGTGAAATTCCTCGTAAGCTCATCCGCGAGAAAATATTTTTTTTCAAAATTTGGAACACCCGGCATGCAAATGGCCCTGCACCTTTCTTCGTTTGACGTCACGGGACCTCTGCCCCCCACCGAGATGCAAGCGGCGTGAATGCAACGGTCAGCAACACCCGGCGGTCTTAACCAGGGCGGCCTGGCCGCATTCGAACCGCGAACCTCTGAAAGCGACCGCCGGGTTAATCGCGCCGCCCTTTTGGCTACCGGGGAAATCCTAAAAAAAGAGGCCAAACAACGGCGCGGCAGGCACGAGCTTTGCCGAACAGCAGCGAAGGTACCAGGGAGTGCGGTTGCGACTTACGTGTTGTCGGAGCGACATGTAAATAATAATAATAACAATAGAGACGAATAACTTGTTTTTTTTACCCATGGCACCACCAGTGGGTAGGGGAGTAAAGGTCAAGGATAAAATGACTGGGACTAATGAACGGGAATGGGAGAAAAAGATACAGAATGAGGAAATAAGAGAAAGGGAGGGAAAAGGAATGGAAACATGGGGACCACAGGGTCAGGAGAGATGAGGATATACGGAGAGAAAGGCTCCACGGGCAAGGGCCTCAACACTGCACGGGGCAGCGTCTGTTTTCACAGGGGGCGGGGCAGAGAGCGGAGGGATCAACACAGAAGTCGCGTGATTTGCGGGGAGGCTTGAGGTGATGCAGAGAGATGCGTGCCTCAGCAGGCCGGAGTGACCCTCTGCCCAGCTGGCACGGGCCTCCCACACACCCCTCCACCAACATGGGAATGCCGCCCCATGGCTTTTCCTGGCGAATGTTAAGTTTAGCACCCGTCGAGAGACCAGCAGTTAACGCCCTGACATCGCGTAAATAAATCCTCTATGTGGCTAATCGCGTCGTTACGAACGAGACACAAACTCGAGATACACAAACCGTCCGCTTGCGTTAATAGCTGCGCATTGTTAACAAGCCGGCGGGGGGGGGGGGAGAAAACAAATGGCACATTCGGGGGACGCGATCAGAGGGATTCATCAGCCACGACGCGGCGGCGAGAATTCCGCTTCACGTGCGGTTGTGTTGATGCGCAGAGCGCGCGAGGACGGACCCCGTTGTGCGAAAGCCTCAACGACCAACGTTCGATTGGGACGAGCTGCACGGAACACGTTTTAACGGTACCTCGTGTACGCAAAAGCGCCTGCGTAGACTGAAGTTCAGGAGCACCTCTTTTGAACGGAATAAATTAGTGTGCGCGGTTTGGCATCCAACGGACGTGTTCCAGGGGTCACCGTTTGGTAACGCGTGGAGTCACGCTCCGTGCGTGCATCTCCTGCCGTGATGCAATCGAACCATCCGCTAACACCGAAGCCTCTCCCAGACAAGCCAATTGTTCAGGCTAAATCTAAATACATTAATGTGAACCATGCGACCGGTTCAAACACGTGTGGTACAAGAGGCACATTAACGGCACCCACGTTTTTTTTCTTGTAAAAAAGGGGCAACATTTCCGACACTTTGCAGATAGGTCTGAAATTGGCATAAATAACCTTAATTTAACACGAGGGCATTCGTTATGACCAGGTGTTGCTTCACGTCCTTTAGTGTCACCGGTCACAACCATTTTGTTGCCACGAAAACCGTATCCAACGCGTGGGTCCGTTGGGCACGGTCCGCTCTCTAAACATCTCCGTCTCTTTAAACATCGCTCGCTGGGACTCGTCTTTACATTCCCGTTGTGCGCGGTGCGCGTCACACGCCGAGGACGCTTCCGTTGAGAGCTTCCCGCGCAAGCGGCGGCCGCGACATCACGACGTGCCGCGCCGAGCGGCTCCGTGGAATCCGACGTCGCGAAAGCGCTCGTCAATTCTCTTCCAACGGCAGGTGCCGACGGCGGTGGCGGCGGCGGAGCGTCTCATTCGCGCCGGAGAGTGTTCGTCGCATGGCAGTTGAAGCCGAATTGGTGGCCTTCACGGGTGGAATACGCCGATTTAAGCGACGACTCGCATACAGTCATTGGTGACCAGGCCGAAACCATCAACTGGCTACGTTTGAGAACCCGGTTCCATCATGGGAGGATGAAATCCAGATTCAATTCCAAGATCTCAGCAGTGACATGACAGTAGCTCTATGAGCAATGCGGCCAACTTTTCACCACCGTCCATGTGGGGAGGGTGGACGAGTGGGGTTGGGGGTGAGGGTGTGGACAGAGAGAGTGTCGCAGCGATCACTCAGAACCTGCATCGCTCCCAAACGGTGTCTGCCTTCGAACGAAGCACGTTCAGAGCTACGTCCGTTAATTAAAGTTAGTTACACGTTGCTTGCGTCTCTATCAACTGGCCATTTAGCTCTCTAACACGCATTTTGTTTCGGTGTGCTAAACACACCGGTTCAACAGAGTCCCTGAACAAGCTCCCCATCACATGGAGCGACACGTCGGACATCGTGCTGAAACGAGACGGAGCGGTACAACGCAAAGGACACAGCGGAGAGCCACATAGCACCACCGCCACCGCACAACCACCACGAAAACCTTCGCAAACACGTTAACAAGCTGCCAAGTGTAAACACAGCTACCAAAATCCACAATAAACTCATCCAACGACAGCAGACGACTTGCTCCAATTGAGAGTTCGTGTATCTGAAACCTGTGGCAGCCGTGCAATTTACCCGAGATACTCTGTAAAATTTTCCAACGATTTCCATAATACCCGGCGCGACTCAAATATACCCTTTTTTTGTCTCACTGTGCAATGGAGCTGTGCTGGGATCGGTCCGGGCCAGTTCGTCGCGGCTCAGGAGGTGGCGGGTTTTTTTCTTTTACATTACCGCGGAACCCAAACCGTGGCGTTGACATCGCGCAGAACGAACAAGTCGGGGGTCGCACGGATCCCGAGGAAATAACTCCCGTCCCTGGCCCTGCCTGGCTCCGAGCCGGATTCAGGTGCCTTCACGAGGGCCGAGTCTCAGAGATTGGTGCTCGCTCATCTTATGCTCACTGAAAGCACTCCCCCCCCCTCCGTTTGGCTGCACCTCCGACACGTGCCGTCCCGTTGTTGCCCGTTCCTCTCGACGCAATCGCGCTTTGACTTTCTTGTTCTGCGCCGATGCAGTAGCATATCCCCTTGCAAGCTCGCCGGCAGTAACTGCCGAAATGGGATTTTCCGTGTAACAAATAAACATCGACGCTGAGAGCCGGTGGAAAAAGCACCCACGCCGCCACTAGGGCCCTGCCTTGGACCGGCTTAGAAATGTCATTGGAAAAAGTTCTGAAAGTTAACGGAGCCAAAATATATATATATATTCGTACGTGAACTTAATCTGCATTCCTTCCATATACTTGCGAGTGCAGCCTTTTGTAAAAATTCTCTTTTTTGTTAAATCCGTCACCAGATAGTGTCACTGGCGGTGTAACAGTGTGTGTGCGAATTGCATAGGTAGCTTTAGCTCATTGCTTAACGTGAGCAACGGGCAAAACATTTGGTAAAACTTGAGCAGTAAATATTAATGTCATTGTTTTTATGTGATCATTCAAGTTTCTTTTTGTTTTATATATATATACCAGGGTACTAAGAGAGGTAAACTGTGGATGGAATTATTCCGACTCGGTGAAACGAATTCTTCTAAACTCACCTTCACGTATTTACACGAGATCATTTGTGGCATATACAGGTCTGTACAGGCTGGTGTTGTTCCAAGTGTAAGTATTGCAACCAGTGCACTGGGGGGTGGGGGATGGGTGGGTTAGCGGGCAAGTGCACGCGCGTACACGTGCATTGTACGAGTGTGTAGCACCAGTGAGTGATGTCCACATACGCACACTCAGGTGTGCACGCACGTGAGCGTACGCGAACTGCCGGCCGCGTGTATGGGGATCAGCTCGCTACGTTGGCGGGAAACTGCAATGAGACAAGGCAGATGGGGTTAGAGGTCAGGAAAATAAAAGATGCAAATAAAACATTACAGGCAATGTGTTTCAGCAGATAATAATTTGATGTTGCTGCTGCTGCTGCGTTGACAGTGGTGCACAAACAAATGAAAAAAATATTTTTAAAAATGGTTAATAATTCTGCCAGAGGTCAGGTGACTTGGGGCAACTTTGGCCGACGTGCTGTGAAGGAGACGGGCACTTGCCCCTACATCGCCTCTTACAGGTAGTCCCCGACTTACGACGGAGATGCGTTACGACGACCCCATCGTAAGTCGAAAATATCGTAAGTCGAAAATGGCCTCACCTATCCAGGAGTCTTAAAGATTGGTGATAATTTAGCAAAACAGAGCAATTTACGGTACCGTACTGTATAAACTATATGCGTACAGTACATCCCGGCAGAGTCCCAATGTACAGTATCGTACCTCGTACGCTGCTGCGTTTGCCTGCCGCGCGAAATGTAAAATATTTAACAATTTTGTCATATCGCTATCGCCATCGTAAGATCGAAATATCGCAAGTTGGACCATCGGAAGTCGGGGACGACCTGTATTTATTCTTTCTTTGACGTGGAACGTGTTTTTATGTCTGTGGTGGGCACGTGGTGCGATGCGTGTAAAGGGTGCGTGCAGTGTTTATATGGTTATTGTTCATGTGCATTGTGTTATATTTTCATGGTTTTCAAATTTCATTTGATCAACCAGGTGAACACTCAAGAGAGCAGGATAAGTGTCATTTACATCGAGACACGGATTTTCAAAATTACAAATGCCAAAATAACATGAATACAACTAAGTAGCACCACATTGAAGCAAATAGAAACCTAAGCAACTCAATTTCCAGGAACCAAAGTTGGGAAAAATCTCTTTAAAAAAATAACTTAAAAAAAAATCACTTAAAAAAAACTACTCTAAAAGCCATTCACAGTAAAATCACAAATGCTGTTAGCCGCGGCTGGGGTTTGAATTCGCCGGAGAATGTGCAGCGCAGTGCGCTAACCATCGCACCACCGCTCACGGCACTTTCCCCAAAAGTGTGTAAGAGGGGGGAGGGGGTGGGATCTGTGTCGTCGGTGCCTGGTGAGCGTCGTCACTCACCAGTGTAAAGTGGTCGAACATTGTCCTGAGTTCGTGCGAGCTGTGTTGCTGAATGACGGTGAACGGCTTGAGCTGTGGGCTCACGCGCATGGCGCACGCTCGGCAGTACACGCGGTAGGCACGCGCACCCGGCACGGAGCGCACCGCAAACAGCAGGCTGAACACCTCGATCTGTATCGGCACGGCGAGTGGGGGGGGGGGTGCAGGTGAGACGTCGTCGTCGTCGTCATCAGCGGCGGCAGCAGCAGCATCAACCCACCCCCCCGAAAAACCTTCCAAGCGGTCACAATCTCTCACGAACCTGCGATGTGACGATCCACACGCAGTACGCGTGCACACGAGCCGGATTAAGCGCTCCATCTCCGTGGCGGATGGATTCTCTGCAGTGTTTTATCCCCGCAATACAGAATATCATATCGGTGGCTGTCACAGACATCCCAATGCATATCCAGCATCGCTGAAATGATATCCACTTTGTCAGAAGTCAAACGATGGCTATTGGCGAAAGTGACAAAATAAATGTCCTTTTCGCGCGATCCCTTCAGCTATTTAGAAGCGTATTCCAAATATTTATTAATGTATTCTTTCACACAAAGGTTTTATCAGCAGTCGGGGGCGATGTTGCTGCTATGTAATCCCGAATGAGTGATTATTTGCAGGGTAATTTTTCACGATTGGGATGTTTTTGGCCAACGTTGTCTTAGCTCTGGGAAGAAACCAAGAAAGCTTGGAGGAAACCAATGTAGACAAGGGGGGAGACCATACAAACTGCATGCACACACAGAGCTCGCCCGAGTCGGGATTAGAACCGAGGCTCATCTCGCTGCGAAGCAAAAAGGGTTACCCCCCCCCCACCCCAGCTGGCGACCTCAGCCGCCCAACAACGCAGCACCCAACAATGAGAACTCCCCAGTGGGGAGGGGCGGCACCCAACAATGAGAACTCCCCAGCGGGGAGGGGCGGCACTCAACAATGACAACTCCCCAGCGGGGAGGGGCGGCACTCAACAATGACAACTCCCCAGCGGGGAGGGGCGGCACCCAACAATGAGAACTCCCCAGTGGGGAGGGGCGGCACTCAACAATGAGAACTCCCCAGTGGGGAGGGGCGGCACTCAACAATGAGAACTCCCCAGTGGGGAGGGGCGGCACCCAACAATGACAACTCCCCAGCGGGGAGGGGCGGCACCCAACAATGAGAACTCCCCAGTGGGGAGGGGCGGCACTCAACAATGAGAACTCCCCAGTGGGGAGGGGCGGCACTCAACAATGAGAACTCCCCAGCGGGGAGGGGCGGCACTCAACAATGACAACTCCCCAGCGGGGAGGGGCGGCACTCAACAATGACAACTCCCCAGCGGGGAGGGGCGGCACTCAACAATGACAACTCCCCAGCGGGGAGGGGCGGCACTCAACAATGAGAACTCCCCAGCGGGGAGGGGCGGCACTCAACAATGACAACTCCCCAGCGGGGAGGGGCGGCACTCAACAATGACAACTCCCCAGCGGGGAGGGGCGGCACTCAACAATGACAACTCCCCAGCGGGGAGGGGCGGCACCCAACAATGACAACTCCCCAGCGGGGAGGGGCGGCACCCAACAATGAGAACTCCCCAGCGGGGAGGGGCGGCACTCAACAATGACAACTCCCCAGCGGGGAGGGGCGGCACCCAACAATGAGAACTCCCCAGCGGGGAGGGGCGGCACTCAACAATGAGAACTCCCCAGCGGGGAGGGGCGGCACTCAACAATGACAACTCCCCAGCGGGGAGGGGCGGCACCCAACAATGAGAACTCCCCAGCGGGGAGGGGCGGCACCCAACAATGAGAACTCCCCAGCGGGGAGGGGCGGCACTCAACAATGAGAACTCCCCAGCGGGGAGGGGCGGCACTCAACAATGACAACTCCCCAGCGGGGAGGGGCGGCACTCAACAATGACAACTCCCCAGCGGGGAGGGGCGGCACTCAACAATGACAACTCCCCAGCGGGGAGGGGCGGCACCCAACAATGACAACTCCCCAGCGGGGAGGGGCGGCACTCAACAATGACAACTCCCCAGCGGGGAGGGGCGGCACCCAACAATGACAACTCCCCAGCGGGGAGGGGCGGCACCCAACAATGACAACTCCCCAGCGGGGAGGGGCGGCACTCAACAATGAGAACTCCCCAGCGGGGAGGGGCGGCACTCAACAATGAGAACTCCCCAGCGGGGAGGGGCGGCACCCAACAATGACAACTCCCCAGCGGGGAGGGGCGGCACCCAACAATGACAACTCCCCAGCGGGGAGGGGCGGCACCCAACAATGACAACTCCCCAGCGGGGAGGGGCGGCACTCAACAATGAGAACTCCCCAGCGGGGAGGGGCGGCACCCAACAATGACAACTCCACAGCGGGGAGGGGCGGCACTCAACAATGACAACTCCCCAGCGGGGAGGGGCGGCACCCAACAATGACAACTCCCCAGCGGGGAGGGGCGGCACTCAACAATGACAACTCCCCAGCGGGGAGGGGCGGCACCCAACAATGACAACTCCCCAGCGGGGAGGGGCGGCACCCAACAATGACAACTCCCCAGCGGGGAGGGGCGGCACTCAACAATGACAACTCCCCAGCGGGGAGGGGCGGCACCCAACAATGACAACTCCCCAGCGGGGAGGGGCGGCACTCAACAATGAGAACTCCCCAGCGGGGAGGGGCGGCACCCAACAATGACAACTCCCCAGCGGGGAGGGGCGGCACCCAACAATGAGAACTTCCCAGCGGGGAGGGGCGGCACCCAACAATGAGAACTCCCCAGCGGGGAGGGGCGGCACCCAACAATGAGAACTCCCCAGCGGGGAGGGGCGGCACTCAACAATGAGAACTCCCCAGCGGGGAGGGGCGGCACTCAACAATGACAACTCCCCAGCGGGGAGGGGCGGCACTCAACAATGAGAACTCCCCAGCGGGGAGGGGCGGCACCCAACAATGAGAACTCCCCAGCGGGGAGGGGCGGCACTCAACAATGAGAACTCCCCAGCGGGGAGGGGCGGCACTCAACAATGACAACTCCCCAGCGGGGAGGGGCGGCACTCAACAATGAGAACTCCCCAGCGGGGAGGGGCGGCACCCAACAATGACAACTCCCCAGCGGGGAGGGGCGGCACTCAACAATGAGAACTCCCCAGCGGGGAGGGGCGGCACTCAACAATGACAACTCCCCAGCGGGGAGGGGCGGCACCCAACAATGACAACTCCCCAGCGGGGAGGGGCGGCACCCAACAATGACAACTCCCCAGCGGGGAGGGGCGGCACCCAACAATGAGAACTCCCCAGTGGGGAGGGGCGGCACCCAACAATGACAACTCCCCAGCGGGGAGGGGCGGCACCCAACAATGAGAACTCCCCAGCGGGGAGGGGCGGCACTCAACAATGAGAACTCCCCAGCGGGGAGGGGCGGCACCCAACAATGACAACTCCCCAGCGGGGAGGGGCGGCACCCAACAATGAGAACTCCCCAGCGGGGAGGGGCGGCACCCAACAATGAGAACTCCCCAGCGGGGAGGGGCGGCACCCAACAATGAGAACTCCCCAGCGGGGAGGGGCGGCACTCAACAATGAGAACTCCCCAGCGGGGAGGGGCGGCACTCAACAATGACAACTCCCCAGTGGGGAGGGGCGGCACCCAACAATGAGAACTCCCCAGCGGGGAGGGGCGGCACCCAACAATGAGAACTCCCCAGCGGGGAGGGGCGGCACCCAACAATGAGAACTCCCCAGCGGGGAGGGGCGGCACCCAACAATGAGAACTCCCCAGCGGGGAGGGGCGGCACCCAACAATGAGAACTCCCCAGCGGGGAGGGGCGGCACCCAACAATGAGAACTCCCCAGCGGGGAGGGGCGGCACCCAACAATGAGAACTCCCCAGCGGGGAGGGGCGGCACCCAACAATGAGAACTCCCCAGCGGGGAGGGGCGGCACCCAACAATGACAACTCCCCAGCGAGGAGGGGCAGGCACCCAACAATGAGAACTCCCCAGCGGGGAGGGGCGGCACCCAACAATGAGAACTCCCCAGCGGGGAGGGGCGGCACCCAACAATGAGAACTCCCCAGCGGGGAGGGGCGGCACCCAACAATGAGAACTCCCCAGTGGGGAGGGGCGGCACCCAACAATGACAACTCCCCAGTGGGGAGGGGCGGCACCCAACAATGACAACTCCCCAGTGGGGAGGGGCGGCACCCAACAATGAGAACTCCCCAGTGGGGAGGGGCGGCACCCAACAATGACAACTCCCCAGCGGGGAGGGGCGGCACTCAACAATGACAACTCCCCAGCGGGGAGGGGCGGCACCCAACAATGAGAACTCCCCAGTGGGGAGGGGCGGCACTCAACAATGACAACTCCCCAGCGGGGAGGGGCGGCACTCAACAATGACAACTCCCCAGCGGGGAGGGGCGGCACCCAACAATGAGAACTCCCCAGTGGGGAGGGGCGGCACCCAACAATGAGAACTCCCCAGCGGGGAGGGGCGGCACCCAACAATGAGAACTCCCCAGTGGGGAGGGGCGGCACCCAACAATGAGAACTCCCCAGCGGGGAGGGGCGGCACCCAACAATGACAAGTCCCCAGCGGGGAGGGGCGGCACCCAACAATGAGAACTCCCCAGTGGGGAGGGGCGGCACCCAACAATGACAACTCCCCAGTGGGGAGGGGCGGCACTCAACAATGACAACTCCCCAGTGGGGAGGGGCGGCACCCAACAATGAGAACTCCCCAGTGGGGAGGGACGGCACCCAACAATGACAACTCCCCAGTGGGGAGGGGCGGCACTCGCCTCGCAGTCGTGGCAGTAGTAGACGCTCTCCCCGGGGGCGCGCGGCTGCACGATCGTCCTCTTGCCCAGCTGCTCCAGGATGTTGAGCGTGCAGAACCACTCGCACAGGCTCTGCTGCAGGCAGTACCTACCACCCACAGAGGCAAAGGTCCCGCGTGTCGCCTTAACGAGGCGGTGGGGGCGAGCGACGTTTGTTGGCGAGGAGCGGCACCTATGAAGGCCGCCAACATAGGCGGACGGGGCATGGGTGGCGTGGAAAATCACCACGCCCGGCCACCTTTGTCTCCCCATCGCCCGTGTTTACACACGGCACCGGGTGTTTCATTTAAGGCTGAGTCGACCTAAGAGAGTACACCGGACTGTCTCAGATATTGGCGATTGCCATGAGCGGGAAGCGAACTCGGGTCGCCGCATTGGTAGCAGAGTGCGCAAACTACTGCGCCACCACTCCCCACGCACGTGTGAGGGAAGGGCTGTGTGCGTGTGTGCGTGTGGTCTACTTGCTGCACCGCCTTGCCCTGCGGACGAGCGTCTCAGGTCCATGATTTCTCCGTGATGTTGTGGTCCACCGACCCCCCCACCCGAGTGTTGTTGCTGGATCACAGGCGCATTGTTGACTGGTCACATCCCTATTCCGTGACGAACCCCGCGCAGCCCAGTGCGAGAGAAGTGCAACATACACACGTGTGCAACCTTTTTCTCGCCGTGCGTGCGGCCCCCACCTCATATGCGAGTAGAGCTGAGCGTCCTTCACCCGGATGTTCTGCGCCAGGTTCCAGGAGAGGTGCACCATGGGTACGATGGACTGCACGCGACTCCGGCGGTTCCACTCGTAGCGCTCCACCGCCAGCTGGTACTGGTGGGCTGTGACACGCAGCGAGCGTCAGGCAGGGCCAAGCAGCGTCACAACCAACGAGGCGGTTGCGACACCCATTGCCGATCGCGCCGCGCGTGCGGCAACAGCGCACGGCCGTCGCCCAGCAGCGTGGCTAACCATCGAAAAAATACGGTCACCGCATTGTGTACAGACAGTCCCCGGGTTCGGGACGGGTTCGGTTCCCCAGACCGATCCGTAACCCAAGTTTTACGTATGTCGAAAACTGAACAATTTCCCCCCCAAAATCAAAGATCAATTCCATTGACCTGAATCTTAGTGAGGCTCGATTGAGGCGTAAGGCAGCTGCCTCCCCCCCCCCCTCACGCCTCCTCGCTCCACGCTATTCATCCGCAACCTCACCGCTCTGCGCTACTTGCGCTTGCGTATCTAACGCAAAAAAATCAGCGTGTTGATTTTTTTTACACGATTTATGGGAGCATTTCCGTAAGGTCGGATTACCGTAAGTCTGGTCCCTTCCGCAACCCGGGGACTGTCTGTACTTTCACTTGCACTCCTACAGGTGCCTGCAACGCTCTTACTTCCAATATCACTTGTCAACAAAAAAAAATTCTGGCCTGGACTTTTGCAGCTGCTTTAGACTAATTTCAGAGTGCCGATTCCAAATCTGATCTCAGATTTGCTCTATCACATCTCATTTTTATGCTATCGGCATACCCCATTTTCATTGATTTTACCCGAAATGAACTCTGTCACTTATGATTGCAAGTTGTTGCGAGTCAGTGACTGCTTTAGTGTTAAAATATGGTGCTGTATTTTTAGGATAGTGTGTTTATAATATCATTTTATGTAGATATCCACATTTAGTTAATATTTTTCTTATGCAGTTTTTATTGAAAATGCAATATTTGATATCTCAAAAACCTGATGTGATAGACAAAAACTGATGCCAGATTTGGAATCAGCACCCCAAAATTACCTTTAAACCGTTGGAATACCTTATGCCAGAAAAAGTGTGTTGACCAGTGTAATAGGAAGCCACTAGATAGGTGTAATTTAAAATCTAGTTTAAAAACTAATTTCTTTAGAAGTGCTTTTTTGTGTTAAATTTGTTGTCCTTCCCCCCGTACCTCCAATTAGCACGGTTGGATACGTACTGTGTGAACGAAGTTCAGCATGCATACACGTACATTCCAACCAAGCCACTGCTGGATGAAGGCTCTCCCAAGCCGTGCGCACCATGGGTGTCTTGTTTGGCCATCGACGCCGCACTGGCCAGTGTCGGATGGTGAAGGGAGGGACCCAGGACCGGTGCAGACATCACCTCCCACCGATGTAAGCCGTGGGTGGGAATAGACTACGGCCGCCGGGCTCACAGTGCAGTGCTCTGTACCTCTGTACTGCTGCACTGTGCAGTAACTGTAGTAGCCAGTAGTACAGCAATGTGCACGGATGCCCAATTTATTAAGGGGCGATTTTAGCACGTAAAATAAAGGTTGATTGAGTACTACAGAGTACAGTATCGACTGAGCTATACAGTGGAGTACTAAGCTGGGATTGCCCGGTGTGTGATGCTTCTGTGCCCACCCCACCCACCCTCCCTCCCCCCCATACCACATCTTAGCTTGTCGGAGTTTATATAGCGCCTTAACCAAGGTGCTCACCAAGGCGCAGCCACATTACGTTCCACGGGATGTAGTTGAACCCCCCCCCCCCTCATGGCCCCCCACCCCCCCGTGCCCCCCCCACCCCCCCGTGCCCTGCCCCCCCCGTACCGGTGAGTGGCCCCACGTTCCACGCGATGTTGTTGCACCAGCCCAGCGCTTGCACCCAGTGCACGGTGCCCGGGTTGATCCACACGAGGTCGCCCGGGCGCTGCACGAAGCGGTACAGAGGCACCTGCTCGGCCTCCAGGTGCGCCAGCACCGGCCACCACGAGCCCGTGAGGTAGTTCACTCCTTCCCTGGGGCGGCAGCAACGACGCACGCACGGTCACAAGCACGGTCACACGCACGGTCACACGCACGGTCACACGCACAGTCACACGCACAGTCACACGCACGGTCACATGCACGGTCACACCCACGGTCGCACTACGCTGCAGGTCACACCTCACATCTCTCTCTGCTTCTTCCCATGCACGACTTCACTTTGCAATTCCCTCCCATCGTTTTTCCTCACCCTTTAACTCTTTATCAATCACGCCTTCAACTGTGCTGTTTGTTGGAGCCAGTTGGGCAAAGTCTGGTCTTTGGTTCCTGTGCTCAGCAACCGTGATGCTAGAATGCGAGTAGAGTAGGAAGGTCCGTGTGGGTAAGTCTCGCACAGCGAGCGAGTGAGTCACCCCCCCAGTGATGAGAGAGTGAAAGTAGAGTAGGAAGGTCTACGTGGGTACCTCTCGCACAGCGAGCGAGCGAGTCACCCCCCAGTGATGAGAGAGTGAAAGTGGAGTAGGAAGGTCCGTGTGGGTACCTCTCGCACAGCGAGTGAGTCACCCCCCAGTGATGAGAGAGTAAAAGTCGAGTAGGAAGGTCCGTGTGGGTAAGTCTCGCACAGCGAGTGAGTCACCCCCCAGTGATGAGAGAGTGAAAGTCGAGTAGGAAGGTCCGTGTGGGTAAGTCTCGCACAGCGAGTGAGTCACCCCCCAGTGATGAGAGAGTGAAAGTCGAGTAGGAAGGTCCGTGTGGGTAAGTCTCGCACAGCGAGTGAGTCACCCCCCAGTGATGAGAGAGTGAAAGTCGAGTAGGAAGGTCCGTGTGGGTAAGTCTCGCACAGCGAGTGAGTCACCCCCCAGTGATGAGAGAGTGAAAGTCGAGTAGGAAGATCCGTGTGGGTACCTCTCGCACAGCGAGTGAGTCACCCCCCAGTGATGAGAGAGTAAAAGTCGAGTAGGAAGGTCCGTGTGGGTAAGTCTCGCACAGTGAGCGAGTGAATCACACCCCAGTGATGAGAGAGTGAAAGTAGAGTAGGAAGGTCCGTGTGGGTAAGTCTCGCACAGCGAGCGAGTGAATCACACCCCAGTGATGAGAGAGTGAAAGTAGAGTAGGAAGGTCTATGTGGGTACCTCTCGCACAGCGAGCGAGTGAGTCACCCCCCAGTGATGAGAGAGTGAAAGTAGAGTAGGAAGATCCGTGTGGGTACCTCTCGCACAGCGAGTGAATCACCCCCCAGTGCTCTTCGGGGACACAAAACCACTCGCATTCGCCGGGGCCGATGTTGATGTTGACCGAGCAGAAGTTGTTGTTCTCCTGGTGCCCTGAGGAAAAGCAGGCACGCACACGCAGAACACACGCCGCACACACGTGTACACACACACGTCTCGGACAAGAAGACAAAGATGCCCCCCGTATAGTCTCAACAGACTTTTGGGGAAAGTGCTGCTAGTGAGTAGCACCTACGAAAACCCGCAGGGCACACGAGGGGGGTGGGTGGCCAGCACCACGCCCGGCCGCCTTTGTCTCCCCAGTGGCGATGTTTACTACACACCGCACCCAGGTACTCATTTGAGGCCGAGTCGACCGAGGGGAGGCCCGGGACCGGTTCAGATAATCGTCACTGGTGTCGATGGACGTGAGCGGGAATAGAATACATACACAGACACTCGAACCCATGGTAAATTCACCACAGGATCACGATGCAAATGAATGCACGAATGAAAGTACGGCATTGCTCATCACCTACGTTTTGGTCATCTCCATATATATAAAAGGCAAAGTTGTGATTATGTGTGTCTGTTAAAAATGTTTAGCGTGCTTCCCAACATGCAACAAACTGGATATTTGCCATGTGGGTACTTTCCAGACTGTACACCATGCAACAATTATAAAAATACATTTTTTTTTGGGGGGGGGGGGGGGGAGCTCAATAATGCATTTATTTTTTGCACGGCAAGTGAGCTGTGACGTCACATCTGTCACGTGACCCACGCGTGTGGAAGCGTAACGCATTGTAGTGTAGCGGGTAGCGCGCTGCGCTACGAACCCGGCGACACGAGTTTGATTCCCGCTCATGGCCACCACCGGTGATGATTATTTTAACCGCTCCTGGGCCTCCCCTAGGTCGACTCAGCCTCAAACGAGTAACTGGTGTTGGTGTGTGAACATCGCCACTGGGGAGACAAAGGGGACCGGGCATGGTGGATCTAAGTCCCGGGCGAAGCCGGGTATTACAGCTAGTGAATAGTATAGGGTGCTTAACAAATGTGTTAACACTTATACGAGACTATCTTTTTTATTGGAAAAAGAACGGATATTACATGATAACAAAAGTATGTTAATAGCTTCAAAAAGTCAGAGTCTACACTTGTTCGCAATCATTGTCAACAAGACGCGCCTGGAATCTACTCCAGGTGGTCTCCAGAGCCCGGAGGCACATTTCTCCTGGTATTGTTGCAAATTCTCAGAAGCGTTAACATTTTTGTTTAGCCCAGCAAGTGAGAAATGTAGTGCGGCAATGTTGTGCAATTCTAAAAACACACAACAGCAATCGGGAAAAACAACGTTGATGGACCTTGCCAAGGAATAAAACAACTGTAAACCGCACAAATTTCCAACTAAGGTTGTAAAGGTTAATCCGTTATCTCTGTCCACCCGTCCAGAACAGGGTAACTCGATATGATGAGCCAGTAGTGGGAGGGGCCACCGGAGCAGTGGGTGTGGCCTATTAGAGATGTCGGCGGCGCTGCTGATTGGTTGAGCCTTCTTTTAGCCCCGCCCCCCTCCCTCCCGATACGTTCCATTCATTGGCTACCACATTCTGATAAGCTCCCCCCCCCCACTCTCCTCCCCCCTCAACTTGTATTTAAGGGCTTGCATCTTGAATCCTTGCCTCACTTGTTGCAGCAAATCTGGCTGTGACGGTCCCACCTGATGACGGAGACTTGTGTTGCCTCCGAAACGTCGTGATTTTATTGTTTTAAATGTATTCATTTTTATTTAATTTTTTACCTACGTGACTTTACCGAAAGAACTAAGAGTATGAATCCTTGCAGTCACGAAAGCTTCAAATCTAGAATTAGTGGCTATGAAAATCTGGGCGGGGCCGACGGCGCTCACCGTGTGACTTGGTTGAGCCACCCAGAAAAGACGGTAGCTTTGTTTTACTTGGCGTCAGGTTACGCAGCAGAAACTCGCTTAATGGACTGGTTTGGGGGCTTATAGGGCTTCAGACGCTGCCTCGTGGCTAACGGACAGAGCAGAGTGAGAGCACCCGCGGTTACCTGGCGTGCGGCTTCCCGGCACCTTCATGTAGAGCTGCAGCGTGTTCATGCCCTCGATCTTGTGGCCCACGTGGCTCAGCATGTTCCCCACCGAGTGGAGACGCATGAACGGAGGCAGCTTGCACACCTCGGCCAGCTGAGCGCTCCACCTGTTCAGCGCCAGTCGAACGCCCGTCGGTAAGTGTGGACGGTGAAGGCGCGGGTCTGCGATATCTTGCCGGGATGGCCTCGGTTTTAAGGGGCTGCAGGCGTAAGCTCGAGGGAGCGCCTGTAGGGAGCATTTAGGCCTCTTCCTAAACATGGGCCAGGTGTTTTGGACGATGTGAGAGTCTCCCAACACTTTACCCCACCACATATGAGCTGTCACACATCAATTTGGCAGGCCGTGTGTGAAAGTACGGGCGCATGTAGCCACCAACGCCCGGCTCATAATTCTTCTTCGAAGCACTCAATATTGTGACTCAAACGCAGCGGCAAAACGTAAATCTTCGCCTGCGCCAGAGGCGAGGGGCTGCTGGTGGGTTGGTGAACCTCTGGGCACCCCCCTCTACGCGCACGCCCCACGCACATGCAAAGCAACTCACGTTTTCTCATCCGACAGGTCAATGTTGGTGCCAAACTTGAGGGTCCTGAAGGGGGCCATGCACTCCAAGCCGTCCAGCCTACGAGGAACACGGGACAAGCTTACACGGCCGCCACCCTCCTCGCCGTCACGTCGCACAAGCACCGTCAAAGAGAGAAACGAGAGAGTATCCTTCGCCTCTAACGTGTGGTAGTTGCACCGGTTCGTGCAGCTCCACTCTACCGAGGCACTCAGTGGCCATAAGCCGGTCCAGAGTTGAATCAACGCTGCTGAACTTGTGAACTCCCCAGAAGGCAGCAGGGGCCGAGGCGTCGTGTAATAAATACTCTTATTCCTGACGCCGAGATATTTGCGAAGGAGACGAATTGTCTATTTATTTATGTTGTTACTTATCTTATTCACAAACAAGGCTAATGATTACGTTGCGTTTAGAACCGTAAATACTACACCGGCCTCACGAAGGAATGCTTAGTGACGCAGAGTCCACTTGCAGGGATCCTGCGACCCTGCGGGGAACCTCCCCCCCACCCCCAATGGAACGATCCCTCTCATCCCCTGACATTTTGCCACCCCCCACCCCATCTCTTTCCCCCTCTGCTCCCCGTCTCTCTGCAAGACGTAAGGCGGATCAATACAACTGTGGAAAATCACTTGCAGCATTTGTCCTTTCCTGAAGAGAGTTAGTTTCGTCTCTTCTCCTTGTGGAAGATTTCCACGCCCGTAGGCAACGCATCTTCCTCTTCCAAGAGAAGGCACGGAACCCCAGCGAACCGGTCCGCCCTCTTCCAAGATACGCACTTTAGGGGACTGTTCGTCAGTCTTTTGAGAAAGTGGTAATTTAATTAGCAGTACCCAGCTTGCAAGTCTGTTGTCTTTCTTTCCAAGCTAATAGATGATCGGTCACTGCGGAGTTATCTATATATACACACGGTGCAGTGTGTGTTACACTTGGTGCAGTGTGTGTTACACTTGGTGCAGTTGTAAACAAGACCCAATTGAATTTCGATTTAAAGCTTTCGTGACTGCAGGGATTCATCTTCTTGGTTCTTTCGGTAAAGTCACGTAGAAGGGAAATACTAAAATAATAAAAATAAAACATAATAAAATAATTCTCACGACGTTTCGAAAGACAGCGTCTGTCTTTCCGACAGACCTGTTTTTCACCTGAGGACGGCTGCTTGCGTTGTGGCCGAAACGTCGTGAGAATTATTTTATTATGTTTAATTTTTATTATTTTATTATTTCCCTTCTACGTGACTTTACCGAAAGAACCAAGAAGAAGAAGACCCGATTGAACATCACTAAATATTAGAGGTCCAACACAAGCATAGACAACCTCGCCACCCCCAGTGGCAGCGCCTCAACAGGCTACAATCTGCTGACGAGAGCTAGAAAAGTTTAAAGTGGTCCAATTCACACGCCGATGCTACGTGTGTGTACTCTGCAAAGGCTGGCGTCCTTACCTTTGACTTGTATCAAAGATTCTTGTTTGTACGCCATTCATCCGATTACATATGTTATGCTCCTGTACAAAACAAAGGGTACATCATATTTTAAGTGCCGAGAATCGGTACAAGACGGGTGACAAGTCTCGTCTCAAACGGTGTTGGGCTCAATAGAAAGCCGTCTCTGGTGTGGACCAATCAGTTTCAAGGACAATGCATATATCAGAGTATATATTTTTAGCATTCTGACCACAAGCATTGTGGTTAATGCAGACATGATTCCTTGTAAAAGGTTTCAGTTTGGTGTTTTAACATCTTAATACAGCTGTTTTGTTACCAAAAAAAGGGGGAAAACCTATTCTCATATTTTGGTACTGGCAAAGGAGATCCCATGATGCCTTTGTCTACCTCGTGGCGATGTTTACACATCGCACCAGGCACTCATTTGAGGCTTAGTCGACTTAAGGGAGGCCCAGGACCGGTTCAGATAATCGTCACTGGTATTGGCCGTGAGCGGGAAACGAATACGGGTCGCCGGGTTCGTAGCGCAGCGCGCTAACCGCTACACTACTGCCCCAAATGCCGCGCGAGCACACACACACGCGCACACACACACAAAGATCCCCCGTATAGCCTTAACAGACTGTAGGGGCAAGTGCTGTTAGCGAGCACCTATGAAGGCCGGAACGGTACACGAGGGGGTGGGTGGCCAGCACCACGCCCGACCGCCTTTGTCTCCCTAGCGGCGATGTTTACACACCGCAACAAGTACTCATTTGTGGCTGAGTCGACCTAGGGGAGGCCCAGGACCGGTTCAGATAAAATCGTCACTGGTGTTTGCCGTGAGCGGAAATCGAACCCGGGTCGCCAAGTTCGTAGTGCAGCGCGCTAACCACTACACAACCGCTCCCCGTAACACACGTGTGCACACACACACGCGCGCGCACACACACACGCGCGCGCGCACATACACACACACACACACAAAGATCCCCCGTGTAGCCTTAACAGACTGTCGGGGCAAGTGCCGTTAGCGAGCAGCACCTACGGGGGGGGGTGCTGGCACGGCGCACGAGGGGCACGTGTGGCCAGCAGCCACGCCCGGCCGCGAGGGTGCGTCGGCTTACCGCGAGGGCGCTGTGGAAGGTCTGCGCCTGATAGTACGCGTAGCGCGCCAGCGTGGTCTGCGTCTTGTGGCTCAGGCAGAGCCAGCTGTGGCGTGTGCGCCCTGGGTCCAGGTTGCCGTCGCGAGGCTGCAGCGCCTGCGAGCGAACCTCCACCTCCTGCTCGGGAGCGACGCGCACCAGCGACTTGGTGCTGAATACGCCGAGGTCTGCGGGAGGGGAGAGGTTCAGATCGGAATCGCGGGGCGCGCTCGCCGCTCGCGCCAATCTTGCACCGCGGCGAGGCGCTGGTCTATTGTTTCGATTTAAAGCTTTCGTGACTGCAGGGATTCATCTTCTTGGTGCTTTCGGTAAAGTCACGTAGAAGGGAAGTAATAAAATAAAAAAAATAAAACATAATAAAATAATTCTCACGATGTTTCGGCCACAACGCAAGCAGCCGTCCTCAGGTGAAGACCAGGTCTGTCGGGGAGACAGCATCAGACAGAAGCTTGTGTTGCCTCCGAAACGTCGTGATTTTATTTATTTGTTTTCTTTTTTAACCTACGTGACTTTACCGAAAAAACCAAAAAGTATGAATCCTTGCCGTCACGAAAGCTTCAAATCTAGAATTTAATTTTACATTTATGAAGGAGGTGTGTGCATTGCTCTGTTGATGTTCGGTTGTGATTGATGGTTCCACCAGCGTCTTTGAGAAATATCAAAGCCGGGAAGTAAGATGTTTGATTGCGCTCTGTTTCACAGACACAGACTGCAGTAGTTTCGCAGTTATTATCACGACGCTTTGTTTAAGAAGCCCGTCATTTCAACTGCCGTGTCAGGATGTCGAACCGATTACTTTTATTTATGAAGACTGAACCCAATCTTGCAACGATGCGCTTCCACGAACACCATGGCGAGATGTTAACTGCCTCGCCTGGTATACAGGAGGTGTGGGTTTGATCCCGAACCTGACGATGCCTACTGTATATTTGGAGCTTGCATGTCTCTCTCCTGTGGTGCTGTGGATTTTATACGGGTCCTCCGGGTTTTCCCTCCACATTTAGAATCAACATCACGCATTTCGAGTATATGGCTGCAATAAATTTGATAAGACATTTCGCTGAGCTATCATCTGTGGCCAGGTCGCTTGAGTGGACCTTACCCAGTAAAATTAAAACTTTAGTTCTATAAAATAAAAATAGTGCTGTTGCGAAACGGTACAGGATGCATCCCCACACGCTCACGACACTTTTGGGCAGAAGGGCCTCCACTAGAGGGCGCTCTGGAGAGCCCCTCTAGAGAGGGTATTTGGCCTACTCTTCCACACTGGCCACACGCCTTGGAAGAGGCTGACGTACCTACACTTTACCCCACCACACGTGACCTGCCGATTTAACTGCTCGGTGAACCGAGGAAGCGAGGGAGGGGGGAGTCCCATCCGGTAGCTCTGCATAGACAGCGCTGCATGCTAACCATTACAACCACACGGTTAAAACATACCAACAATGTGTGAATCGGCAACAAAACAGCACAACTACATTAAAATCCACTCCTGGGAGAGCTCCACCGAGCGTCATAACTATCTAAGGAAGGTTGCGTTCGGGATGTCTGCCAAGTTTAAATATATACACGGGCTATTTATGGGTTCCGGGAAAGCCTCATCTTCGGATGTACGAGTCACCGATTTGCATGTATGAGACAAATGGAGTGCCCCAGAGGAAACACGCCCAAAAACTACAATAACAATCCAATAACTCAGTTTTACGCTTTCGCGAACAAATTAATCCATAATCTCTGTGTTAATCATCTGCTGGATAAAGCCCTCCCTACGCCGTGCCGATCATGGGGGTTGTTTGACTGTACTTCGCCATGCTGGTCAGCGTGGGTTGCCGAGGTGAGGTGGTGGGGGCGGCCCGGGGGGAGCCTCGGAAATCAGTGACCATTGATGTTACTCGTGGGTGGGAAATGCACTTATGTTCTTAGGTTGGCGGTGCAGTGTGCTAACCACTCTCCTGCCGCTCTAGTCATCACCGTTAAACAGCTATACGGGGAACACTAAAACCCCGTTCGATGGACAAGATGCCATGAAAATGTAATTCACAATTAATAGTATGTATATTAAAATGGCTTATGACTAAATCAACCGGGATCCATCAGATCTCACAAGCTAAGCAGGGCTGAGTGTCTAAAAGTGCCTGGACGCGCATAAAACAGGGTTAGAGGTCGTCGTGGGCTATGTTGTGGGCAACAGAAGACAGTGAATCAAAATCCAATGTTGTACTTTACTTCTATGATCTCACATCTACGCTCAACACCTTGGCTAACCAGCAATGACCAGCGTGGAGACGTAGAGTTCAAATAAACTCCCGACCAGCACAGCACGTAGGGAGACGCCCTGATCTAGCAGCGGACTGACAACACGGCCATACGTGTACACATTCAAATAAAGAACTCAACACCTTCGTCAATAACACTGTGGGGCCCTAAAAGAAAAAAAAAATTGGCGACGTTTTGTGAAATGGCCCTTCTTCATAGCACATGAAACGTGCGACGAGGCATCGTTATCGCCGGACGTGTTGAGGTTCTTTGGTTACTTGTGCTTGTGCTCTACGCCAACACAGCAGTAGCAGCATTGCTGCCGAGGTCGTGTTATGCACGACGGCAATCGCACACACGGTGGCACGCGGTGGTTACCTATGTCCAGCACTCCGGCCATGCCGCGGACGATGGTGACCGGGTTTGCCGGGTTTGTGCAGAACTGGTGCAGAGCCGGGCTGAAGGCATCGCAGCGCGTCTCCAGCTGCACACGCCAACACGGCACAGGGTTCAGACGGCACGGGGCACCGCACCAAGCACTTCAACACAAAAAAAAATTAACCCGTAAAAACAAAGTTTTTCACTATAAATCCTTTATATGCGTGTTCAATGGGCCACAACCCAGCCCACATTGGTCTTTGAAACGGGCGGCTAGAGTCCTCTCGTCCTCTGGCTTGAGATGGCTGCCACCTATGGGTCAGATGATTGCCTGCCACCATTAAGCAATTGGTAATTAAATATAAAAAAAATTACCTAAAAAGTGTCAAATTTTGGGAAAAAATTTTCACGAAAAGAAATTGTCACACACAACGAGTCTGTGTGCAAAATGTCAGCTCGATTGGATCACGGGAAGTGGGTTTAAAAACGACCGAAAGATTTGCACGGTCGTAAGCGCGCAAGCAAGCAAGTAAACTTAATATAAAGGATTTAACACCCCCCCCCCCCGCCGCTGTGTAGCCTTAACAGACCATTGGGGCAAGTGCTGTTAGTGAGTAGCACCTATGAAGGCCAGCACGGCGCACACGCGAGGGTGGGTAGTCAGCACCACACCCGGCCACTTTTGTCTCCCCAGTGCTGATGTTTACACGCAGGTATTCAATTAATAATTAGTCGACCTTGGGGCGGTCCAGGCCCGGTTCAGATATTCGTCACCGATGTCATACCGTGAGCTTGGGTCACCAGGTTTGTTACGCAGTGCGCTATAACCACGGTACTACCGCTCCCTAAACCCAGCACTTCTCACGCACACACACCACAGGCTCAAACCGGACAGTTACTTTGTCCTGACCGCCCCGGTGAGTATGTTTGACGGTTGGCAGCAGCCCAAAGGTTCTAAACGGTCAGGAACCATTGTACTAGAGTAGTGGTTCCCACCCTGTGGTCCGTGTACCACTGGTGGTTCTCGCAAGGCCATTGGGTGGTGGTCAGTGTAACTAGTGCAGGTACGGTCATTTAGAAGCTTTGGGTAATGGCCTTTCTCTGTCAACAGTCATATATTTTCCTCATAAGGCCAAGTGTTGTTGACGAATGTGGATTTAAAAAAAATGTATTTACCCAAACAGACCAATGCAGATAATAATTTCAGCAGATAACAGGGATTTCTACACTGGCTAGCGCCGAACACAAATGACACAATAAAGCGGTCTCGGCTACAAGATATTGCTCGCATTTGTAACCATTTGTGCCACTGCAAGTGAGTGGGGAATGACAAATGCTTGTGGTCGTTTAAACTTGTTTTACCGGACTCCAGAGGTTCAATAATGCGTTTGTGTGCGATATTTCTTTACGAGTTGAACCAGGTTCCAGAATTTACACAGTACTCTTGCCAATAACATTTGGTAATCCGGCAGCATTTGTTTAACAAGTCTAACGCTGGTATTTTTTTTTACGCATACCATTAGCCACATTGACTTGTACAGCAAAATTGATTCAATACTACAAGGTAAGGTTTTTACATTTAGTCTTTCATCAGCAGAGCCCCAAGGTCAAAACTGGTCGAAAGTTTTCTTTACTTAAAACATATTCGGCTTAATAATATCGGCCTGGAAACACAATAGGTTGATGGCGAACATCTGTAAAAGATCAGATTTCTCGAGGATAAATCAAGATTCTGATTCTGTTCATTTATATACGGAGTCAGAGAATGGCATTCTACTTTTATTTGCTTTGCGCCAATACCACCAAGCTAACCGGAATTTAAAGAAAGGCTCAGTATAAGAGATGGATCGTGGTAAGTTTCTGTGATGTCTCCATTCGCCTTGTGTCCCATCACGAAGATATGGGAGCCAGTACAAAGCACAAGACCCCAGCTCGTGGAACGAGGCTCGAGGTGGGAGGACAGCAAGTAGGGCTGTATGCATCTGTCATCAGGGCTTTACAGTAGCACTGAAGGGACAATGCACAGCTTTAGCAAGAAAATATCTTAAAAATCAGGGCAAGTGTCATAGTCACTTCCATCAACTTTCATATTTTATGGAACTGAAAGTGCAGCTTAAGTGTGTACCACCCTCTAAGCTAAATACAACACAGGGGCTTTCGCAGAGGTCGCAACCGGGTACCCGACACCCGTACCCTACCTGATACCCAGCTATCCGTATCCGGCCGGGAACGGGTACGGCTACCCGTTTGCGACCCTGGTGCGGCCGGGTACGGGTACGGGTAGACCGTGAGTCACTGGTGAGTAACTGTTTGTCACTCATTTCCCAACATCTTGTCTCTTCTCACAATTCAAGTTCCTAGAATCAACCCACCCGCGGCTGCAACATGGCTTCATCCCAGAGGTCGCAATCAGGTACCCGATACCCGTACCCTACCCGTACCCTGCTGGGTACGGGTAGGGTAAAGGTACAGCCGGGTACGGGTACCCGTTTGCGACCCTGGTGCGGCCTGGTACAGGTACGGGTAAGGAATCAAAACCCGTTTGCGACCTCTGGGCTTTCGGAACAAACATTAATCATTCACTATTTTTGGGTTTAGATTGCGTGAGTAAAATACCAATGCGTGTCGCACATCCTCCTCCACTCGACACGGTTGGGGGGGGGGGTGGAGGGAAGGGGAGAGAAAGCGATGGGGGCGGCACGTGCGCCGCGTGGGTACGCGCGTGACGGGACGTACGTAGATGCTGGCGGTGTTTGGGTGGAGGGCCTCGTGCGGCAGTTCCAGGGAAGGGTTGTTTGGCGGTCGCACGTTCCCACTCCGGCAGATGTGCCACACCTTGCCGCACTTTCTCGTTCTCCTGCGCGCACAGGAATGTGATGGCACGTGAGATCAGCGCGTAACGTAGGCGGAACTGCGCGGCGACGCGGCAAGGCTCGTGTGTTAAAATTAGAAAAGATGCCTAAAACAAATAGAACACATTCAGTGCTCGTTCACAACCGTTTTAAGCGATGACGTGAGAAATTTCACCGCAAATGTAAGTAAAAACTTTGTACATTCAGACTTTGTAATGCTTTCTAACGTGTGTTTGTCCTTGCAAGTATTGATTAGAAGTGTGGAAGCTGATGGGTAGCCGCCTGGGCAGAGTTCATTTGCATATTCGCTAATTGTTATTTTTTGCTCTGTTTGTTTTGTCTCCAAGCTTTTGGGCAACGCTATGACCAACTTGGCCAGTTTTCTCTCTGGCAAGACCCTAACGGCAACACAACTGTGTACGACAGTTTGGTCCAAACCGGATCAACTTTACGAGAGTTATGTTGCCCGACTCGCTCCCCGTCATGAACATACGGACAGCAATAGAAGCAAAGATAATGCAACGACCTTCAGTCTTAGAGATGGAAAAATGTAAGTTTTTACCATCGCCATGCCAGCACGTGTCCAGATAGAGTCTATGTTCGTGTGAATGAAGCACAATGTGAAAGCGAAAGGCCGTTTTCCCGTGTACCTGGCAATACGAGCCAATTCCGCAGAGTCGCACGTTCCCAGCCGATCGTTCAGCTTTGCTTCCGGAGGCAGGTCTTCACGGTCCCCTTTCAATTCTTCCCCTGCCTTGTTTGATTGTCCATTACTTCTATCAGCATCACCGTCGCCGCCGCCACCACCACCACCGCCACTGTCACCGCTATCAGCACCACTATCACCATCACCGCCACCATTACCACCTTCCCCAGTGTTATCATCACCACCGTTACCACCACCGTTACCACCACCGCCGCCGCCGTCGCCACCGCCGCCACCGTCGCCGCCGTCACCGCTGTCGCCGCCGCCACCGCCGCCACCACCGTCGCTATCCTCCTTGGCGTCATCGCCGGCCGAGTCGCACGACGGCTCGCTGGAGAAGTCGCACGACGGGTCGCACGACGAGTGCGTGGGCAGGTCGCACGACAGCTCCGTGCACACCGAGCTGGCGCGCTCGGGACTGCACTGGAACACGGCGGCGCCGTTGGCGGGGCGCCCGGCGCCCGCCGAGCAGCCCGACTGGCTCCCGGACGTGGGGGGGTCCCACTGCCCCCCCGTGCCGCCGCCGCCGTCATCGTCGGCCCGGTCGCCCTCCGAGGCGGCCGAGGCGGCCGTGGCGGCGGCGCCGGGCGACGTCGCCGTGGGCGGCGCGTTGAGGAGCAGCGTGACGCCGGGCCGCGCGTGTTCCGCCGTGGCCGTTGAGGCGTCCGGCGTGAGTCGCCCGGCCGAGTCGGCCTCCGGCGCTAACGCCGCGGCGTCGGGCGGGGCGAGCGGAGCGGTCCTCGCGTCCGGAGGGTTGATCGTCACCATCTGCTCCAGCGACAGGATCGGCTCGGCCTCCGCCTCCTCCTGCCGCTTGGGCCAATCGCAGCGCTCGCCCCCCGACGCGGCGGCGTCGTCGTCATCGTCTTCGTCGTTGTTGTTGTCGTCGTTGTCGTCGTCGCACACGATGATGTAGTGCGAGGTCAGAGGGCACGACTGGATCTGCCACCGCCGAGATGCTGCGGAATCGTGGCAGAATCGTCCTGTGGAACACAGAGAGAGATACAATGCTTAGACATGACGATTTTGACTTCCACTTATTCGGGACCCCGGGGTTCCGCCATAACGTTCAATGACTGAAGGCGGACCGGGATCAGAGTGATGGCTATTGTTGCGAGTCAGGGGAAAAGATGGAAGTGACTTAAAAAATAAACAATAATTTAATTGAACCGCAACAAACCGCAACAAAAAAAACACATTTTAATGAGCGTATTATTTCTATGAGAACTTTTTGCCAGTATGAAAAGTAACGAAAAAATAAGAATAATGTTGCATGCTTTGCCACATGCACGTGTGGTTAATGCAGACTTGATGCCTTGGTATGAAAAGTAAGAATAGATTTTACCCATTCTGGCAATTAAACAGGAGGCGTTACGATGTTCAAACACCGAATAAATTAATTTAGAGTCTGTCCATCTTAACACCTCTTGTTCCATTGGCAGAAAGTGTAAAACCCATTCATATTTTTTCACACAGTCTATTATTACCCGCTATTAAAGATGAATGCAAAACTTGGGCACTGACGATAGAGAGAGAGAGAATATCAACAGTGAAGAGGGAAGGGCGCACGTTACTAAACAAGTAGAAGGTGCACCGTTTGGACTTGGAGCCAGACAGGAAGTGGATCAAAGAAAGAGCAATCGAAAGTTAAATATTGATTGAGTGGGGCCGCACAGGACGACGACACATCACCAGTGGCGACGATGGCTCGTGCATGGACGATGTAGAACTTCTGTCGCAGGCCGAGGCTAACGACGGAGTGGGCAGCCAAAGAAGGGGAAAACACCTCGGAGGTGGCTGCTGCTGCTGCTGCTCTAAATGGCCACGTGATGATGAGCCAATTCGTCGAGCTATCATTTGTAGCCAGGAAGCTTCTGAAAAATAGCTGCATAGCCCAGTGGGCATTACCTGGTAAAATATTTTTGTTTTAGATGAAGCAATAAAATCAGCTCCGATGTCAGGTTACAGCATCACGAGACCGTGAGTGACGGTGACGACTATGGGATGGGTTTTCATCTTGCAGCGGATAGACCCTGGCTTATGACTGACGACAAAACTGCAATCGCACGAGCACCTTGAGTCCACGTGACCTGTCAAAGGCTCGCCAGAAGGTCACGGGACAGACCCAGACGCCATGAGTTGACTGAGATGAGTGACAGACGCACCAACTGTGCTCCCTACGGTCACCCGTGACCACCACCACCACCACCCACGTGTGCCCTCTCATCGGCTCCAAACGCCACGTGGAGAGAAAACAAAACTCGACCATCGCGAGCCCGCGAGTCAAAGCGACGTGTCAAGTCCTTCACTCAGCAGTGGATAGACCATGGTTGGTGATGATGACACACCTGTCAACCCCTTACCGGTGCCCTACCTTATTACAGACCCACTCAGAACTTAGTGGTCACCCCGTGCCCCTTATATAATCTCAACGTTCATCCTATACACTACACTATACACTACTACACACGACACTATACACTACTATACACTACACTATACACTACTATACACTACACTATACACTACTATACACTACACTATACACTACACAATACAATACACTCCACTACTACATACCTGTCAACCCCTTATCGGTGCCCTACCTTATTACAGACCAATTCAGACCGTAGTGGTCATCCCGTGCCCCTTATATAATCTCAACGTTCACCCTACAAAGTACCATCACAAGGGAGAAACGCAAAGACAAAAAATATATATTTTTTGCCCGTCTTGAAACGGCTGTACGCCGTATGGACCTAAAAACTCAATTTCCCTGTACAAGAATACGGGGTAAACCGTATAGGTTGACAAGTATTCTACTATACACTACGATACTACACTATACACTACTATACACAAATAGAAATGCAAAAAATAGACAAAAAAACATTTTGCCCGTACTGAAACGGCTGTTCGCCGTATGAACCTAAACATTACATTTCCCCTGCACAAGGGTACGGGCTAAACCGTCTGGTTTGACAGCTGCGTGAGCACAATGGAGATGACAGAGGGGCCCAACTCCGAGACGACCTCTCCATGGAGACAATCACAGCCACCACTTTGGGGGGCGAAGAATAGAGAGAGGGGAGGAGGAGGTGGCTGGGGGCCCCCCACTCCGGTCATCGAACAAGTGAACCGACAAAGTCCCAAGAGACAAATCGATTCATCGAACGCGGCAACCGATTAATCGATGGGGGGGGGAGGGGGTAGTAGAGGCGCATAACGCTAAGGGGAGTCGCGGCTCGAGTGACTTTCACGGCGGCCACAGCGGGTACCGTAATGCCCCCTCAGCAGCGCACTCAGCCTCCCTCACTCACGACAGCGGACGACGGCGGCTCCCCTCGATCTGCTGCGCGTCTACTCGGGGCAGTGCGGCTGGCCGCGTTAACAAAGAACCCGGGGACGCCTCGCTTGTCCCACCGCTCCCTTTGGCCGATAGAACCCCGCGGTTGCCGGGCAGTGTTCGCTGTGTCGCTGTCTCTCCGCGGTTGTTGTTGTTGTTGAGGGTCGTCCCCCCACCCCCCCCCCCCCCAACACCAACATCAACAACACCACCACCACTACCACCACCACCGTGTCGCGTCGTGTTGGTAGCGGCAGCACTTTGAGGCAACGCTGTTGATCGGCGAACGAGGTTTGTGTCTCACCTGGTATCCCAGCCATGTTGACTCTCTTCTCCGCCGCGTTGTGCCTCGCGAGTGACTCCCTCCTCTCTCTCCGCTCTCTCCGCTCCGTGTGTGTCAGACGACGACGACGACGCCGCCTCCTCCTCCTCCGCCCGTCTCACCGCGTGTCTCCTACTCGCCCGCGTGACGTCACGGGGGCTATGGCGTCGGTGACGTCACGCGTCCGGCGCGAGCCCCAAGCAAAAAACCGCGCGTGCGAGCGGTGACGTCGACGCGGTGTGGGGGTGGGTGGGGGTGGGCGGCGTGACGTCATCGCGCAGCTTGAAGGGGTGACGGACGTCATCGCACGCGCGCGCGGGGAAGGCGCGGATGACGTCATCTCGCGAGGGAGAACCCGAGGGATTGTTGTTGTGACGTCACGCCAGGTCGAGCGTCAATTGTTCCAGCCCCAGCTGCATGCTAACAACAACAACAACCGCCATTCGCCACTAAGTGGCGGTGACGTCACCACGACGCTTGTGCCAGGCCACGTGCACCTTGAGGCTACCACGTGAAGTGTCGAACGCCCGCTGGCAGGAGGTCACGGGGCAGACCCAGCAGGTGCCACGGGTCGACTGACCGAGATGACCGAGATGACTGGCTGATGCACCACCTGTGCCCCCTACTGTGCCAACTTGCTGTGCTTTAGCCACCCGGCGCTCCGCTCGTTGTTGTGAGCGTCGCTCCTCCGCCCTCCGTTGTTGCTGGAGGGCGACAGCCTCCAACTGCCCAGTAGCCTCAAGGTGCACCTAGCCTGGCACTGCCCAGTAGCAGCGTACTTCACGAGCCTCCTCCACAGAGGCCGATCTTGACACCGCTGGTATCAGTCATGGGCAAGTCCACTCAGCTCCACGTCCTCTTGTACCACATCACTCCATCTCTTCTCTAGCTCGTGTCACTCACCCACTCACTCACCCACTCACCCACTCAGCTCCACGTCCTCCTGTACCACATCACTCCATCTCTTCTCTAGCTCGTGTCACTCACACACTCACTCACCCATTCACCCACTCAGCTCCACGTCCTCCTGCACCACATCACTCCATCTCTTCTCTAGCCCTTGCCGTGCCCGTTTAGCCCCCTCGATCCGGCCGCAAAGACAAACCCACGTGTAGCCTTACAACAGATTGTTCAGGCAGAATCGGAGTGTGTGTCTACACTGGAGGAATCCGATGATCTATGAAGCTCTTCACATTGGTGTTGGCGAGCACCTATGAAGGCCAGCTCCACGCCCGACCATCCTTTGTATCCACAATTGCAATGTATACACCAGATACTCATTTGGGGCCGTCCATAAATGACGTCACGCGATTTTGGACGATTTTTGACCCCCCCCCTCCCTTCGTCACACGGCGTCACAAAAAGTCAAACCCCCCCCCCCTCAAATATGACGTCACAAAGCTCTGCCCCCCCCCCAAATAAAACATGCTTCAAATCGCTTTAAACTATTGTCATTGTAGTGCGTATTTAATGTGGCGCTGCACTCTGATGTTGTAGGAGAAAACATTTATTACAAAGTATATTTAATTAAGTAGAACGTGTTGTCTATATTTAAAGTTGCGCTTTTTGATGTGACGTCACATTTCTCAACCCCCCCCCCCCCCCTCGTCATACATCGTCACAAATGCAACTTTAAATAAATATAGAATTGTTATAACACTTATTGTTATAACAACACTCCTACAACACCAGAGTGCAGCGCCACATTAAATACGCACTACAATGACAATAATTTTAAGCGATTTGAAGCATTTTTTATTTTCAAAATGGAAATGGTTTTTTTGGGGGGGGGCAGAGCTTTGTGACGTCATATTTGAGGGGGGGGGGGTCTGACTTTTTGTGACGCCGTGTGACGAGGGGGGGTGGGGTCCAAAATCGTCCAAAATCGCGTGACATCATTTATGGACGGCCCCTTAGACGTCGCCGGTTCGATTATATCTCCCGGCGCGGCAGTCGAGAACAATGGTTGCAAGTTTCTTCAATCCCTTGACGGGTTACCACCACAGTGGGTCGATGTGTTGGTGGGGTAACGAGTGAGTGCTCACACCTCTTCCAAAGACATCGGGCCAGCGTGGAAGAGTAGGCCAACGGTGGCGTGAAGAACGTTTTACAGCAGGGCTGCGTATTATAATGTTCATATTTTACACGGCATGGGAATGTGGAATTTCCACCAGGGCCGCCAGGAGAAATGACGATGTTTATTTGAGCAGGGAGTCTGTGACTTCTAAGCTGGGCATTCTCATGAGAAGAGACGGATGGGTCTATATTTCAGCCAAACTCATTATTTGGCAGTGGTGCACAAGCACAATCAACACAAAATACACTTAACACATTCGTAAATAACACAGTGGCCTTCATATAACAAAAAATATAAAAGGCGACGTTCAAACAATGGATCTTCACTTCATTGCAAAAAAATTAAAGGTCATTCCTCGAAACTTTTGCCCGTTTAATATTTTTCCTTTTAATGGCATCGTCGTGTTCTTGAAAAACGTGTTTAATATAAATCTTCTATATTTAATCTGCGGCACCAAAATCTGTTTACAGACTTTGGAAAGGTCACCCGAGGCTTTCGACATTCTGCGCCCAGCATCGCAACGCCCCTCGAGAGAGAGAGAGACGCGTGGCATAGCGGGCTGCACACGTGTCGGGGAATTTGTTGGTGACATGCCGAGTAAAAAAAACCGCAGCTCACATTTGTGGCAAGAGGGCAAAAGAAAAGTCGTAAACACGTGTTAGGGGAATTAATGTGGCGAGCCGCCCACCTTCATCGTGAGTCATTCCCTCTACGCAATTCAAGAAAATGGTCAACTTTACTGCGAGTGAAAAAATAATACTATGGGCGTTAATTAGTTGTATTTAAGTTATTGATGAGCTTTCCTGGTGAACGTCGTTTAAATTTCGATGTAAAGCTTTCGTGACTGCAGGGATTCATATTCTTGGTTCTTTCGGTAAAGTCACGTAGAAGGGAAATAATAAAATTAATTTATTTTATTTTAAAATAAAACTTATTTATTTAATGTTTTTTTAAAATAATAAAAGTAATTTATTTATTTTTAACTTAAAATACATTTATTTTATTTTAAAATAAATAATAAGAAATTTCTTTTAAAATAAAAATACATTTATTTTATAAAAAAAAAATTAAATAAAAAATTTATTTTTAAATAAAAAATTAAAAATTTCATTTTAAAATAAATACATTTATTTTATTATTTCCCTTCTACGTGACTTTACCGAAAGAACCAAGAACGACGTCGTTGAACTTGACGCGTGGACGCATTGGTGGCTTGGTGGGCCCTGTGGAGAGCGGTGGCACAGAGAGGTTAGCGCTGCTGTCTGAACTTGGCGACCCAATTTCGATTCCCAGCGACGATTATCTGAACCAGTCCTGGGCCTCTCCTAAGTCTACTCAGCATCAAATGAGTACCTAGTGCGGCGTGTAAACATCGCCACTCAGGTGACAAAGGCGGCCGGGCGTAGTGTCACTCCTCGTGTACCATGCCAGCCTTCATAGGCGCTACTGGCTGACAGCACTTGCCCCAACAATCTGTTAAGGCTACACGGGGGATCTTTGTTCTGTGGACCCTAAGCAGAGTACATTTTGGCTCCTAGTGAGGTGACAGAAGAGAGTATATTATATGTGAGATAATAAAAACGTAGAGTGGCATAGAGATGCAGTGAGATGAAAGAGAGATGCAGAAAAGATAGTCATTGCGTATTTATATTTATTAGGATTTGAATTCGAGCTGATATTGGACCGCACTCAATTTTATTTTTAATGAATCCTGTGCCACTTGAGCCTCTTGGGGCCCTAAGCCTTTGCTCGGTTTGTTTACACCTCGCGCCTGATTGGGCAGTGTGGGTGTAGAAGACGTCAGCTTCTTGGTTATTTCGGTAAAGTCACGTAGAAGGGAAATAATAAAATAATAAAAATTAAACATAATAAAATAATTCTCACGACGTTTCGGCCACGACGCAAGCAGCCGTCCTCAGGTGAAGAACAGGTCTTAGAGTCGCGGCATCTCTTCAGAAAGGTGAGACCTGTTACTCTTGGTTCTTTCGGTAAAGTCACGTAGAAGGGAAATAATAAAATAATAAAAATTAAACATAATAAAATAATTTCTCACGACGTTTCGGCCACGACGCAAGCAGCCGTCCTCAGGTGAAGAACAGGTCTTAGAGTCGCGGCATCTCTTCAGAAAGGTGAGACCTGTTCTTCACCTGAGGACGGCTGCTTGCGTCGTGGCCGAAACGTCGTGAGAATTATTTTATTATGTTTAATTTTTATTATTTTATTATTTCCCTTCTACGTGACTTTACCGAAAGAACCAAGAAGATGAATCCCTGCAGTCACGAAATCTTTAAATCGAAATTTAAGACGTCAGCTGTTTGGGGGAACCGATTGTCGCGTTTTGTAACCTCGTGTGTGTGGAGAGGAAATTTTGTTCTAGGGAAATGCCACTGGTTGAAGCTAGCCACGGTTCCAGGAAGACGTGGTCACGAGCACGGAAACCGACACTTTACCACCACTGAGGCTCTCGGTTGAGGAAATTACTAATTTGAACAAACTAGCAAGCGACCATAAAAATGCCCCTAATCAACATTCGCTCAGTGGAAAGTTGCTTGTTCTCCTCGACTGGGTTGTGAATTATTATCATCATACAGTACTTTGTGTAGATGATCAGACCTAACAAGTAACAGTTTATATTCTTGGTTCTTTTGGTAAAGTAACGTAGAAGGGAAATAATAAAATAATAAAAATATAAAACAATACAATTCTCACGACGTTTCGACTGCAACACAAGCAATCATCATCAGGTGTGAAATCCACAGCAAGAAAATTTTAAAGTTTTATATTTTTATTATTTCCCTTCTACGTGACTTTACCGAAAGAACCAAGAATATGAATCCCTGCAGTCACGAAAGGTTTAAATCAAAAGTAACAGTTAACAGAGCTTCCTTGAGTGTGCTTTCAGACACAGATGAGTTTCTACATTCATCCAATTATCTGTGATATCACAGTTAAGAGGGATATTTCGCACAGACACTAAAACAAACATGAAAACCATTCTTAATATAGGTTTATTTGGGTTAGATCGCATACATATTTGGGTTAGATTGTGTAAATATTTACGCGATCTAAAAAAAAAACCTCTATTATGGATGATATTGGTCGCGAAAGTCTACGTGTTAAACAAAACTTCTTAACCGAAGAATTGCTTGTCTGTAGCTTCTCCCACAATAGAGTGTATATGGAGCAAGATGTATTTGTTAACATACAACCTCGTGCAACCAGCATGCTCTGCTGCATTCATTGCATAAGGTGGCACAACCGTTGAGCGACAAACATCACGTGACGTTGAAAAGAAGTTGGATGTTGCAACTCGTCAGTTTTTACTTGTCGGTAAGACTGGAGGAACACATAGTAAACTGAAATATTAAATTTCGATTTAAAGCTTTCGTGACTGCAGGGATTCATCTTCTTGGTTCTTTCGGTAAAGTCACGTAGAATGGAAATAATAAAATAATAAAAATAAAACAATAAAATAATTCTCACAACGTTTCGGCCACAACGCAAGCAGCCGTCCTCAAGTGAAGACCAGGTCTTTCGGGAAGACAGCTGAGGACGGCTGCTTGCGTTGTGGCCGAAACGTCGTGAGAATAATTTTATTATGTTTCATTTTTATTATTTTATTATTTCCATTCTACGTGACTTTACCGAAAGAACCAAGAAGATGAAATATTAAAATCATCACAACTGCATTATGTAACTGAAAAAACGTAAGATATTAACCAAAGCAATCAAGGCTGTCATTAATAACCGAATAAGTTATTGTGGTGATTATTGTATTAGACAGATTAGTAGGGTCACTTAAGTGGCTCCCTCTACCCCCCCAACAAGACATGCAACGTTGAATCAACATTAGCACGTGGTTGCCACCGTTGGACCAGCGTTTCATATTTACTGGCGCAGGGAATCAATACAATGCTGGAAAAACTAAGCTAGCAAGACCGAGGTCCTCAGTCCGAATTTAACCAGCCATGTGCGGCTTTTCATCCCCCGTGACAACAGCCGGCAGGTATCATGTGTCCTCTGTAACAGCTGTTATCTGCCCGAGCCCATTTGCACTACAGGGAATTATGTTTGTGCAATATTCTTAATTTCTCATATGATAACAGTTGTTTTTGGTGTGACCCAGAATCACTTTTGCAAATGAGATGTATTCGGGTCTCTTAGGGTGCCACGGTGGCGAGATGTTAACTATTTCGCCTCGTATACAGGAGGCTTGTGGGATCGATCCCGACTGACGCCTGTTGTATATTTGGAGTTTGCGTGTTCTCCCCGTGGTCGCGTGGATTTTTCTCCGGGTCCTCCGGTTTTTCCCTCCACATTTAGAATCAACATTACGGCGTTTAGAGTATTTGGCTGCTATAAATCTCCCCATTAATAAGCCACTTCGTTGAGCTATCATTTGTGGCCAGGTCGCTTCTGAAAAAGAGCTACATAGCTCAGTGGGCCTTTTCTGGTGAAATACAAATATTAATTCTAGATTTGAAGCTTTCGTGACTGCAAGGATTCATATTCTTAGGTTTTTTTCGGTAAAGTCACGTAGGTAAAACATTAAAATTAATAAAAGTAAAATAAAATAAAAATCACGACGTTTCGGAGGCAACACAAGCTTCCGTCTTCAGGTGGAACCGTCACAGCCACGACAGCTGTATCAAGTAAATGAGAGATTACAAGAGCTACCACTCCGTATATATAATGGTTGGAGAGGGGGGGGAAGGGCCAAGTACGGCACACTTTTTATTAATATGGTAAGGTGAGGCTTAAGAGGCTGAGCCTTTTAATTTTAATGTTTTACCTACGTGACTTTACCTGAAAAAACCTAAGAATACAAATATTAGTTTAGTTTAAGTTCCCACCTGGCTAAACAAATTTAACTTGACTTTGTTATCATAGGCCCCTCACTAAACTTTCATCACAAGTCTGGTTTTGTCATCGAGCAATATTACGCGACAGCACTCGAACAACTTCGACTTGAACCGATTTGTTCAGTTGCTCTTGGGTTTGCATTTGCTCACACAGGACCCAAGCTGGGCAGCCAGAGAGAAGGGGTCCATGCGGGAGTCATCCTGCAACACACAAGCACCAACACACACATCCCCCGATGTCGCTGACACAGGCTGCTGGGCCATGTGATATCTGGCAAGCACCTATGATGACTTGTACGGCACATTTTTTTTGGACTAGCCATCGGACAAAGACGGTTACCGCACCGCGCGCTTTCAGATGCGCTTCTGCGGCCGTCTGGAACGCTCTTCCGATATTCGGGCACTGGAGATATGCACTTTTAAATCTAGATTGAAAACCCATTTCTTTAGAACTGTTTTTTGTGTTCAGATGCCTTTCCCCACACCTCCGATTGGCATGGTCGGCTACGTACATATGTACATTTGACGGGGGTGACGTGTCCAGCACCACACCCAGCCTCCTTTGTCTCCCCAGTGCTGATGTTTACACAACAGGCCAAGTACTAATTTAACGTTTTAAGGCTGAGTGGACCTAGGAGAGGCCCAGGACCGGTTCAGATATTTGCCACTGATGTTAGCCGTGGCTGAGAATCAAGCTTGGGGCACTTGGTGCGTAGCGCGGTGTGAGCACCTATGAAGGCCAGCATGGCGTGCGAACGTGTGCTGAAACCCGCACCATGCCAAAGTGCAGCGGTCAGCGCACTACGCTACGAAGTTCGATTCCCGTTAACGACCAATAACAGTGCCGAATATATGAACCGGTTCTGGGCCTCCTCTATGTCAACTCAGCCTTAAAGGGGTACCTAAGGTGGTGTGGCAACATTGGCACTGGGAAAACAAAGGCATCCAGGCGTGGTGCTGGCCACCCACCCTCTAGTATGCCATGCTGTCCTTAATAGGTGCTACTCGCTAACAGCACTTGCCCCAACAATCTGTTAAGGCTATAACGGAGGATCTTTGTCTTTGCATGTGTGAGAGAGAGGGAGACTTCGTGCGTGCGTGCTTGTGTTACGTGTACGAACACTGCGTGAATCCCTTCGGCAATTCCGCGGCTGCGCGTGGTGCTGTTGTTGGCAGTGTTTGACGCTGCTTCTCACCGCAGTTCCTGTGCAGGACTCTGCGCCCTCACCGAGCTCCACGGTGAAGTGCGGGGCGAGGCGCGAGGTGCGGATGACGGTCGCCAACTCCGCGTCCACCGCCACGGGCTCTCCGCGCTAGAGACGCAGACACAAAACCGTGCGGACGGAACGATCTACCAGACGGGCCGGCTCTTCCGTTTCATCCACACGACAATGATTTATACATTTAAATTCCTAACGCTGCGCCGCCGCCGCTGCCCGGTGTTTGTCTCCCTATCAAAGAGACTAGGCTAAAATTAAACGTTTTATTTCACCAGGTAAGGCCCACTGGGCTGTGTAGCTTTTATTCAAAAAGGCACCAGGCCACAAATGATAACCCCACGACAGAGCAGCTCAGAGCCGCGAGCAGGAACCATAGACGAGCGGCAGAGGCAGAAGCAAGGCAGTGAGCCGGTGCAAAAATTCACCCCTCCACCCTCTCAAAGCTCTGCGGTCCTCTCTCTGGTGTTGTCGGACAAATGTATACTTATTTTAACTACCACGTAAAGCGCACTGAGTTATTAGCTCGAAAAGCACACATTTATTAAAAAAAACTGGTGAAAAATCCACACGACTACGGAGAGAGAGAGAGGACACGCGAACTCCAAATACACAACAGGCATCGTTGGGGGTCGGGATCGAACGCACAATCTCCTGCATACTCGTAGGTGATAACACCTCGCCACCGGGGTTGTGTTTACATACGGCAGGAAACCGGAGTACCTGGAATGAACCCACGCGCGCGAGGTGGCACACACTCACCTGGTCAAACGAAATCAAATTGAAATGCCGTATCGTATATCTTATTGTGAAAACACATATCGCGGCAACCCCCGGTGAAAATAATTTGCGATGCCGCATCTCGATGTGTAACGCTGCGCGAGCACGGTTAGCGAGCAGCACGCACCTGGAAGGTGTGCTGGTGGTCGAACGCCAGCGTGTCGCCACAGTCTGGGGCCGAACCCAGGTACGTGACTCGGGCTCCAGGTGCAGGCAGGGTCCCCTCCGATGGCAGCTTGAACATTCGGTACGTGCCCGAGGCGTAGCGCAGGGGACCTGGAGACATGGCCCACGGTATTGCGGCCCAAACGAGAATGAGACTTATATTTAACTTGGAGCTTTCGTGACTGCAGGAATTACTCTTTGGTTAAATTTCGATTTAAAGCTTTCGTGACTGCAGGGACTCATCTTCTTGGTTCTTTCGGTAAAGTCACGTAAAATGGAAATAATAAAATAATAAAAATAAAACATAATCAAATAATTCTCACGACGTTTCGGCCACAACGTAAGCAGCCGTCCTCAGGTGAAGAACAGGTCTCACCTTTCTGAAGAGATGCCGCGACTCTAAGACCTGTTCTTCACCTGAGGACGGCTGCTTGCGTTGTGGCCGAAACGTCGTGAGAATTATTTTATTATGTATTATTATTTTATTATTTCCCTTCTACGTGACTTTACCGAAAGAACCAAGAAGAGGACCGGTGTGTCATGCTGCACCAGCGAACCGCCAAAACGTCCGACTGGGTTAGCGCCACCCGTTAATCGACGCACCCAGTTTCTTGCAGGTGTCGGCGTTGGTGATGGTGATGTGGCTCGCCGTCACCAGGTAGGGGCGGCTGAACCCCAGGGCCCGAGCGACACCGATCAGATCCTTCCAGAACATGGCTCCACCCATCCCTTCCCCTGCAGAGAAACACAAGGACCAGGCGACGCAATGATGCCATGTGCTCGTGTGTATGCGGCGAGATGTTAACTGCCTCGCCTGGTATACAAGAGGTCGTGAGTTCGATCGCAACCCTGACGGCTGTATATTTGGAGTTTGCATGTTCTCCCTGTTAATACTCTTTGGCTTCTTTCGGTAAAGTCACGTGGGTATAAAATAAAACAAATCACGACGTCCATCATCAGGTGGGAAAGCATGGTCTGCTGCTGAGGCAGACTGTTAAAACAGTCTGAAGCAGACTGTTAAAACTGTTAAAACAGTCTGCTTCAGCAGCAGACCATGCTTTCCCACCTGATGACGGACGCTTGTGTTGCGCCCAAAACGTCGTGATTTATTTTATTTTCTACCCACGTGACTTTACCGAAAGAACCAAAGAGTATGGATTCCTGCAGTCACGAAAGCTTCAAATCAAGACTCCCTGTTGATTTTTCTCCGTGTCCGGTTTTACCCTCCACATTTAGAAAAATGCGTTTCAGAGTATTTGGCTGCTATAAATTTCCACGTGATAAGCCACTTTGTCGAGCTATCAGTTGTGGTGGCCAGGTCACTTCTAAAAAAGAGCTACATAGCTCAGTGAGCCTTGCCTGATCAAATAAAGATAGTAGTCAAAATAGTGGCAGTAATCCACCGCTGGATGAGGGCCTCCCCACACTGTGCAAGTCACGGGGGTTATTTGACCATACTTGGGGCGGTGGTGGCTAACCACGTGGCCTGCAATCCAGCAGTGTGGAGTCAGCCAGGGTTGGTGGGTCACACAGACTGTTGCGAAACTCCCTTCCCGTCGGCATCGAGGATGCCATGCCCTGGCTGACCAGGAGAAGACGCTACAGCAAAGTGTGGAACTATTCTCCATCTGCTCCATCTGTATGGGATAGTGTGTTGCCCCCTCGCACGCAAGCGTGCGTTTTATCTGGGTGCTCCGGTTTCCTCCAACTTATTAATTGGCTGAAACCTACTCAGTGTATGCATGCACCTCAATGTGTCGTGGACTGCACAGCGTTGTTAGATGCAGCTCGCAACAATGATGCTTCTGTATAAAAACGCTCGTTTATTATCATTGTTATTATACTTCACCACGCCGGTTCAGTGTGAGTTGAAGCCAGAGGTGTTAGGAGCATGGGATGGATGTTGGCTGTACTGCCCTCTACTGACACAGATGCTGGGTAGCAAATTGTTAAATAGTTAAAATACATACATCGACGTTAAGGTACAAGACTTGCTGGGTTGCTTTACAGTGGAAAAGGTGGCGGCCGTAAGCCCATACTATTTGTGCGTGCACATTAATCAGGGGTGGGGAACCTTTTTTCTGCCAAGGACCATTTGGATATTTATAACATCATTCTCGGGCCATACAACATTATCAACTTAAAAATTTGACTGTTATATTTGATCAAACATTTCATTAACTCACCCCTAATGTGATGGCTGGAACTGCTTCTCTTTGGCGAGGCGTGTGATGTTAGCTGGTATTGATGATGTTGCTACTCGCAACTGCTTTTCCAGGTTTGCTCCGAGATTTATTGAATTTCGAGTCCCGCCTGCGGTTGCCTTGGCAGGGCCACACCAAATGATTTCGTGGGCCTTATACGGCCCGCGGGCCAGACGTTCCCCACCCCTGACATGAACACACACACACACGTACGTACCCCAGAGGCACGGGTCTGACTTTATATCGCTGGGCACGACAGCACTGGCGTACATATCGCTGTAGTACATCTCGCCACCCGTCTGCAGGCAATGCACACGTGAAACACACGCGTGACACACGTGTGACACACGCACACAGACACGCGCGCGCATGCCAAAACATTAAGGCCGTAGCCATAGAGTCAACATTGGGGGGGACCAAATCTTGCAGGGGTCCCTCCCCCCAAAAAAAATATAAATTTGAAAACGAATTTCCTGCCATTTCCTGCCTAAAATATTACAAAATTCACTAAGACATGGTATGGATTTTTATTTTACAATAATGTCTAATAGTGTATTGTATTACATTGCTCTGTTTTTTAATGTTTTACCTTTTCTTGTTTCACTGTATGTAATGGCAGAGATTATGGATTAATAAAGTACAACCATAACCACAATCATATAAACAGAAATCTATTTAATAGCAATATATTGGGGGGGTTATTTTGAGCATATTTGACTATTGAGGGGGATGTGTGTGTGTCCCAATATATATTATAATTACGGCCTTGCAACACATTAAGGGCGGAAACTTGGAGATCTTCGTACTGCAGCAGCGGCCGTAAACCGTAACCTCTAGTGTGCGCCTCGTGCCGCCCACCTTAAGAACTTTGTGTGCTTCCTTGAGAACCAGCTTCTTATCTGGACACAAGCAAATGACGCAGTTGGAGCTGGCACGCAGATCAAGACAACATCGCACATGCAGAGTCAATATCGTCCAGTATTCTCATTCCGCTGGTGGGATGACAACCAGCGGTGGAATTATACATCCTGAGACCACAATCCACATTTTAGACGAATCTTCCAACACATTTCAAGGCCCTCTGTCAATCCACCGCCTGACGAAGGCTCCCCCGCACCCTCCGATTAGCACGGTTGACTACGTACGGTGTGAAAGAAGTTCAACATAAAAAAAACCAAGAAGATGAATCCCTGCAGTCACGAAAGCTTTAAATCGAAATTTAAGTTCAACATACTATAAAACCTTGGATTGCGAGTAACTTGGTCTGCGAGTGTTTTGCAAGACGAGCAAATTTTTTAAATAAATATTAATTTGATAAACGAGCGAGGTCTTGCAATACGAGTAGTACGTGTCTACGCTTTGTCTGCCGAGCGTCACGTGATCACAACTGATATACGAGTGCTTTGATATACGAGCGCTTTGGATTACAAACACGTTTCCAGAACGAATTATGCTCGCAATCCAAGGTTTTACTTTACGTACATACATGGGGAGGTCGTTTTATATTCTTAGGTTTTTTTCGGTAAAGTCACATAGGTAAAAAATTTAAATTAATAAAAGTAAAATACAAGTATCAAGTGAGAGAAATTCTCACTTGATACAGCTATCGTGCTGTTGACGGTTCCACCTGAAGACGGAGGCTTGCGTTGCCTCCGAAACATCGTGATTTTTATTTTATTTTTCTTTTACTTTTATTAATTTTAATTTTTTACCTATGTGACTTTACCGAAAAAACCTAAGAATATGAATCCTTGCAGTCACGAAAGCTTCAAATCTAGAGGTCGTTTTTCTCTACTTCACCACACTGGTCAGTGCCGGTTGGTGAAGGGGGTTCCGAGGCCCGGTTAAGATATCTGCTCACCATTGCTGGCCTAAGGTCAGAATTATAATATGTATTTACTAGCCTTTTGCCCGTCCCAGGACAGAAGCTGTAATATTTAGGAAAAAATTGAGCAGAGTATCATTGTATAGCTGGTGTAAATTTAATGGCAGTTAATATTGCAACGAAAGAATGTAATTAAATTTTTGTCCTAAATATTACAGCTTCCGTCCTAGGACGGGCAAAAGGCTAGTAAATAAATATTCTAATTCTGACCTTGAGCCCGGTGCCTGAAGCGCTGTGCCACTTCTCACTCCGCAAACTCCTAAACACTCCGCACGCCTCCTGTGACGCCGTGACGGCTCTCGACTGGTTGCGAGGGCCAGGCGGTGATGCGGCCCAGCGGTAGGACGTTTGCCGCTTGTTGCGAAGGTTTGTGGTTCCAATGCATTGGCTGCCCTGATTAATACTGCGGTGTCGCTGCAGTATTAACGATAAGCTTGCGTGATTCGCAATGGTAGGCCGTCGTGCACCGCCGGTGTCACGGTCCAAATTTGAAGGGAAAAAAAATTACGCAAATTACTCAATTGGAATCTACAGTACGTAGCAATCATCGCCCCCCTCTCCTGCGAAAACTTGTCAGGACACTCCTGAAAATTAGTCGTGAGGATTGGTGAGACTTTCCTGGTGAAACAAGCATAGTGATAAGTAGTAATAACGATGAGCGTGTCCGCGTCTCCTTACGCACACGATAATGTCAAAGGTGTTTTCTCCAAGCCCAGCCTCTCCCAGCTCCTCCAGGTAACCGGAGACGAAATTCACGTTGGACTTGGAGTAGCCAAACCGCTCGCGATGGTATTCCACGTGCACGTTCCCCGTCTCAATCTGCGGTCACGGGGATTGAAGCAAATTCTTCGTTGTGAAAACAGGGAGTAGTTAATGCTTCCAACAAATATGGGGGGTGAGCGTGCATGGTTGAGCGGAGGGATTTGGGAGCGTGTGTGGGGGGGGGGGGTCACTGTGGCACCATTTCCGTCGTCATGTCGATGCCGGTGACACTGCCCTGGGCTCCGACGAGCTTGCCGAGCAGGAAGCAGTCACGGCCAGAGCCACTGCCCAGGTCCAGCACGGAGCAGCCATCCAGACACTCGGGCACCACCAGGCCACAGCCAAAGTACCTGAGGCATTACGCACGCAGTCAACGAAGGCGAAAACAGAGATCCACCCGCGGAGCCTTTAACAGACCGTTGGGGCAATTGCTGTCAGCGAACACCGATGAAGGCCCACGAAGTGTGCTGATCTTATAGATGCATTGAAAAATGATAATACTCCGATTGATGCTCCTGCTGTTGTAGAGAGTCTCATGCAGCCAGCTATAGTAGTACATGTTGTTTATGTCGTTTATTGTGAAAATTCCGTCACAGTTCCTATGATCACTTTCATTGCTTTCATGGCTTTATTTTAGGTGATTTCAAAAAGTGTATTGGTTTAGCCATGTTTGTTTGTTGTAGTACAGAGTTAGACTGATGACCTTAATCTAAGTTGGCTTGTGGTTGTTGTTGGTTGTTTGACTTGCATCCCACTGGGATTTTTGCACACAGCGTTGGTGTACGGTGATTTTTTTTCTGCAATATTTTGCTGTCTTTTCTTGGATTTTCTGTTTGCACTTAGTCACATATTCACTTTAAGATATTTTTTGTTCATGTTTTTGTTTTCTGTTTGTTGCGGTTGCACCCGATTCAAGAGCAGAATGGCTCACAGGGCTATACCTAATACATGAACTTGAACTTGAAGGGGGTGGGTGACCAGCACCGCGCTCCAGTGACCTGTGTTCGATTCGCTGCTCGTGACCAATTTCAGCAGCGAATATCTGAACCGGTCCTGGGTCTTCCCTCGGTTGTCTCAGCCTTGAATAAATGCACACCTGCTGCAGTGTGTGAACTGGGCATGGCTTGGGCCCTACAGTCTTGTAAAGTCTCACACTTAGACTTGGTTTCAAGTTCAAGTTTCATTTATTAGGAATAGCCCTGTGAGCCATGCGGCTCTTGAGTCGGGTGCAGCCGCAACAACCAAAATATGAACAGAGAACATCTTAAAGTGACGACGCGCAACAGAAACATCCTGGATAAACCAGCAAATCTTCCAGAAAAAAACACCGCATCTCCGCAAGAAACATGGCTTAACCATGGTTTCGAAATCACCAAAATAAAGCTATAAAAACAATGTAGCAACAGTAATCATAGGAACTGTGATTAAAATGTAACAATAAACGATATACATAACATGTACGTAACGGTGAACCTAGTGAATTGAGTCCTTGACATTAGCAGAGGTATCAAGATATGAAATTTATTAGAACTATGGCCATGGTAATACCGATATATTAGTGATGAGGAAGCCAATGAATGACGGGTTGGCTGCCATGAATCGATGAGCGTCGTAGCATCAATCAATCAAATTGATTCGTGGTGGATCCATTGAGCAGAGTTTGGGGCAGGAATTAGGTGACCTTACCAAAGAAAATTCCAACGTCTGCCAAAAGGTATTTTGAACATTGATGCAATCATCGCTCTGTGCTTGTGTTTCCAATACTGACCACTGTCCGTTTAATCTCTCTCCGCTCTGTCTTCCACAGTATCCCCTGGGAAGCTGTACATGCAGACCCGTTGGGCAAAGTAGCTTCTTAAAAGGACGACCAGCCTACGCTGGAGATCTCCGTGTTTATCTCTGCATGTGACTGACCTGCTCATGATGGCGGGGTGTATGAGAGCCATCGCGTCCTGTATCATCTTGCTGGGTTTCTTGGCAGGCAGGGTGCACGCCACATCAGTCTGCAGATCCTCGGAGGTCTGAAGCTTCTTGCCATAGTAGTCCTATTTACGCGCACAGAGATCGACACGCGTTCAATCCGTGAGCGCATAGACACTGCAAATCGTGCACGGAAACAGGGAGTCATCTGTAAAATAATTATCTCGAGATATCAGAGTGAGCGGGGGTCAATAAACCTACAGTGCAACCTCACGTATCCGACCGTCATATCTGCGCCGACCGATTAACCGCCCACAGCCAGGGCAGAGTATATGTGCAAGGGATGTCAGGGGAAGGATTCCCACCAAAAGGAGGGGGACAGTGGAGCAGGAACAGTGGAAGGGGGAGGAGCAGGCGAGGAGATATAAGAGAGAGAACTGTTGGGAAAGGGGGAAGAACAGGGGCGGTTTCTTCATTAGGGCGATTGGGCGACGCACCGCCAAAGTGTGAAAGGGACTTTTTCAATCACATTCAAAATCTCATTCAACCACAGAGTTACGCTAGCCGTTAATGTGCCTCTGGATATAGTCCAATCAGCGTCATGTCACGTTCTGTGGAGTACCGCCTTTTTTTGGGCGATTTCACTCTGGCTGAGAATCGCCCAGAGTGTTCCCATAGACTTACATTCAAAGATGTTTTTTTTTCGAACGGCAGGCGCTCCAATGCATTCTCTATGGCTTCCGGGAGGGCTCGCACCAACGTGCTAACATCATCATACGTAAGCACGTTTCAGTCAACAATATTATTTGTCGCCACCTAGTGGAATCTTGAATAAAAGAAACTGAGTGGATTGTAATAATAGTGAGTATAGAAACAAACAAGGAGATGTATTGTAAGAGTCACTTTATTTTTCATTAATATTCAAGTAGTGAAGTTGCCTTTACATGCTTAAGCTGTTAATTTATCCATTGCATGGGTGGACCTTATCCTTATCAATCATCCAGACATTTGCCCCCCCTGAGAGATTTTGCAGGAGCCTGCCACTGGGGAAGAACGAGTAGGAAACGGACGGAGAAGGCTGGGGACGAGTGTGGACTGGGGGAAGAAAGAAAGGACGAACCCCCTGCAACCTCGTGTCGGCTCTCCTTTACATATGCGCGGAGTTGTCACTGACGTTCTCCATTGGCGTAAACTAAATCCGATCATTTTACGCACGGTCATGTCTTCTTGATGGCGCGTACGTTCGCTCACTTGCAAGGCCCAGCCAAAGCATGTCCCCGTGCTTAAAGCAGCTGGCGTTGTATTTTTGTCCAGTGATTGAATATATGTCCACGGTGGTGTAGCTGTCACTTTGACCGGATGTTCACATATCCGCCCATTCGAGTCGGATACGCCACGTTGTACTTCACAGTACTCTCGGGCCGCGTTCTTCAGTCATTCTCAGAGGAGGAGCCACTTTTCGCCGATAAGACATCATCAGTGTGAGGGCCGCCACACAATGCTGACGATGGAGGGGGGGGGGGTGACTTCACTCTTTGTGGATTGTCGGGGGCCTCACTAAAGGCGACAAGAGGCCGCCAGTGAAGAAGAACTCTGAGCTTGGAAGTGTAAATGTTTTATTTGTGTGAGCTTCTTCCTTGTAAATGAGACGCGGGGAACCTGTATGCCACATCCACGAAGGGCCTACCACTTAATAAGGGCACGCAAACGATATTTGTCCATTACTAAACTGCATTGGCAGTGATGTGCAAACGACAAAACACTCAACACATTCATTAATAAGACAGTCTTCACAGGAACACTGTCACACACACTGACCCGACCATGAACATTCACACACACCTCCCATCAACACTGACACACACTGACCCGACCATCACACTTCCCATAACAAAGACAAAGATCCCCCATATAGTCTCCCGAGTGGTGATGTTTACACATCGCCACCAGGTACTTATATAAGGCTGAGTCGACCTAGGGGAGGCCCAGGACCCGTTTAGATAATCGTCACTGGTGTTGGCCGTGGGCGAGAATCGAATCCGGGTCGCCGGGTTCGTAGAGCAGCGCGCTAACCGCTGCACTACCGCTCCCCACTAGACACACACTCTGACACACACACAGACACACACATTCTGACACACACACTGACACACACAGACACACATTCTGACACACACACAGACACACATTCTGACACACACTCTGACACACACACAGAGACACACATTCTGACACACACACTGACACACACACATACACACATTCTGACACACATACTGACACACAGACACATTCTGACACACACACTGACACACACTGACACACACACAGACACACATTCTGACACACACAAAGACATACACACAGAGACACACATTCTGACACACATTCTGACACACACACAGACACACATTCTGACACACACTGACACACACACACAGACACACATTCTGACACACACACACTGACACACACTCTGACACACACTCTGACACACACACTGACACACACACAGACACACATTCTGTCACACACACTGACACGCACACAGGCACACATTCTGACACACACACAGACACACATTCTGACACACACATACTGACACACACACAGACACACATTCTGACACACATACTGACACACACACTCTGACATACACACACTGACATAGACACACATTTTGACACACACACACAGACACACATTCTGTCACACACACTGACACACACACAGACACACACAGACACACATTATGACACACACACATTCTGACACACATACTGACACACACACATTCTAACACACATACTGACACACACACTGACACACACATTCTGACCTGGCCAGTACAGCAATGCACGGCGTAATGACGCCACTAAAATAATTTTGAGTCGACAACCAAAATAATCCGAGACCCCACCCGCCCCCCCGCACTAATCTGTACCTCCACGCAAAACATTAGCGAAGTTTGTTTTTTTATTTTTATTATTTTATTATTTCCCTTCTACGTGACTTTACCGAAAGAACCAAGAAGATTAACGAAGTTTGTTTTTGTGACCCTCCCCCCATCAGCCGCATTGGCACCTTCCCATAATCGCGGTGGAGCTGCGTACGGCGCGAAAGAAGTCCACCGTGCGTGGGGCAGAGCGCGTGCGTGGGGCAGAGCGCGTGCGTGGGGCAGAGCGCGTGCGTGGGGCAGAGCGCGTGCGTGGGGCAGAGCGCGTGCGTGGCGTGCGTGGCTTCCTGGCAGCAGCGATTGGTCGGCGACACGCGAGCAAACGTCTGGGACTGGCTTCGACGTTGGGTGCCTCGTCAGGGGGGCGGCGTGGCACGCTCGCTGCCCAACTTGCCACGTGTGCGAAACGTCGTGAGTTTTTGTAAAGTTTATTATTTTAATTTTAATATGATTTATTTTTATTCTATTCTTGCAATTTTTATTATTGCATTATTTACGTTTTATTATTTTAATTTTATTCTTGTAATTTTTATTGTATTGTTTTTATTTTAATATTTTTAATTTTTATTTTATTCTTGTTATTAATATTTTATTATTATTTTATTGTATTATTTTAATATTTTTTTATTCTTGTTATTTTATTATTATTTTATTATTTTTTATTTTCTATCTACGCGACTTTCCCGATATAACCAAAATCATTTGCCGCTGGATGAGCAGTGCGCCATGTGCGTGCAGCAGTGTCCCTCTCGCCTGCTGCCTCCCTGCCTCTCCGCTCCCCGCCTTCACCGCCCCGCACTGCTGCAGCACGGGGTGAAGTATGGCCAACCAACGGCGTAGCGAGCCCTTCATCCAGCAGTGGATCGATCGTGCATGCCGGATTTGATGATGGTGGTGGTGGTGAATTGGTGATACATCGATAGGCTCCGTGTACCTTAACGCTGTCGTGGATTTGCTGTCCGTCCATTGCGCGCGAAGCTGCTGCTGCAGCAGCTGCAGCTGTTGTGCTAAAGTTCATCGGGAGGACTTTGGACGTTGCGATGGTTCCGGGTGGGGGGGCGGGTGGCTTAAGCGAGAACGCAGCAGAGGCGGGAGCATTCCAGAGGCATTGCAGAGGCAATGCAGAGAGGCAATGCTCCGGAGCATTGCAGAGGCAATGTAGAGGCAATGCTTCTGGAGCATTGCAGAGGCAATGCAGAGAGGCAATGCTCCTGGAGCATTGCAGAGGCATTGCAGAGAGGCAATGCTCCTGAAGCATTGCAGACGCAATGCAGAGAGGCAATGCTCCTGGAGCATTGCAGAGGCAATGCAGAGAGGCAATGCTCCTGGAGCATTGCAGAGGCAATGCAGAGAGGCAATGCTCCTGAAGCATTGCAGAGGCAATGCAGAGAGGCAATGCTCCTGGAGCATTGCATAGGCAATGCCTCCCCGATTTGGCGACAGCCCCGCTCCAGTTTCATTCTCTCCGTCGTCGCTACGCGGTCAGTGAGGCCTGCGAAAGGGGTCTGTGATTGTGAGTTTAAAACGCAACAGTTAATGCAACGCACGTGTTTGTGTTTTTTATCTCTCTCTCGCCTTCAAACTAACTGGGAATAAATGGCGTGGACACTTTGGCGTTGCTCACAAAGTGCCGTGGCTATAAAAAGGCTCGCGACGGCGCGGGGATCGTTCCCGAACGCCGGAATCGCCTCGACCCCCCCTCCTCCTCCACTCCACTCCGCCCAATGTCCAGGTCTCCGTTGCTTAAAGGGCGTCGTACCAACAGCATACCGCGTCAACCCAAACACTACACTACTATACACTACACTATACACTACACTACTATACACTACACTATACACTACACTATACACTACTATACACTACACTATACACTACACTACTATACACTACACTATACACTACTATATACTACACTATACACTACACTATACACTACTATACACTACACTATACACTACTATACACTACACTATACACTACACTACTATACACTACACTATACACTACTATACACTACACTATACACTACTATACACTACACTATACACTACACTACACTATACACTACACTATACACTACACTATACACTACACTATACACTGCACTATACACTACACACTACTATACACTACATACACTATTATACACTACTACACTATACACTACACTATACACTACACTATACACTGCACTACTATACACTACACGATACACTGCACTACTATACACTATACAACACTACTATACCCTGCACTATACACTACACTATACACTACACTATACACTGCACTACTATACACTACACTATACACTACACTGCACTATTATACACTGCACTATGCACTACAGTATACACTACACTATACACTACTATAAACTGCACTACTATATACTACAATACTATACACTACAATACTATACACTACAATACTATACACTACAATACTATACACTACACTACTATACCGTGTCAACCCAAACGGATTTACCCCGTATTCTTGTACAGGGAAATTGAGTTTTCAGGCGTACAGCCCGTTTCAATACGGGCACAACAAGACAAATGTGTCTATTTGTTTGTGTTTCTCCCTTGTGATGGGACTTTGGAGGCTAAATGTTGAGATTTATAAGGGCACGGGGTGACCAATAAGGTCTGAATTGGTCTGTAATAAGGAAGGAACTGATAAGGGGTTGACGGGTATGAAAAACAAAAAGACAAAGATCCCCCGTAAAGTCTGACCAGACTGTTGGGGAAAGGGCTGTTAGCGAGCACCTATGAAGGTCGGAACGGCACAGGGGTTCGGGTGGCCAGCACCACGCCCGGCCGCCTTTGTCTCCCCAGTGGTGATGTTTACCCACCGAACCAGGTACTAATTTGAGGCTGAGTCAACCTAGGGGAGGTCCAGGACCGGTTCAGATAATCGTCACCGGTGCTGGCCGTGAACGGGAATCGAACTCGGGTCGCCCGCTTCGTAGCGCAGCGCGCTAACCGCTACACCACCGCTCCCCACACACCACACACGCACACACCACACACGCACGCACCACACACGCACACACACACACCACACACACACACGCCTCACACCACACACGCACACACACACGCACACACCACACACGCACACACCACACACGCACACACCACACACACCACACACACACCACACACGCACATACACACCACACATGCACACACACACCACACACGCACAAACCTTTATACTGTGGGACAACCACTGGAAGGCAGAGTAGAGTCAGCGATGGTCATCGTTTATGGCAAAAGGCACGAGAGGAGAGAATGAATGTGAAATGGGAGTAGGGACGTCGAAAGAGAGATTAACCTCGTGCAGGGCAGTGTGCGGGCTTTTTGTGAACGTTCCTCATGCGAATGCGGTCACCCAGAACATCCTGTGCTGGCCGACTCGTTCTTCGCTGCTACGCCTGTCCCCCCCCCCCCCCCATTTGTGCAGATACTGAATATGTGACTAAGTGCAAACAGAAAATCCAAGAAAAGACAGCAAAATATTGCAGAAAAGGCACCGTACACCAACGCTGTGTGCAAAAATCCCAGTGGGATGCAAGTCAAACAACAACCACAAGACAACTTAGATTAAGGCCATCAGTCTTACTCCGTACAAACAAACATGGCCAAACCAATACACTTTTCGAAATCACCAAAATAAAGCCATGAAAGCAATGTAACAGTGATCATAGGAACTGTGACGGAATTTTCACAATAAACGACATAAACATGTACTACCTAAACCCTGCACCATTTGTTGGTAACCCTGGGGTGGGGGTCCACTTTCTATAACGTTTTGATTCAGGTCTTCTGAGAGGCTCTTATCATTTAGTTGACAGACAAGCGGAACGCTGGGCTTTGATAATTGGACAAATATGTACACACAATCTTGACTTAAAGCTTTCGTGACCGCAGGAATTCATATTCTACGTGGCTTTACCGAAAGAACCAAATAATATTTAGACGCAATAAGGCGATGGGTTTTGGCAATGTCCCTTCTGCATGGTACGCAGATGCCACTGCCCGAAACGTGAAGGGTAATTGGCCGAAACGTCGCCAATTGTCATTTTAAGGCCAGTGTTGTTGATGTGTTAAGATATTGTCTTGTTATTTGTGATAAATCAGCCGTTCATTCCATAAATCTACTTCTGTACTCTACACATTTTAACCAATTAAATGCAAATAAATAATTATCAATATTTGCCCATTGAACGTTTAATATTACCGCCCATGTCTATACATATACACTACCGGTAAAAAAACAATACAACTATATGATGTAAACGAATAACTTTGAATTGGCATACCCAGGATAATTAATCTTAGCCGCGGTTCTATTTGTTGGAAACTTGATGTGGGTCACCCCTTCGTCGAGTCAGTTCTCAAGAAGAGCACCTGGCTTTGTGCACAAACAAGTGGGATTTGCAAAGTGCGGGGTGGACAGACTTACATGGTTCTCGCCACACCAAAGTCAAATATTCCCCGTATAGCTGGCCATACCACCCACTCCCATGAGCTGCCTCTCACCTTAATAAGTGTTTGCTAACAGCACTTATCTCAATTTTTTTAGGTAAGTTTACCAAAACAAAACCACGGTATTTTATGTTTAATTTTTATTTAATAAAAAAAAATAAAGCTATTTTATTAGTTATTTTAAAAATAAATAAGTTCATATTTATTTTGAAATGAATTTATATTTTATTATTTATTTTAAAATAAAATAAATTTAGTTTTATTTAAAAATAAAATTATTTTATTATTTCCCTTCTATGTGACTTTACCGAAAGAACCAAGAATAAGAAAGGGATGATCACATCAGTCGCATTTTACAGGGATAGAAATGTGTTTATTACAAGTTGTAGTGATACACTTCAAACATGTAAATACAATGATAAGTTCAATGGAAATGTAATTCCTATCCGAAACATTATTTCACAAAGCATTCATATGTTCACGCCGTATGTATATAAACACAAGTGGATGTATACATTGTTACATAATTTGAAATGCACACGTTTGTAAAATACAAAACTCTTGATATTGTTTTTGTTACAGTATAATGTCGCATAATCTACTCTATGGGGACTGCGGCTATAGGCGAATTTGTGAGGATATCGGATGTGTGACCATCTATAGAGAATTACCGTGACACCGTGCACACACGAACAATGCACTGGCACCTCATTTGCCAGTAACAAAATATGATAATTGGTTTTTTACCCTTTTATCTGGCAACATAACAGACACCTTTTTTACAAGAAGTCATGTTTGCATTGACCACAATACCTGTAGTCGGAATGCAAACAAAAAAATAACTCCGATAATGTATGCACTGTCCTTGAAAATTGATTGGTCCACACCCGAGACAGCTTTATTTGTTGCTAGATAAAAGGGTAAAAAAAACAATTATCACTGCACTGGCTGTGGGCGGTCAATTGGTCAGGGCAGATTGACCACTTGTTGCTGCGAAACCTGAAATTAAATGAGGGCAATAATTTGTTGGCACGAAGTCAATGTGCCGATTTGTTGAATTGACTAAACATGCAAAATAAACACAATCCACTTGTTTTAACCATTGTCATTTTGTAAAATGTTTCTGTTTAAGTAACGTAAACACAATGCTAAATTGAACTCCGAGCTGCAGTGCCACTCGTTGGCAAGTCGAGGCATTGCCATTCTACACACGGCAGTCAGCATCGGCCAGGGGTCGGGAACCAAAATGACAGAGACAATTTTTTTGAAATCGGTACAACAAAAAACACCCTCAATGTCTCAAGAGCCGCAATGCAAATGTGAACACGAGACGGTGATGCTTCATAAATAACGGTCACGTGATCAAGTCACACGTTGGGACGCACAGCAGCCTTGAGCCTGGATCGTGCCTGTATGGGCGGTCACCGATGCACTGCATCAACCGTCGAATGTTGTGTTGCACTACTATGCTCCCCAGTTTATTCATTGAAATATTTCACTTGGGTAAACCGCTCGAGATGGAACATCTCTCGTTTGCAAGGGTGTCAAGTCAAACACGAAATTACTCGCATGCGCGTTTCAATCTGCTACAAGTTACAGTATATTTCTACAATGTCTAATACATTTACAGCGTCAAGAACATTCACAAGAGGGCAGCGCACACGAAGATCACACTGTGCAGTCAGCGTTCACGAAACCGCATTGGCCAGCGTGGTGAAGTATGGTCAATTAACCCCCAAAACTCACAAACCATGGGAAGGCCTTCATCATGCAGTGCTGACAAGGCTGTAGATATATACACACACACAGATATGTCATCATATGCAATATTTAGGGCTGTTTTCTTTTTAGTTGTCTCTAAGGACATTTGGGAGTTTAAGGCTGAAAACACATTTGCTTTTACTGTAGGGCTGGTCAAATATAGAAAGTAATATCGCTGCACAACTTTTATTATCTAAAAAAAAATCGACCATGCACACCCTATAATTGTATCCATGATCAAATCATTTTTCATTCTTGTGCGAAACTCACATGGGCATAAATCATTTTATGACAGGCCCATTATACGACATACTCATATCCTTGGGAAAAATGTGGAAATGTGGAGTCGGCATTGTAAACATTAGTTATGCAGTGTTTGGACATCAGACCACGTGATTTCTTGTGTGCACCTTGGGCAAGCTAAACAGTAAAACAGGTTATAGTCACAATGGCAGAAGTTTTCATTTGAACTGCTGGGCCAGATAGGCACTCTCCCATTTGAAAAATCCGCAGCCGTTGCAGTCTCCATCACAGCCAAGAGCTTTGCTAACACGGCAGGAGAAGAACATCCTTCCCTCGTTCGGGCCCGCTTTGGAAACGGTGCGTCGTTTCGAGCGTCGCCCACACTGACACAGAGGTGGGGTCACCTTGCCCACGAACGAATTTCTGGAAGTGGAGGTCACTGGCGTAACAGTCATCGATCTCCACGAGGTGAGATTGACAGGTGTCAGTGTACCATTCCTAGAATCGCTTCCACGGAAGACGACATCTGGTGAACTTTTCTTCTCACCGCACAAGACAAATCCTTCTGCGGGTTTACATTTGCCGGTCTGTGGGTTTGATGGAGTCGGCATGTAATTTGTGTTTCGCTGTTTCAAAGCGCTGCCCGTCGGTGGACTTGGCTTTTTAAACAGCCCATTCTGAGGTGTATAAACGTCACATTTTGGTGTAGACTGGTCGCACACACGTAACGTCCGACTGACGCACATCGGAGTTGTGAAGATTTGTCGATTTGAGGCATCATCATCCTTCTGTTGTTTTGAGTAACCCTGGACGGGTGATGCGAAACCACCACTGCGCACCAGAGGCGGTGTCATCATCTGCTGCCCTCCAAGATGTTTATCAGTCAAGTTCATATTGACACCGCCTCCACTACTCATCACGGTGGGCACCATGACGTGTTCAGCAGTGGTCGGTGACCGACCAGTATTGGCAACATTGGGACTATTGTGCAGAAGTAGCCTTTGCACAACAGACGTATCCGGTGCTAAATATACACTTCTCCTGTCAGTTTCATTCAGATGTCCTACGGACACATTTCCTGCTATTAAGGTACAAGGAGAAACAATGCTCTGGAACACGGAATTGTGGGCTGTTGAAGAGCTGCCTTGACCAAGAAAGTGATCACCATTGGTGCTGTTAGACGCAGTAGGTGGACGCACCTGTTGCCCATTTTCTTTGCCGTTCGAGGCTGCGAATTGAGGCACGTTTTGTGTTAATCTCCGAATGCTCAGAGTATGTCATTGCTCTTCTGCTGGGGCCTGCTATTTCATCAAGCCCTTTGCTGGACCCCCTCTCCTCTGCTGGCGTATTGACCGGTGGGACACTTGAACGATATCCCTGCTTTTAAATGACAGAAAATGAATCAAATTATGGGATTGTAAAAATTGGATTTTTTTTATTGTGCACATAACTTAACATTTTTAACAAAATAAAATATCACGTTGGGAAACAATCATGAAAATTATCGAAGGGACCATTCAACATTATCAACATGTCGCAGGCAAGCTATTTGTACGCCGAGGGCACGTAAGGTGCAGCCGAATGAACATTTTTTATATCAATAAAATGTTTATAAAAACTCTTAGCAGATTTTCCTGGAGGATGGAGTGGAGGTACTGTGGTTAGCGCACTGCGATCTGAACCTGGAGATCTGAATTGAATGACTGGCAATGGCTAACATCAAGTGGTGAGCAATATCTAAACCCGTCTTGGGTAACCCTTCCTTCAACAACCCCACTGACCAGCTTGGTGAAGTATGGTCACACAAGCACTCAGACTAACGCAAGAGCCGCATAGCAGAGGTCGCAACCGGGTACCCGATACCCGTACCCTACCCGATACCCGGCTACCCGTACCCGGCCGGGTACGGGTACCCATTTGCGACCCTGGTGCGGCCGGGTATGGGTAAAGAATCAAAACCCGTTTGCGACCTCTGCCGCATAGGTATAAAATAAAATTAATCACGACGTTTCGATTGCAACACAAGCAATCATTATCAGGTGGGAAAACCACAGCAAGAAAAAAAAATTGCTGTGGTTTTCCCACCTGATGATGATTGCTTGTGTTGCAATCGAAACGTCGCGATTTATTTTATTCTATACCTACGTGACTTTACCAAAAGAACCAAAGAGTATGGATTCCTGCAGTCACGAAAGCTTCAAGTCTAGATTTAACACAAGAGCACTGGACAAAGGGCCTTATTATTGTAATTATAGATTTACTGGTGGTTCATTATGTGCCACCTAGCACCCAATGATCTAATCAGAATGTGTTACCTAGCAACCACGAGCGAACAGTGACCTGACCTATTTTTTGTATACGTGTGTGCATGAGCAATGGTACATTTATACGAACTTAATGTTACTTTATATAGAAACGGTAACAACGTAATGCGTAAAGGGGAAGCCTATGCAATTACTCAAGCCAGCGTTGATGGGAACTCTTAAGAGACCCTCTAGAGGGTATTTTGTTGTAGTTTTACACGCAATACATGTGGTATGTGATAATACATTCATGGTTGTTAGATTAACAACTGTATAGGAGGCCCTATATATTAATGTATTCTTTCATGCATTATTTCTGAGCGGGGTAGGACAGGATGCATGCACTTGTGAATACATTTATAATGCTGAAAATGACGTTTTATCATCATCATCATCGTCTATAGCGAGGCACATCCCAGCCAGCCAGAAAGGGTGCACTCACTGCTCTATCGATAGACTTGGTGATCTTCATGGTGCATCCGTCACAAATCATCCTCCACGCCAGCTGTGCTGTATTTCTGGCATCATCAAGACCTGTCAACAACAACAACAACAACGGGTCACAAGATACAACGATCATCGCAAAGTGAAACTTTAATTACGGGTCCGAAACGAAGAGACGAGGAAGAAGGCAAGGGTGGTATCCATCTTAAGACGAGCTGAAATAATATAGTCTCAGATGGCAGGGACATATCGTAAGAAAAATGGGGAAAATAACAATGGAAGAGAGGTGATGAACATGGAAGCACCAGGGCTGAGACGGAGAGGCAGGCCCAGAAAAAGGTGTTTTGAATTGGTTCACAACTTTGGACGTGGAGTTAGCGTAGGACAGGAATGAGTGGGAAAAAGAGAAGGAAAGTATGACTTTCTCTCACAAAGCATTGTCTTTAAATTTCGATTTAAAGCTTTCGTGACTGCAGGGATTCATCTTCTTGGTTCTTTTGGTAAAGTCACGTAGAAGGGAAATAATAAAATAATAAAAATAAAACATAATAAAGCATTGTCTTTTAATCTGTCCTGCGATATATTCTGTACATCGGCCACTCAAACTCTGTAACAAGCTTAACACCATAACCTGTGTCAGAGCTATCGAGTGTACAGGAAGTGGTGCAACTGCCCCGAGACTGAGGGCTGGAGGGGCCTAGGTGCCGGATATGGGGGGGGGGGGGGCCCATTAAATACCTATCACAATCCCAACCACGTCGTGCCGCTGACCATAGGAAGGGAGCTCGCCTCGGGGCTTTTCACTCCCCACGCATAGTCAGCCAAGGACCGTCGCGCCAAAATGTGTGAAACCTCTCGCGTGAGCATTCGCATAAACCGCTCTTGCTGCCATAGCAGAGGTCGCAACCGGGTACCCGATACCCGTACCCTACCCGATACCCGGCTACCCGTACCCAGCCGGGTACGGGTAGCCGTTTGCGACCCTGGTGCGGCCGGGTACGGGTAGGCCGCGAGTCACTGGTGAGTAACCGTTTGTCACTCATTTCGGGTAGGGTACGGGTACGGAACGGGTACCCATTTGCGACCCTGGTGCGGCCAGGTACGGGTAAGGAATCAAAACCCGTTTGCGACCTCTGTGCCATACTGGCGTCTCGAGGGATTTGATCCACGGATCACGGGGCAGGGGGGGGGGCGACGACATTTCTTGGAGGGTCGCGGTCCACTTTGAACGTCAAGGCCAGGCGAGATCTCAAGGAAGGAAGCACGCTTGGGGAAGCGGGGCCAGGGGGGACCTCAGGGGGTTGAGCGCTGGAGAGCGGATACTGCCGTGCACTGTCCCGGCGTACACTCACACACTTGAATTGAATTGGAAATTGGAACGTGTGGTGCATTCAAACTATGCAGCCACGAACCTGAATGCTCTCTTCCAGTAAAGCATATACCAAGGTCCTGCAATGCTCCATTCAGACCCTTTGGCTTGCGTTCATAAAACATCTGAGGAAATTATAAATGGCATGTTTTATCCACGAATAATTACACCGCTGATCACAAAAGAATCAAGCATTAGTCATCTCGAACTAACAATATGGTCCCTGCAGTTTTGTTACAGATGACAGTTATACATGTACCTCTAAAAGTGTTTCGGTTGTCACAATAGGTATTTATCTTGAAAGCATTCACACAGGTATCCACTAGAGACACAAAGCCCGAAGCGATTATAGTTTCCGTGGGGGACGTTTATTTATGCCATACACAAGATCGGGAAACTCGATGGGATTTTAAGATAGGCAAGGGTCAGTGAAAAATATACAGAATTATTTCATCACAATTGAAGGTATGATATAAATGGAATGTTCCTGTTAAATTAGACCTTTTTAATGTTTGTAAAATAATTTAGAGCCCTTTGTCAAAGCAAATGGAACAAAATGTGAAAAAATGCCACAAAGAAGCACGGTGAAATGCATGTTAGGAACACGTGGATTAGAGAACAAATTAGAGACATTATTTGGACTTAAGGATAGTGAGGCCTGGGAAAGACACATTTTACTTGACATGATGACGATGACCGATGGATGAGTAGACATTACAGAGAGGACCACCACCATGCAGATGGCGCGATGGGTTTATCTCGTGTGCAGGAGCGACATGGATTATGGCTGCATGACGTTTTTTAGGGATGGTAATGACACGGCGAGGCCTTCATTCAGCAGTAGATTGATCCTGGCTGGTGATAATAGAATATCAAATGCTAACAACACTCTAACACACCAGTCTGTTTCTCTCTTACCCGGTAAGTTACTCTCAAATCAATCCAGCTGTTGAGAACATCAGGTCTTCGTATCTGTTTCCTCTGACACTCGCCCTTGAGGCACACTCCTAGATCCCAGTCTGCAAAAAAAAAAACAATAGCATATTCTTAGGTTTTTTTTTTAACCTCTCCATAACAAAGGCTCACCCTCTTAAGCCTCACCTTACCATATGAATAAAAAGTGTGCTGTACTTGGCCCTTCCCCCCCTCTCCAACCATTATATATACCGAGTGGTAGCTCCTGCAATCTCTCATTTACTTGATACAGCTGTCGTGGCTGTGACGGTTCCACCTGAAGACGGAAGCTTGTGTTGCCTCCGAAACGTCGTGATTTTTATTTTATTTTTATTAATTTTAATGTTTTACCTACGTGACTTTACCGAAAAAACCTAAGAATATGAATCCTTGCAGTCACGAAAGCTTCAAATCTAAAACAATAGCATCCAGCTTTCATTCAAGTTTAAATGTTTCATTACACATTGACATGCGAATGAAATCGCTTAACGAAAATAACGCAACTGTTACGCCAAAGACTTAGAAATACAAGACCACGCAAACAAGACATGTTTATTCTCCCAGTTATATTCCCACATTGCAATCGATGTTACATCATGAGACAATAGCATTGTCACTTGGAACTCTCCGAGTGAGTAGTGCATCAGCTTGTTTCAGAAAACCCCCAAGAAGATGATAAAGAGCTACTTGTGACGCCGCTTGATTTGAGTTCCGAATGGAAATGTATTTCTCTCACAATGCGACCTGCCAATGGACTGTGCGTGTACCCATTTATACCGCTGGGTGGACAGAGGTGGGGAGATTTGACAAACTCGCACCGTTGTTTCAAGCGTCACCTTGGCAGAGAAAACCGGCGACCTCTGAATTGCAAATCCAGTGGGTTAACCACTCCAACAGTCTTGATTTTAAGCTTTCGTGACTGCAGGAATCCATACTCTTTGGTTCTTTCAGTAAAGTCATGTAGGTATACAATAAAATAAATCACGACGTTTCGAAAGAACCAAAGAGTATGCACTGCAACAGTGTTCTTAACTAATTTTCAGAGGGGGAACACTTTCGCCACTAAGACATCATCAGTGTGAGGGCCACCACACATTTGAAACCATTGGGGTTTGACAGCACAATGATGATGATGGGGGGGGGGGGTAGGGGGGTATCTTTACATTTGTGTAGTTGGGGGACGCACGTCAGAGGCCGCACTAAAGGCCGTCAGGGACCACCAGTGGCCTGCGGGCCTTGCAATAAAGAACACCGCACTCTATCATAACATCATTTCACGACTGACAGGGCAAAAATGGGGTGTTCATGCGTGATAACAAACAAAAAAAACAATCTCAGAAACCCGGTAATTTAACCAACAGCAGTACACATCTGAACCACCAGAGTACATTACCTGACCATGTTACAAACGCACACGGCTTCTTGCCTTCGCATGCATCCCTCTCAAGGTCCCTTGCAAACACAATGTTCTTCTCTTCTTGCAGTTTCCTGAGCCAGTGACCAAACTGCGAGAGGCAAATGTGCAAGGGCACGCCAGCCTCCACTTGGTGCTGGTGACAAACGAGATTCATTTCAGAACAACATCGTCAAGGTGCCCCTTCCCCCCTCCAACCCAGCTTAAATACACGCTGCCAAGCCTTGGTGGTGTCCATTCAGACGCTGTCTTCCCAACAGACCTGTTCTTCACCTGAGGACGGCTGCTTGCGTTGTGGCCGAAACGTCGTGAGAATTATTTTATTATGTTTTATTTTTATTATTTTATTATTTCCCTTCTACGTGACTTTACCAAAAGAACCAATAACATCGTATTTACATGGTGCAAATTCCCACAATACTTCAGTGTTTTAAGATGGCACCCAATGCTACTTTACAGCATCGCAACGCCTTTGCTTTTGGAACAGGGAGGTAACGTATTTTAGGATTAACGGCTTAAAACTATGCTGCCTGTCACACTGGCTTGGTTTAAAGCTTGCACACTCTGCACCGTTTCTATTAACCACTTGCTTTCATCATTTCACATGGTGACTTCTTCCCGCTGCATCACATTTAGCTGGTGGTGCACGACTGTAATCCAGTGCAGTGCTTTGAAAGTGAGGGTTAGTGGGCGACTCGAAGCGTGCGACTCCGTAGCCATGGGCGCCGAGGTTGCCATCACTTGGCTGTTCAGGGAATATCGCTACTGCAAGTGGGTTCATTTCCATCTGTACAGGGATTGTGAGTTAACCCTCCTCACATGCGTGGGTTGTCGCCGGATACTCCGATTTCCTCCCACACTCACAAATGGAATTGACCAAACACCCCATTTTTAGGACCGCAGAGATAAAAAACGGTTGATTTAATTGTTACCGTACGCGAGAAAGGTTTTCTCCAAGCACTCTTGTTTTTCGTCCCACGTGTATAAACACTCATTCGTGGAGTTGGCCAAACATTTCAAAGACAGGATCGGAGAGCTTGGCGCATGGTCCGACTGCCTTCTCACTTGTCTGCGATTTCCCGCACCTCTGAATTATTGTCTCTGCAGTTATAATTTGACTCTCTCTATCCCTGCATATATGGGTGTACTAATTACTGTGTAATCAGATATCTGTACACACACCCCTGTCATGTGACATATACATTCCAAGCTAAACTGTATTGGTCACTTGCTGTTCTCAGACCACATTTAATCCTTTGAGTGGGGTGGTGACACAAGTGTCCCCTGCTGTGCGTATGCCACTGCTTGATGATACTCGGTCTCCTGGAACAGAGTTCTAAGCCATGTGGTGGCCCATATTTTTCAACTCTACATCAAAAGTCACATGTATCAGGTTTCAGTGGTCAGAATATCAAGCAAAATGCATTGAGCTTTTAAATGTCAGGCAACCATTAACAAGACTATGGGAAACATGTGGAGAATCGTGATACGTACATGGACGTTACACATTTTAGTTACAAAACAATTACCAACATTTAACCTTGCACGGTTTCTGTTTTTTTATTTGCCTATAGATCGATTTGCATTAGATTTCAAAACATTGTAAATTGCAATCAATTGGAAAGATGATCGTGAGGAATCTCATAGTTTGGCGGCACAGGGGAAAAAAAATGTTGGCAAGCGTTTTGCACGGCAGGTCATTGAGGAAGAGCAGGGTGAGACAAACACGGGTAGAGCAACATGAATGTGTAACGGCGTAAGTAGCGCAGGAGTCGTTGACGGAGGCAACACGTATTTATTACCATTAAATCCAATACAGCAGAGTAACGACTAACACTCGAAGAGGTAACGGCCCCTTCACCCGGTTCTATCCGAGGCAGTGTCCCTCGGCTAACGTTTCCCCGTTAGCTCCTACACCCCTCTAACCCAGACCATCCTAGTGGAGGCTAACTGACCTGGCCCAGCTTCGGCTCAGGTACGACCCTCAGCCACACAAGCCTGGCCCTCACAAGGAAACAGACCTCGCTGCTCTGAGGTCGCCCCTGGCTTGCCCTGCTCGGCTCTTACAAGAGCAGCGAGTCAGGATAGTCCCAGGGCTAACTAGCTGGTCGTCAGTCTTCACTGGCTCTTCTGCTCCAACGACTCCTTGAGCTCTCTCGCGCACCGCCTTATATACCCAACTGCCCCCCCGAGGGGCGGGGCTGTATGCGGACGTTGATGTAGACACCCCAACGTAACGGCTTGCTACACCCCTCTACGTAATACCTCTACAAATGTATGGAGTGATGCTCAGAATAAACTAAACAATTTTTTTTAATGTCATCAGGTAAGGCCCACCGAGCTGCGTAGCTCTTCTTCAGAAGCGACCCGGCCACAGATGATTACTCAACGAAGTGGCTCATCGAGTGGAAATTCATTGCAGGCGAATACTCTAAACGCACGTTTTTAAATGTGGAGGAAAAAATCGAAGGACCCGGAGAAAAATCCACGCGACCACTGGCATAACATGCAAACTCCAAATATACAGGCGTTAGGGTCAAACCAATGACCTCCTGCATACCAGGGCGATGGAATTAACATCTCGCCGCCGCAGCACCATAATGTGAGACAGTGCCCAATGAAGCACCGTACTTCGAGTGATGATAAGAGATGTACGAGAGATACAGGGCTGACAACCAATTACATTCAACCAAGAATGAGGAGAAATGTTTGACATCTAAATTAGTATTACTTCTTACCTGCTGAATACCTGTAAGCTCTGTACAAAAGGCGGAGAGTAAAGGATGCTCCTGTGGTTGGAGGTACGTGCGAAACTCATTTTCAATTTGTCCATTGGCGGCATTCAACAGGACGGCAGGAAACTCAACTGACAACACAAAACATTAAAATACAATTTGGATTTATAAACGATTGATAGACAAATGCATCCTCAGATGCTGTACAAAAAGATTTATATTCACATCATGCAGACAGTAGTACATACCATATATGTTCTCGTGAAAAGCCTGTCACTCGGACAAATGGCAAGAGGAAGAGGCTGGAGCGTGGACTGGAACAGGGGCAGAAAATTCAGAGCACTGATAGCTGGGGGATGACTTTTATATTTCCAGGACAGCAGAAAAGGAGCAATCTCCCACACTTAGTAAGTGGTTGACCAAGGGATTAGACAGAAAGCATTGACATGCAATCCTGTTGATTACATTTGCACATTCAAGAGATGAGCAGATATCCCAAAGGAGTCGATTATGTTTAAGCTAGAGGACAGCCAGCATTTCTGAGATCATCGAGGTCTCAAACTCCAGGTACACGCAGTCTGGGATGAAGGTTGCATGACACATCTCTCCCTTGCCATTGGCATGAAATGAAGGGCTGCTTTGTATCCTGGGAACAAGAGATCCACTGATGGTGCTCTGAGGCTAGGAGACACTCTGCATCATGTCCTAATTCAAATAAGGGAAAAATAAAGAGTCTAAGTGGCTGGTTCGCTCAGGTGAGTCATAATCCCCATGTCAAGAGTACATAAACAAAATCCCGGAATTGAATGCGAGTTTCTGCCAACTCCACTGTAGTGATGGTATAAGCTTGGTTACGAATAATTGTGCAAAAAAACCACACTGACATTTGCATTTTTCGATTACATTTGCATATTCCAGCTTCAAGGACTAAAGGCTTTCATTTGTTTTGCATTTTATTTGTGTACAGGGAACTTAAGGGTGTTCTTTGGTTGAGGCTCAATGCTGTGACTGGACACTCTGTAATGCCATCTTCCAGGGACTACTCTCCTACATAGTGTGATGTTACATCTGCTGTTAAGAGTTTACAATAGAAGTTTCTTCATCTCAAGACCCAACGCCAAAGTATAAGTGGAATAAACGTTAGACTAAAAATAGTATGTAGCGTGTATGTGTAGCCTTTTGCCATTCCATCCACCGCTGGAGGCAGGGAGCAGACATGGGTACATCGAAGTAGTATACACAAATTGATTTTTCTTTACTGTCCTCTGCTGCCCAGTGCATCAAAATCCTCACAGTGCATATCTCTGTAATGATCCCATTGCTTTGGGACCTGAGCAACTGCAGTATTATCTTCATGCCCACACGTGCCACAATCTCATTTTCTCACATGCCCTGTAGGTACCCCATCGTGTGGACTATCTTTCTTAGCTGCCCCTGTCCCTTGCCAATCGCATCTTATCTTTTCATGGCACGCTCTGCACAAGCCTACTTGGGTTTCACAACAGTGATTATATCTGTACTTTAGTCACTTAATCCATGTGCTGTTTTGACTTGTATTTTTACATCAGTGCATTCATTAATTGAACCAGAGAATTGTATACGAACAAGCAGCGTGCGAGTTGATGGGAGAGATTTCCCTGGCTCTGCTTTTTTTCCCCAGGACTGCACTTTCAGCTGTCACCCTTGGGTGAGTGGGGGGGGGGATACTACTCATTGGTAAAGATGTCGAGCATAGACGTGGGTGCATAGAATAACAGTACAAATGGATTTGTCTGCACTGGCCTCTGCTGGTCAATGCTTAGCAAACTCTGCAGCCATCTACGACAACCTGGTGTGCATGATGGTCACCCATCCCTGCTTAGCTTCCCGATATGTGATGAAATTGGGGACACTTCAGGTGATTTGAATCAATTTACCCAGACTATAGAGACATATATTGAATTGACCGATCTTTCGCCCAACGAAGCTTGAATATGTAATGGGTTCAATTTAGGCGCACACACTTCTTGGGAGGCAACACTCATTTATTAATTAACACAACGTTTACTCAACAGTTACTCTTACTCTACACATAGGGTGGTGACCACCGACCTACACTAGCTAACACACAATTGTATTTTATCCGCTCCAGCGTGACCCAGCCAGGTGGCTGCTGGCAGTCCGCTCACTGTAGGTCTTCTCTTCTGGCATCTTCACGAGGTGTCTTCATTCTTCTCAGGAACAGCCCTGCTCTGCCTTCACACCACCCTTATATCTCGTCTCTCTGGCGTGGCCGGCTCCGCCCAGGCCACGCCTCCCTTCCCAGGCCACGCCTCACTTCCCAGGCCACGCCTCACTTCCCCCACCTCTGGGAAGGTCCGGATCCCTCCAGCACGTGACCCCCCAGGCACCCCCTTGGGGCCCCCAGCCCTCGTACGGGCCAACACAGTAGTGACCGTTCTGTCACTACATCACCCCCTCCTGTATAAACACACAGCCGTCCCCGGCTGTAACACAACTGTGAACATCGAAAAGGTGTGCCTCCGAACCAGCAACATCAATAAATGACCGGCGACCGATAAGAAATACAATCACGTAATATATACAGAATCGACGAGGGTAAAAGGGAACCGCATAGAAAACGGGGAATTAACAACAAATATACATGAAAACTGGCTAACCCACTTACGCTACAGCACAGCCCCCCCACCGTTAGAATCACGCATGCAATGACAGTCACCCGTTAGCACCCCCCCGCCTTTCCGACGTGGCGTCACAACCAGTAGCACGCGTCGGCCATATCGGGGGGGAATTTCCATGTTACCACCCCACCGCCTTTCCGACGTGGCGTCACAACCAGTAGCACGCGTCGGCCATATCGGGGGGAGGGATTTCCATGTTACCCCCCCACCGCCTTTCCGACGCGGCGTCACAACCAGTAGCACACGTCGGCCATATCGGTGGGATTTTAACCCAGTCTCTCTCCAAGACTCGCATCGCAGCATATAGCTGTACCGACCGAGCTGAGATGACCCAGTCTCTCTCCCAGACTCGCATCGCAGCATATAGCTGTACCGACCGAGCTGAGACGACCCATCGTTCACTCACTGCACAACATGCACCCTAACAACTGAGGGAAACAGTCTCAACGTAACAGGCCAACTCCACCCGAACCTTACGAATCTCCAGCCCACTGTTTCAACGCGCCTCAGAGGGTCTCAACCTCCGAGCCGTCAGGTCAAGCTGTCAGCCATAGCATGACGGGACCACCCTCCCTGAGCCATGTGAGCGCACAGCCCACAAGGCTAGACAAGCCACAGAGTGTCTCGCTCTCCGGGCTGTCAGGTCAAGCCGTCAGCCATTGCATGACGGGACCACACACTCCGAGCCATGTGAGCACACAGCCCACTAGGCTAGACATACCACGGAGTGTTTCGCTCTCCGGGCTGTCAGGTCAAGCCGTCAGCCATTGCATGACGGGACCACACTCTCCGAGCCATGTGAGCGCACAGCCCACTAGGCTAGACATGCCACGGAGTGTTTCAATCTCCGGGCTGTCAGGTCAAGCCGTCAGGCACAGCATGACGGGACCACACTCTCCGAGCCATGTGAGCGCACAGCCCACTAGGCTAGACATACCACGGAGTGTTTCAAGCTCCGGGCTGTCAGGTCAAGCCGTCAGCCATAGCATGACGGGACCACACTCTCCGAGCCATGTGAGCGCACAGCCCACTAGGCTAGACATACCACGGAGTGTTTCAATCTCCGGGCTGTCAGGTCAAGCCGTCAGCCATAGCATGACGGGACCACAACGTTCATGTTAGACACGCAACACTCACTGGGCCATCCTGGTCAGGACCTGCGCCCCAAGATAGTGACAGCCAGCAGCACAATTCCAAATCCCTGGCAGCATGTCACCATCGCAATTTAACACCATCACAACACATACAATTTGAATTATGATCCCCCACAGAACTAATCCAATGCCGAACAGGTACGCACAATTTTTTTTTTTTTTTTTGACGATCCCGAATATTCAATGGTCACAACAATACACCTCACATCCCGTATCCGTACACATCATCTCCGGGACTCGCATTGCAGCAATGCAGCTGTACCAAGCGAGTGGAGAGAGCAATGCAATTTGACGGCAATTAACGGAAACGCACCCCCGATCCATGTAGAACACAAGGAGCATTCCCGCACAAAAGACATCATCTGTGCAACAACGGACAGGAACCAACCAGTGAGTTTGAAACAAACCGAACCTGTCACTTCAAAATCCCCTTCAACATTAACCATGGGACTCAGGGCATTCGAATTTTGAGAGAAAAAAACTGTACACAAACCCCAAGAATCGCCGAATTGATTAATACAGTATATGCAGTATACGAAGTTCGTACAGTCAATCATTTGGCACAATGCACCATCCAGTCCCCACATGGCAACACACACAATCAATACTCCAGACAATCCATACATAGTAAATAATCACAAGCAAGTACCCAACATTCCATACACTGTTAACAATGACGATCAAAGTTTCTGACAGTTGCAAGTGACAATCACGAGCGAAACTCCATACAGTATACACAATAACAATGGTGATTTCGCAACACAACGATGTAACAACACGAGTCATTAACACGGCAACATACAGGATATCCACGGAACTCGGGACACCAACAACGAATTAATCATTAACTACACGCAGAAGATACCGATCTTGACGCCGTAATTAACAACAAACACTGGTCGCCGCGTCAATTTCTCACGCACACAACCGGACGAACACGCTCCGCAACCCAGCGAGTAAAAAAAACACACGATCGCAACCCGGCACACGCAAGATGGGTGAAAATTATTATTATTTTTCTTGGGGCCGGGTGCTTGTCATGTCATGACTCGCCTTGAAAACTGTGCATAGCAGAGGGCGGCAAGGTGGAGCACTGGGACGGCCCGAAGAATCTTCCATGGTGAACACGGCCTGCTCTTGCGAACGAACTCCCCCTCTGCAGGCGTTGATGTCGGCGGGAGCGGCATTTCGGCAGCAGGAGCGGCGTTTTAGCGGGAACAGCGCACCGACCCGCCGCCGAAATGGCGGGAACGGCGTTTTGGGGGGAACAGCGCCCCGACCAGCCGCCGAAATGGCGGGAACGGTGTTTTGGCGGGAACAGCGCCCCGACCAGCCGCCGAAATGGCGGGAACGGTGTTTTGGCAGGAACAGCGCCCCGACCAGCCGCCGAAATGGCGGGCCCACCGCGTGGCCCGCATGCCCGGGCCTCCCCCGCCAGCCCCCGCAGCGACGATGGTGTCCTCTCGCCGCGGCTCCATCGCTCCGTTCCCGATGGCGGCGAAGCAGCAGTGCGATGCAAGTCCCACCGCTCCGCGTGCAGCGCCATCTCTCTCTCTCTGTCACCGGGGCTGCCATCCCCGGGGCTGTCCGAAGGACGGTCGTCACACCATCCCCGTCGTACGAAGACGTCCAGATGAGTTTTGTATTTGTTTTTCGTGTGCCCATTTTACTTCCCTAGGATAACACCTAGCAATATTTATTTTTCCACAACTGACGCCAAATGTAGTGGGTTCAATTTAGGCGCACACACTTCTTGGGAGGCAACACTCATTTATTAATTAACACAACGTTTACTCAACAGTTACTCTTACTCTACACATAGGGTGGTGACCACCGACCTACACTAGCTAACACACAATTGTATTTTATCCGCTCCAGCGTGACCCAGCCAGGTGGCTGCTGGCAGTCCGCTCACTGTAGGTCTTCTCTTCTGGCATCTTCACGAGGTGTCTTCATTCTTCTCAGGAACAGCCCTGCTCTGCCTTCACACCACCCTTATATCTCGTCTCTCTGGCGTGGCCGGCTCCGCCCAGGCCACGCCTCCCTTCCCAGGCCACGCCTCACTTCCCAGGCCACGCCTCACTTCCCCCACCTCTGGGAAGGTCCGGATCCCTCCAGCACGTGACCCCCCAGGCACCCCCTTGGGGCCCCCAGCCCTCGTACGGGCCAACACAGTAGTGACCGTTCTGTCACTACAAATACAACAGGGAGTCCACAGCATTGTATGGCATCATGTATTGGGGGCAGGTTTGGTGGATTGTGCAGAAAATATCGTATGTGGAGATGGTCAAATGCAGTGGGCTGCAGAGTAGCCATGGGATGGTAGCACAGCAAGAATATTCCTCACTCATCTGTACAGACCTTTGGAGCATTAACCGCTTGAATGGATAAGTTATCTCTGGGTACTCTGGTTTACTTTCACATGTTGCCTGCCAGCCAAGTCGCCCTTGAAAAAGAGCATCTTAGCTCAAATGGCTTTTAATTGGGGAAATAAACTTCTGATTCTGAACTTTCCATGTAAACACTCATTAAAAAACTAATTGGTCAGACATCCCAAAGCAGGGCCTTCTGAAAAAAAGAGACTCGGGACTCTATTAAACAATTTTTTTTATTTTACCAGGTAAGGCCCACTGAAGTTGTGTAGCTCTTTTTCAGAAGCGACCTGGCCACAAATGATTGCTCAACGAAGTGGCTTATCGCGTGGAAATTCACTATAAATGCACGTTTTTAATGTGGAGGAAAAAAACTGGAGGGCCCGGATAAAAATCCACGCGACAATGGGGAGAACATGCAAACTCCAAATATACAGGCATCAGAGTTGGAATCAAACCCACTAACATCTCGCCACCGTGACTCTGAGGCCCTTCTAAATAATAACAATATTCCGTAGAAGACACAGATAACTGTAAGCTATAATATGGGGGAGTTAAATATAATTGTTTAGATTAAATACTGTACAGTCAATACGAGTGAAATTAAGCGAATGTAATACTCAACGTACTTATTTCTTGCCCATTGCGTGGCCGCCCATCATTCCAGCAGGTTGATTCAAAATCAATGACGATGAGATAGGCGAATAGTTGATCTGTGAAATAACAACAAGGCAACAGTGAAGCTGCAGGAAAAAGATCGCGCCCAAGGACACGAGTGACATGATGCTTTACTAGAAAAAAACGACATTAATGTAGGCAAAGACGAGCCCTGTAATTACGTGCTCACATCACTGATAGCACTGGTCAACACAATTTTTCTGGCATAAGGTATTCCAACGGGTTTAAGGTAATTTGGGGTGCCGATTCCAAATCTGGCATCAGTTTTTGTCTATCACATCATGTTTTTGAGATATCAAATATAGCATTTTCAATAAAAACTGCAGAAGAAAAATATTAAATAAATGTGGATATCTACATAAAATGATATTATAAACACACTATCCTAAAAATACAGCACCATATTTTAACACTAAAGCAGTCACTGACTCGCAACAACTTGCAATCATAAGTGACAGAGTTAATTTCGGGTAAAATCAATGAAAATGGGGTATGCCGATAGCATAAAAATGAGATGTGATAGAGCAAATCTGAGATCAAATTTGGAATCAGCACCCTGAAATTAGTCTAAAACAGCTGCAAAAGTCCAGGCCAAAATTTTTATTTTTTTGTTGACCAGTGTAGTAGAAATGTCTCCAGTAAGGACGATCCAAAGAGCTTCTCTCGAGGGTAATTTGACTGGAGCGTTACCCAACTATAATGCTGGGAGGAGACAGGCAAGGCGATTTAAGATACTTCCACCAGAGTTTTAACTGGAAGATCGAACCATGACCTCTTGATTGCAAGTCCATCGTGCATCCACTTTAGTTTGACTTCTGGTCATTATTTGTGAGACATTTATTGAATCAATTCCAAAGTGTTTCTTGAGCTCAATTAAGTCATGTGTTCAATTATCAGATACCCAGATGATACTATATTTACAAGGCAAGTAATACACAGAGTTACTGCATTCACTGTATCGACGAATTGAGTGTAAAATGTCCAGCTATACCACCACCAATTATATCTACAGTATATTTAAAAGACCTACTGTAAACATTTTAATATTGGTCAGAAATTCATAAAATAATAAAAATAAAACGTAATAAAATGTTTTATTTTTATAATAAAACAATAAAATATTGTTTTATTTTTATTATTTTATTACTTCCCTTCTATGTGACTTTACCGAAAGAACCAAGAAGATGAATCCCTGCAGTCACGAAAGCTTTAAATCGAAATTTGGTCAGAAATTGTCTCAACAAATAACGAATCGGATTGGGTACTTGTGTCACATTCACGCAGCGATGGGAACTTTTGTCTTCCGGGCTGTGAATGTCACAGAAGATGTTTATCCATCACTGCAAGCATCCTAGCGACACTACCCAGGCACGAGAGGTGAATAATGTCAACCTGGTAAAAACGCGTTTCTAATTTTAGAAAGCTCAGCTACCTGTGATGTGTCTTAAGTAGTTCTGAGCACACAGTCAACTCGTACATCCTTGTGTAATCAAATTTGTGTGAGAATGTATGTTGTGGGCCCTCGCCAAAGGAATTTGAAAACTCTATTTGGCCCTCGGGAAGAAAAACTTTACCACTATCTGCATTAAAGCAATACTCGAATTCAAACTAATTGAAAAATTATGTTTAGACGCATGATACGGTGCCCGAACTTCTGCAAGTGAAATCACATCGTGGAAATCGCAATGACCAGACCCATCAATGAAAATCCAATTTTCATTACGAAACGTACGAAAGTCTGAGAAAAGTGTGCATATATGTACACGAGCAGAACGATGGATTAATACAGACTGTCACTTCAAACATCTGTTAAGTAAATACATTTTCACGTACGTGATCGTACTCGTTTTTCAGTTGCTCCAGCAACCGACGGAGATGACGTCCGTTTTCTGATAAACCCAAGTTCCCTGGAAGAGAAAAGCAAGCTGTAATGTGGAAATGTCTGCCCATGGCATCATTGCCCTCAGAGGGTGGGTATCATGGCCTTGTGACGTTGCGTGCCAGAGATCGGTAGCGCGTTTGCGGAGGCTTTTGGTTCGATTTCAGTGGCCGCCCTGGTTAATGCTTCCAGTAAATTCAATACTGCAATCGCTCCTTTTGCAGCGGAGGTTTCAAATATTACGGGACGTCATTCGAGATTAGAGTCGGTCACGCCTTGCAGTGCCCCTCGGTCCAACTTTAATATTAATCTCAGATTAATTATCCGTGTGGTTAAAGCCACTTTGCAAAATTCACCCTCCTAATGCAAAAGACTGAGACACCGGTGACACACATCGTCGCCGCAATATTTAGCCTTGCGCTATAAGAATGGCGCGATAGACCAACATTATAATTGGTTTCTTACCCTTTCATCTGGCAACAAAACTGACACCTTTTTTTACAAGGAGTCATGTTTGCATAGACTACAATACCTGCAGTCATAATGCAAACAAAAAACATAACTCTGATAATGTATGCACTGTCCTTGAAGTTGATTGATGACGCCAAAAGGCGCCTTTTGGCGTCATCTGGTCCAACCCATGTGAGACTAGGCTCTAAGGAAAGCTGTCTCGGGTGTGGACCAATCAACTTCAAGGACAGTGCACATTATCAGAGTTATGTTTTTTGTTTGCATTATGACTGCAGGTATTGTGGTCTATGCAAACATGACTCCTTGTAAAAAAGGTGTCAGTTTTGTTGCCAGATGAAAGGGTAAAAAACCAATTATCATATTTTTACTGGCAAATGAGGTTCCAAGACCAACATTACTCAAATACTATTAATATAATTCCAGGGAAACGCGTGAAACCCACAGAATAAGATGGGCGAATAATCCCAATACAATACAAAAGTTTCATTTTTCGATTTAAAGCTTTCGTGACTGCAGGGATTCATCTTCTTGGTTCTTTCGGTAAAGTCATGTAGAAGGGAAATAATAAAAATAAAACATAATAAAATACAATTCTCACGACGTTTCGGCCACAACGCAAGCAGCCGTCCTCAGGTGAAGAACAGGTCTGTCGGAAAGACAGCGTTGTGGCCGAAACGTCGTGAGAATTGTATTTTATTATGTTTTATTATTATTTTTATTACTTTATTATTTCCCGGTTGGGGGGGGGTATAGGGACTTCCCGTCCACCCCTCCTCACTTTGCAAGTTGCTTCGTGGTTTTCTTCATCGCTCGCAAGGTCGAGTTGTAAGTTCACCGGCTCCGTAAATATGTGAACATCTGTAAAAGGTTAAATATAAACACCAAGGCATAAGACACGTGTCGTCGATTAATCGATTCCGCAGCTCGTTAGATGATTGCGTGAATGAATCGTGTGTTTAAAACAGAAACGATTCGTAAGTAGTCGTATTTAATTGGAAAAACGAGAGCCACGAGATTATTATTTTCACTCCACGGAGATAAAAACTAATCGATTATATATTTGAAAAAAAAATTAAACAATTCTAATATCGTTTCAATGTCAAACATATAATCGTTAACACAGCAGCTGAATCGAACATCGAAGCATTATACAATGCGAGTGTATACGCATATTTAACCCCCAAACTAGATGCTAAATCGATACGTAATTATATTCTTAGGTTTTTTCGGTAAAGTCACGTAGGTAAAACATTTAAATTAATAAAAGTATTTTTATTTTACTTTTATTAATAAAAGTATTTTTATTTTACTTTTATTAATGCTTTACCTACGTGACTTTACCGAAAAAAACCTAAGAATATGAATCCTTGCAGTCACGAAAGCTTTAAATCTAGATCGATACGCAATTGTCATCACGAGCCATTCTCAATCCACAGCTGGATGGAACCATCCGCATAACGCGACAAACAAAACATTGAAGTCCTAAAAGCACGAGCTGATGAACGATCTCATCGCTTTCACATGGCTTAGCACAACTTTACATTTAAAAAGTATCACACAAACACAGCGTCACCTTTATTGATGTGTTTTTTAAACAAAAATCGTTCAAGAAAATCAGCCGCGTGGCGGTGGGGAGAGAGAGGCGACTTTTTGAATTTATATCCCAGCCGTGACGTCACGTCCGCCAACCGTCCCTGCACCCCCCCCCCTCCCTCCACCCACTCCCTCCCCCCCATTTCCTTCCCCCCACTCCCTCCCATGCCCTCTCACCCCCTCCTTTCCCTCCCACACCCACTCCCTCCCCTCTCTCCTTCCCCCTTCCCCCCCACTCCCATCCCCCTCCCTCCCACTCCCACCCCCCTCTCCCTCACTTCCCCCAACTCGCTCTCCCCTCCTACTCCCTCCCCCCTCTCCCCCCCTCTCTCCTTCCCCCTTCTTCCCCCCCACTCCCATCCCCCACTCACACCCCCCACTCACATCCCCCCACTCACATCCCCCCACTCACATCCCTCTCTCCCTCCCCCCCAACTCCCTCCCCCTCTCCCTCCCACTCACTCCCTCCCCCCTCTTCCTAAACCCTCTTTCCCCCCTCGTCCTCCCTTTTCTTTCTCCCCCCTCGCCCCCTCCCTCGTCCTCTTCCTCGTCCCGCCCACTTTTCCTTCGCCCCGCCCCCCTCACCCCCACCGCCCGTGGCGCAGTTTTCCGGCCAAATCCAGCCCCATCATCATTCAACAGGCATCGAGGCGCTGTCAATGCGTGGTGCTCGTGCCGTTAGAATCAAAGAACAAATAAAAAGTGTTCCTGGTTCTTTCGGTAAAGTCACGTAGAATGGAAATAATAAAAATAAACATTAAATAATTCTCACGACGTTTCGGCCACAACGCAAGCAGCCGTCCTCAGGTGGAGAACAGGTCTGTCGAGAAGACAGAGTCATCATCAGACTCTGTTCTCCACCTGAGGACGGCTGCTTGCGTTGTGGCCGAAACGTCGTGAGAATTATTTTATTATGTTGAATTTTTATTATTTTATTATTTCCATTCAACGTGACTTTACCGAAAGAACCAAGAAGATGAATCCCTGCAGTCACAAAAGCTTTAAATCGAAATTTAAATAAAAAGTGATTTAGTGTTCTTGCCTATAAACATCTGGCAGCTCACCGGCATTAGTTCGAACAAAGTCAGACTGCTGATGAGACAATGAATGCCGAAACCGAACCAGAGTTTTGCTTGAGTTGAATCGGATGCTGCTATAATTCTGAATCCCACACGACCGTGTGATAAAACATAATGTTGCTTAAATGAACACTGAAGCGGTTCTCATATGTTGGCAACCGTGAGAAAGTGGTGGAAATTCCACATTCGTATGGCGAGGGGTGATTCTTATCCATAAGACAATCAATGTCGATTTCCCCACAAAGTGGTACTAATTTTATCGACCGCTGAGCTCTAATGGGTTGAGCCAAATCCATGGATTTGAATTGCCAACCAGCCAAGTATAGGCGTGTATCTACAGCTTCAACTCATCAGTCTCATCAGCAGTCAGGCCAACCCAGGAGGGTGTTAAACAGAATCTGTAGTTATACTGCAGGAGGCATCCGATGAGTTATAAAGATATTTTTTTTTACAGATGTCCAGTAGGGGCAGGTCAGAACGTTACAACAAATAATACAAAACAGGATAAGAATGCAAAGTAGAGGAAAAGTAAACAAATCACTTACAAAAATATATACAAATAAAACGAAACGAATTTTTTTTATCTTACTAAGTAAGGCCCACTGAGGCTTCAAAGTTTAATCAAATAACACTAAACAATGTTTCTAACCACACAAAAATGTGTTAAGAGCACACAGTCTTTGGTGCATGTGCCAAACACCATCATCATCATAATTACTGTGGACCTCTTGCCTCACGGGACCACTGCTGCTGCTGGCAGTCGGTCCCGTTTGGTGCCACTTTATTTTGATGTTTGACCAAAAACAAGATGACCACGACCCACTTATTCAGGAACCGATGATGGTAAAAAATTTAAATTAATAAAAGTAAAATAAAAATACAAAATCACGACGTTTCGGAGGCAACACAAGCTTCCGTCTTCAGGTGGAACCGTCACAGCCCGACAGCTGTATCAAGTAAATGAGAGGTTACTTTACCGAAAAAACCTAAGAATATGAATCCTTACAGTCACGAAAGCTTCAAATCTAGAACCAATGATGGGTTTTTGTTCCATAAGAGTTTTTTTGGGGGGGGTTAGATCCCGTAAATATGAATGTCGTTAAACCCGCCACCACCCGACACAGCCAATTAGTAAGGTTTGCCACGTAAACAGAACGTCGCCAATTCGCTACTTCAACACACTGGTAGGTTGGAGAGTGAATCCACGACAATTTCAATTCAAGTACGTTTCGCCGATAATTACAACCAGCATCATCAGGCGACAGCCAGAATTGTGGATAAATCCTCCTCGTGTTGCGGCCTTAAATAGAGGGCTGGGTGAATGTGATGTCGTCCTCGTGATCCTATCAGGTGTGAAGACCAGAGGGGGGGGGGGGGGGGGATGTAATCGAATACATTACAATGGATGTCTATCATTAGTTGAGTTATTCACAGTTAATTACCATAATGCACATTATGTACGTACATTACCAATTTTTGGGGGTCAAAAATCGTCAAAAAAATGGGCCTCTGCCGTTTTTGGGCCCAAATTAACACCCACACATATCTCTGTGTGTGTGTTCATTTAAACGTGTGGCAATTAATGGACAGAGGTGCGGTGGAATGTCTATAGAGAACAATCCTGGAAAGCAGATATCACAGAGCTCCCCCTCAAATCCTCCCATGTGACCTTTGAACTACACAGTAAGGGGGGGGGGGGCATCACTACCCCACCGCTCTACTGTAGAGAATATTTGGCATCATGCCCTCAGAGGATATCATCGCCTCGTGAAGTTGCGTGCCACGGCCGATCGGTAGCGCGTTTCCAGAGGTTTTTGGTTCGATATCAGTGGCCGCCCTGGTTAATACTTCCAGTAAATGTAATACTGTATACGCTCCTTCTGCAGTGGAGGTTCAAATATTATGGGACGTTATTCGAAATTCGAGTCGGTCATGCATAGCAGTGCCACGATCCAACTGTGAAAGATTATTCTTGAATTACTCCGTACAATTATTAATTGTACGGGTCCACCAAATCCGAATCACAGAAAGTATAGAGTATTCCGGGGAAGCGTGGAAACCCAGAGAAATTAGACGGGCGAATCATCCCAATACAAACATTGAAGAGTCTGAATTTAGGCAAAGTTTAAGTGCAGTTTCAAATGTAGCGTGATTTTTTGTTGTTCAGTCATGTATATGATCATAAATGCAGTACGTGCTAAGATCATAAATGCAGTACGTGCTAAGACCATAAATGCAGGACGCGAATCTACACACGGGTAATAACACACACACACACACACGCGGTGCATTTTACCTGTAAAACATTTTTACAAACATTTCCCTGCGTCAGGGTTTTGGTCATTTTTTTTATCAGCCTTTCCAGACGACACGCCGCCACCACATAAAGTTGTCCGCAAAAACCACTTGCAGGAAGGGCACGGTTGGTAAAATGTGTAGGAGGAGCAAGACGGCATCAGAATGGTGGGGGTGGGGGGGGGGGTAAGGAGGAGAAGTAACACAGAGGACATCGTTGAGCGCTGACAGAGAGAGAGCAGACGCAATAGAATAGCATCGCCGAGACGGGTATTCAAGTGAGACACGCAGTTTGGGAAAGAAAAGAAAAAGAAACGCTCTCCGCGTCGAAATAGGTGTGCACAGAAAAGTTTCAACGAAAGTAACAGAGACGCAGATAGGTCGAGACAAGACTCAAAGACCTCGAGGAAGAACTTGTTCCGTGAGACAAGGGGACGAGAGATCGAGAGATAGAGAGAACAGACAGACAAGAAGTGGGGGAGAAGACATTGGCCACGGCGATGTTTTCAGAGCTCGTCAGGTACATGAGCGGCCACTCTGCAACTCTGCAGCGGCTGCTGGTGGCTTTGCTCGCCGCCGCTGCGCAGCAAATCTTCCAGGCGCTCTCCTTCCGTTGTCCGTGCCTGCCAGGGCGAAATTCCGCATATGCCGCCGTCTCCATCGGAGTGCCGGCCCTGCTGCTGCTTTTGGCCTCTTGGGCATCGGGTCCCCGCGTGTGGAAGCTCGTCACGGGCTGCTGCGTGTCTCGGTAGGTAGGGAGGGCATCTCCCACCACCACCACTTCTTCTTCTCCTCCCCATCACAACACACACACACTCACTTAGGGCACATTTAGCACGCACGTTTGGAATAGGGCTGAACGATTAATCGATTTTAAATCGAAATCGTAAGTTTAAAGAATGCGATGAGCAAATGGCAAAGGCTGCGATTTTTTGCGATTTGAAAAGTCCTATTACTTTCTGATTGGAATTGTTGTATTTTTTTCATGATTATAACTTTATTAATTTAACTAAACAAATGTCCTATGTTTGATTGTTTTATTTCAATAAAAATGTTTTAATAAATACATGTTGGAAGCAATTCAGATCTTTTAAGTTCTCATTCTTGCATTAGAATATATAGAGCAGTTCACATTTTGATGGTATCATGTGGTAATGCTCCATCACATGTTTTAAATCTATTACACAGTGAATATTGAACTTAAAAAAAACTTATTCGCAAATCAAATCGCAATATCTGTCGAAAAATCACAATTCGATATTTCCCCCAAATCGTTCAGCCCTAGTTTTTACCCTCGAACACCAAAGACAAAGATCTCCCGTGTAGGCTGTGACGGGCCGTTAGGGCAAGTGCTGTTAGCGATCACCTATGAAGGCCGGCACAGCACACGAGGAGCTGTGTTGCCAACATCACACCCGGCCGCCTTTGTCTTCCCGGTGGCAATGCTTGCACACCGCCTCAGGTCCACACTTGAGGCTGAGTCTACCTAGGGGAGGCCCAGGTACCAGTTCAGACAATCGTCACTGGTGTTGGCCCGTGAGCGGGAATCGAACTCGGGATGCCGTGTTCGTCGCGCAGCACGCTAACCGTTACCCCACCGCTCCCTACACACCACACACACACGGCTCTATTCACAAGTGTGTGTGTGTGCGTGTGTAAACTTATTTATTTAGAACTGCGTTTTGTGTTCATTTTGTTGTCCTTAACCCCGCACCTCCGATCAACTCGGTTGGTTACGTACTGTGCGAGAGAAGTTCAACATACGTACATACAACACCCACACAACATGGCTATATTCACGTGGTTATATTCACACACCTGCTACTACTTAACGGTCCCGGTGTGAGCATCCAGACACCAGGGCACACATCTTCATGCACACACTGGTACGAATACAAAGATCCTCCGAGTAGCCTGTAACAAACTGTTTGGGCAAGTGCTGTTAGCAAAGCAGCACCTATGAAGGCTGGCACGGCACACGAGGTGGTGAATATTCAGCACTACGCTCGGCCGCCTTTGTCTCCCCAGTGGCAATGTATCCAGATCGCATCATGTACTCTTTTATAGGTTAAGTCGACCTAGGGGAGACCCAGAACCCGTTAAAATATTCGTCACTGTTATTTGTCGTGAGCGGGAATAGACTTCGGGTCGCCAGGTGTGAAATTCAGTGCGCTAACAACTGCACTACCGCTCCCCACTGACATACACCCACATACAAGCGCACACACACAGCTCAATACGTGCTTTCCTTCTTGGTAGGAGCTCACAGGTACCAGAATTCATACGCACGCGCGCGTCTGTGTGTGTGTGCGTGTATCGGGTGTGCGTATATCGGTAGTTGTGCTGGCCACGCACACACTCATCTACCGGGCCGGCCTTCACGTGTGTGCCGCTTGCTAACAGCATTTGCCCCAAGTCTCTTGATGCAATATAGGGCGGGATCTTTGTCTTTGTAGCACTCACACGCACGTGTGATCACGAGTGTGCGCGTCGGTAGGTGTCCAATTGTCAGCACTTGTCACATTTTGCACAAGTGCTACTGCATCAGTTCAGTGCCGGATTAAGCTAGTGCGGGGTGTGTAGCATGTTATAAAGGGGCCCTAATTAATAAAAACACAAATATTAAAACACAATTTTTTAAACTTGCACATGAAAGTAATTGCATTTTTTCATTTGCTATACAGCCAGATAATACGACAAATCGCTAACCTTAAGCACCCAGTCGTTCATAACGATTGAAGGCAGTATAGTACTATAGTAATAGAGAACGTGCAGAATCACTGAACCGGAATTAATAGCTTGAACGCATTTAGCGCGGGGTCCTTGAAAGTGCGGGGTGAGGAGTTATGGGTCTAGTTGCTTCAATCAACTATCAGCTGTGCACACGTCTACACGCCTAAGAGGAGGTTGGGTGCTTTTTGAACAATGCTGAAATTGCAAACAGTGCACGTTTGACGGCTTGCTCCGATACAGCCGAGGGTTGTGCCTGGTCACTGCGGTTACATCAGCTCGTGTGCGATGCAACGACCGCTGCGGGAGCATAAACAAACAAAAAGGGATCAAGTTCCCGTTATAACAACTAAGAACTTCCTGATTTAACAAAAAATACAGTAAATTAATGTGCCCTTTTTAATGCAGCCATCGGTGACCGCGTGGAAACCATCAGCACAGTTAAGTCGTGGGTGTCTCAAAGCATTTGAACCTCACGATCTCAGCGGCACCAGCTTAGCGCTCTGACCTCTAGGCCACCTAGCATCCAATATCTCCTTGAAATGTTAAATGTACAAGAGGAATCGTGTGGATGAGGATATTTTAAGGGGCCACAAGTAAACAAATGTGGGGTTTTAATGTAAAAAATATGTAAAATGTTGACTTGGCACTGTTAAAAACCTTCAGATGCTTACCTCAAGAGGTAAATGATCAGAATCATAAAGTTACACATTTTCACCCTCCAATATTGGAGAGCCCCAATTTAATGTTGATCTTGCTATTTTTTTAAGTTAAGAGCTTATACTCAGATTTCTAACCATTCTTTAATATAATGAACTCACCAAGGAACATATGTGCGTCTTAAAATACGTGAATTTACTTATTCAAACTTTGTTAACAAAATTAACTCAAACAAATATTTGTTCTTCATGAGGCCTCCATTGCCAGTACTAAAATATACTAATATGGTTTTTTCCCTTTTATCTGGCAACAAAACTGATACCTTTTGCAAGGAATCATGTTTACATTAACCACAATACTTGCAGTCAAATGCAAACAAAAAACGCCTTGGCGTCATCTGGTCGAACACCATATTATGAGACTCGGCTCTAAGAAAAGCTGTCTCTGGCGTGGACCAATCAGTTGCAAGGACAATGCATAAATTATCAGAGTATTGTTTTTTGTTTGCATGACTGCAAGTATTGTGGTTAATGTAAACATGATTCCTTGCAAAAGGTGTCAGTTTTGTTGCCAGAAAAAAGGGGAAAAACCAAATTAGTAAAATATTTGTTCTGTTGAAGATGGCCAATATCTACAACTCTGGGACTATCAGGATCCGTATCCCCGATCTCAGTGGTATCGACCCAGATCTCTAAAATCGCCATTCTGAGTCTCTTAAACTTTTGAGTGGTGTAGCCAAAAGCACCGCTACTTTGTGCATCCATTGATCCGAGCTCGATTCTCCACTACGGTTAACATCCCATGCTGGGCTTGCTCTTAATCTTTGTAGTGACACAGGACGTCACTACTGTGTCGGCCCGTACGAGGGCTGGGGGCCCCAAGGGGGTGCCTGGGGGGTCACGTGGTGGAAGGACCCAGACCTTCCCTTGAGGTGGGGGAAGGGAGGCGTGGCCTGAGAAGGGAGGCGTGGCCTGGGCGGAGCCGGCCACGCCGGAGCGAATATAAGCGGGGTGTGAACGCAGAGCGAGGCTGTTGAACTCCGAAGTGAAGATGTTATCATCGGTCCTCAAGTCCCGGGTCGTCGTCCTGGACCAGGCAGCCCGTTGCCTGCCTGGTCCCCTCTGTGTCGTGTTCCAGAGTGATTAGTGAGTTGAGGAAGGTGGTCACCACCTCGTGTACAGTGTTATATTACTTACCGTTTAATAAATAGTGTTGCCTCAAAGCTGCGTGTGTGTGCACCTAATTCGAACCCACTACACCTTCACCAAACCCAACAATCCCCGCGACCTGTCGTGGCGAGGAGAGGCCTCAAAGGTGCTCCAAATTCAGCCACTCACCATCTCACGAATATCACTTGAGGTGCACGACACGAAAAAACCCGAAACTACATCCGCTGCTGCTGCTGCCACCCCTCACTTCTCCACTTCTCCAGATGATCGCTACAAAATATGACCTGTCTTTTGATTTAGTGTGCTAATCTTAAAGGTGCATTGAAAAATTATAATACTCATGTAGCCAGCTATGGCTGCAGGGTTTTGGTAGTACATGGTGTTTATGCCATTTATTGTGAAAATTCCGTCACAGTTCCAGTGATCACTGCTTCATTAGTTTCATGGCTTTATTTTGGTGATTTCGAAAAGTGTATTGGTTTAGCCATGTTTGTTTGTTGTAGTACAGAGTTAGACTGACGGCCTTAATCTAAGTTGTCTTGTGGTTGTTCTTGGTTGTTTGACTTACATCCCACTTGGATTTTTGCACACAGCGTTGGTGTACGGTGATTTTTTCTGCAATATTTTAGCTGTCTTTTCTTGGATTTTCCGTTTGCACTCAGTCACATATTCACTTTAAGCTGTTGTTTTGTTCATGTGTTTTGTTTGTTGCGGTTGCACCCGATTCAAGAGCCGAATGGCTCACAGGGCTACACCTAATAAATGAAACTTGAACAACTTCTATCCGCCCGCTCCGCACGCAGGCGCCACGGCTCTGGTCCCGGCCTGGCCTTCAAGCTGTCCCAGGTGGTGGTGTCCGTGTCGGGCCGTGCCTTGGTGGCGCCCATCAGCTGGATCGCGGTGGCGCTCCTCAACGGCTCCTACTACGTGTGCGCGGAGAGCGAGCGCGTCGACACGACCCCCTACGCGTTGCCCCCCGCGGCCCGCACGCGCGAGCTGCTGGCGCGGCTGCCCTGCCTCGCAAACGCGTCGCTGCCGCCCGCCCTGATGCACGTGCGCAACGACATCCTGCGGCACCTCTCCACCGAGTCGCAGGTGACGTGCGGTGCGGTGTCGGTGACAGTGTTGGGCTGGTGGTCGGCGCGTACCCCGCTGGCTTCCTCCTCGGACCAGCGTCGTCTCTCACGCGCCCCGCGCACTCTGCAGCCACCCTGCTGCTCCTTGCACTCCGCACGCTCCGCTAGCCACTCCGCTAGCCCCGTGCAACCCGCACGCTCCGCTAGCCCTGTGCGCCCCGCACACTCCGCTCTCTCTCCGCACACCGCTAGCTGGCGGTGTGCCAGCCCTATCAGCCACGTGGCTGATGGCACAGCGGCCACCCAACGTGGTCTCGCCTCTTCACTCCATCGACTGGCCCTGATCTCTTCCGGGCTCCCTCCTATAACCTCTCTCCCACGTGACCCTGACTCCGCCCTCTCGGATCGTCACATCCGGCCTTCCCATTTGCGCTCGCATTACACAAAGATGACCCACAGGCCACAAAACTGTCGGCAGAGGCAGCAGTTGAAGGGCATTGCAGTTTCATAGAGAGCCAGAGTTGCATGGAGATTCGTCGACTCGAGACTTTATTTCAGCTGGTTAGGGCCCATTGAGCTAAAGTAGCCCACCGTGCTAATCGCACCTCCGATTAGCACGGTTGGCTACGCACGGTGCGAAAGAAGTTCAACATACACGGACAGCTCTCTTAGATGGACGACCACAGCTCATGACGAGCGGTAGTGGTGGCAGTTACAGTAACATCGCAGGGTTGCGAACTTACAAGAGCAAAAATAACATTATTCTTAATTTGTAGCTTTCGTGACTGCAGGGATTACTCTTTGGTTCTTTCGGTAAAGTCACGTATAAAGATACATTTTCACACTTAAATTCTAACTTAGCAATCTTTGAAATACGTAATCAACCAGGCTTTGCGTTAATTGTGTGTTGACCGACTCTCTGTGTTGCATTACATTACATTTCGATATTTTGCTAGGTTATTTAATTTAGTGTGTCTCTCTCCCGTTCTCCTAATTTTCAAGCTTGCGTACGTTACCACCCGTCGACCTACCCATTGACATGCTAATTTTTTCTCTAACCCCCTCCCTCTCTCCGCCCCCGCCCCCTCTCTCTATTTAAGGCCTCGTCACAGAGACGTTCTCTCTCTTTGTGCCGATACGTGTTCTCTCTCTGTGTATCTTTATGATGTCTGTCTGCTTATATGTCTGTCTATAGTTTTCTGGTTAGATTTTTGTTGCTATTTCTTTTATACCTGATGATGATTGCTTGTGTTGCAATCGAAACGTCGTATGCTATTATTTAATTTAATATTTTATCTTTATACGTGACTTTACCGAAAGAACCAAAGAGTAACAACATTATTATTTACATGAAACATTCAAGGCGAGATAATTTTCGCGATGCAATTTCGCACCGAACGGGGTCACATATTTTATATGGAGTACTCTTGCCAATAACATCTGATAATCCAGCAGCATAACAATTATAAGCACGTGTCCCTCCACATAAAGGATATTTTTTACACATCCCATCGGTAACACAGCCTTCTGGGAGTGCATCATCTTTATCAACAATAGTTCAACACAAACACAAGTTTCAACGTTCAATGTCTCAACGATATTTTAATAACAAACAAAATATCGACACTTTCATCAATAAACATCGCCTCAAAAGGAAAATCGAGGTGATATTTTGGGCAGTGGCCAGTGCCGGATTATCGTAGTAGTGTAGGGGTGTTAAAGAGAGGGCCCGTTATGCATGGCAGCCTATGGAAAACAAACACAGTGGGCGGGGCTACGTAAGTGCACGAGGAGGTGCCCTCTACGACGTCCGAGCCAGACACCCTGGGGGGGGCTGGTTCGAACGTTATGATCCCCCGGGGCCCCACCCCTCAGGGAGGGGTTGGGTATAAAAGGGGATGTTCAAAGGGCTCGAGTCAGTTATGTTTAAGCTAAGGGAAGAAGACTGAAGACGTCTTAGATAGAGCCCTGGACTCCCCTAGTTCGATGTCCTTTTCAGGGCCGGACAGGACTGAGCCAGCGGCGTGGTCCCGAAAGCCAGAGCCGGTGCTCTTGTAAGAGCTGGTCTGGAACTCCGGGTACCGGGCCCGACTTACCAGTGTCGGGCCAGTTAGCCTCCCCTAGCCCATTAGTGGAGGATTCGGGGCTAGGACAGAGTTAGCTAGGGGTGTATCCCGAGTTATACGGGTGAGGGGGCCGATACCCCCTCGAGTGTGTATATGCCCACTGTCGTATTGTGAAATAAATATACGTGTGCCTCAACCTCGGCGTCAAGCGTCTTCACCGGTACTTCAACTGGTGTCAGAAGTAATTCGAACATGGACACGCGGAAAACAGCGCGGGCCAACTGCGGCGGAAAGCCAGCAGGGCATCGGCGGGGCGTGCGGTGGCTGCAGCCACCATTCCGACGGAGGAGCTCTACGCCGTCGACCACCGACCGCAACAGGCGACAGGAGCACGGTCGGGCCGGGACGGGCCGGGCCGTTTCAACCATCCGTCTCCTCCAACGGCGCTCCCGCGGTGTTTCAACTGCGGCGTCCGGGGCCACGTCGCCTCGGGGTGCCGCGCTCCTCGACAGCGCGGGACGACACCTCAACGGGACGACGGGCCTCATCACAAGCTCCACCATCATAACCCGGCGAGTCGCGGCACCCCACATGTTTGGCCCACGCACACACCCGTCACGCACTCAAACACCGCAACGAGAGGGGGGCCGATATCACGCACCATCGCACCATCACGCACCACCCCGGGTACTCATATCGAACCCGGCCAGTGGTCCGTGCTGGCCGATCGTGTGGTAGCCGCATCGTCGGGGTCGTCGGCCGTTGTGGGGCACATCGACGGGGTTGAAGTGCGCATCCTGGTCGATACGGGAGCATCGGCGACCATTATTTCGGAGTTGATTTACAATATTCTCCCTGTCCGGAGTCGTCCTTTGATGCCTGTTAACGTACCATTCTATGCGGCTAACGGGGGCTCACTTGGCATCATCGGACAAATTCGTGCCCAAATTTGTATTGGGGATATTAAATTGTCTGGGCCGATTTTTGTTTCCTCCTCGCTGGCGGTTCCGTGCCTGCTGGGGACGGACTTCCTGGCCAAAATGCCGATTAGGATATTGATCGACCAGGGATGTATTGAGCTCCCGTCGGGCAGACGCATGGCGTTTCTGCCATCGCCTGTTACGACTCGGACGGCGTTCGCGACGGTGCCGGCATTCGTAGAGAGAACGGTGCGCGTCCCTCCGGGGGCGCAAATGTTGATTCCCTTGAAACTTCGGCGGCCCTTCGCTAAGGGTGTTGGGGCCCAAGGGGTTCTGCTGGGGCCGTCTAGGGCCGGGGTTAGTGGACCTCATTTACTTCCGGCCCAGACCATAGTAAGAGGGGACGGTGAACCCTTCATCGCGGTCCTCAATGTGGGCTCGCAGACGGTGGTGCTCCCACAGGGGACCGTGCTTGCTCACGCAACGCCGGTGCCATGTGAGGAACCCGTCGCAAATCACGTCAGCGTTGTCCCTGCGCCGCGACCGCATTCGGACAGCGATGAAGGGTGGCTCGAGGCGCTTTGTGCGGGATCGACGGACCTGTCAGATTCAGAGCGTCAACAACTTAAAACACTACTGCGGGAATTTTCCGACGTTTTTAGTCAGAATAAATACGATTTGGGTTGTACTCACCTGCTGCGTCACCATATTGACACGGGTGACAGCGCGCCAATTCGCCAAAATCCGTTTCGGTTGAGTCCCGCCGAAAAGGACCATGTCAAATCGGCTGTTGATGACATGTTGGCCGCCGACATCATTTCTCCTTCCACCAGCCCTTGGGGAGCGCCGATCGTCCTGGTTAAAAAGCAGGACGGTTCGTTGCGGTTTTGCGTTGATTTCCGGCGTCTTAACAAAATTTCGGTTGCCGACGCATACCCGCTCCCTCGGATGGATGAATCGCTGGACGCCTTGGCGGGAGCGCGATTCTTTTCCACACTGGATTTACTTTCGGGATTCTGGCAGCTTCCTCTGGACGATGATTCAAAGCCTAAAACTGCTTTCCGTACACCGCATGGCCTGTTCCAATTCAACCGGTTGCCGATGGGCTTACACTCAGCGCCGGCAACTTTCCAGCGTTTGATGGAATTGGTTTTGGCTGGATTGCAATGGGAGTCGTGCCTCATTTATTTGGATGACGTTATCGTCTTTAGTAAAACTTTTGACGAACATCTCCAGAGGTTGCGGGCGGTTTTCCTAAAGATGCGGGCTGCTAATTTGAAATTCAAGCCCCAAAAATGCCATTTGTTGCGCGATTCGGTGCGTTATTTGGGGCACATCGTGGGACGCTCAGGTATTGCTACCGATCCCGCCAAAACGCAGTGTGTCAGCTCCTGGCCGACTCCCACCTCGGTGGGAGAGGTCAGGAGTTTCATTGGGTTCGCGTCGTATTACCGACGGTTCGTCGCTGATTTTGCGACAATTGCAAAACCCCTGCACGCTTTAACATCTAAAGGGGTTCGGTTCCACTGGGGTCAAGAGGAGGAGGCTGCTTTCTGCTCCCTTCGGGACGCCCTGGTAAAAGCCCCTCCCTTGATTTACCCAGATTTTTCTAAGCCCTTTTTGCTCGACACCGATGCGAGCAACACGGGTATTGGGGGTGTGCTTTCCCAGGTGGTTGATGGCGTGGAACGGGTGGTCGCGTACGGTAGTCGGGTGTTGTCTCCTGCGGAGCAAAGATATTGTGTCACCCGTAGGGAACTGTTGGCAATTGTCTATTTCATCCAACAGTATCGCCCATATCTGTACGGTCGGCATTTCACCGTCCGCACAGATCATGCGGCACTACAGTATGCCCTGCGAGTTCAACAACCATCGGGACAGTTGTCTCGATGGTTGGAGGTTCTCCAGGACTTTGATTTTGAAACCACCTACCGTAAGGGCGTTCGCCATACAAATGCGGACGCTCTGTCGCGCATGCCAACCACCTCCGAATGTGCATGCCTCCTGGGGTCGGGACGTTGCAGGCCTTCAGGGGACGCATCGGTTCCGATCTTGGCAGCCACCGACGACGACGAACCATTGGTTACTAATTCGATCGAACAACAGGGAAGAGATTCCCTGTTGGGGTTGCCCGTCACTGAATGGGGGCGCCTCCAAATGGAGGATACCTCCCTCCTCGGGTGGCGTCGTCGCGTCGGGGGTGCTGGGCGTGTGAAGGGTGATTCGGATGCATGGGAAATGGTGCAAGGTCTGCTGATGCATTGGGACGGCAAATCCCAGCGACATCGGCTGGTGGTCCCTTCTGGGTTGCGAGGCAAGGTGGTGTGGGCCGCGCATGAGCGCCTATTACACCTGGGGACCCAAAAGACTCTTGCACTGCTACAACTTGATTTTTTTTGGCCTGGCATGACGAGGGATGTTGGGGATCTATTGGGATCATACCCTCGGTGTGCGCAACGGAAACCGCCGGCGCGGGAGTCTAACCCGCCCTTGCAATCAATCAAAGTGTCCAGAATAAATGAGCTTGTCGCGCTGGACATTTTGGGCCCATTTCCCACCACCCCCAGGGGCAATAGGTATTTGTTGACTGGTGTCGAGTATTTTACACGCTGGCCTATGGCCTGGCCCCTGGCCAACCAGTCGGCAGCAGCCATCGTGGAGGCCTTTGTTCAGGGATACGTCCTGGACAAAGGTGCTCCGGAGCGGCTGCTGACCGACCAGGGCAGAAATTTTTCCGGTAAATTACTCAAACAAGTCTGTGACCTCCTAGGCACGAAGAAAATTCGTACCTCCCCGTATCACCCGCAAACTGACGGGATGGTCGAGCGCCTGCATCGCACCATTACGTCAATGATGTCACAGCAGGTCTCGGACTCACAGACTGACTGGGACCTGCATATTCAAGGGGTCTTGGCGGCATACCGGATGGCACCCCATGCAGCTACGGGATTTTCCCCCTTTTACCTCATGTACGGTCGCGAACCCGACCCACCTGTTCGCGCCCAGCTGCAGATTCCCGAGCCGCAAGGGAAAACTAAATTGGCTGACCACGTCAAATTTAATCTGGCCAAATTAACAGAGGCGCGGGATGCTGCAATGCTAAACTCGGACCTCCGTCAAAAGGCGAATGAGCGCCTCAGGCTGGGTCGGGCGCACATGATACAGTGGAAGCCGGGGGACAAGGCATGGCTGCACTGTCCCCAAGTGCCACTGGCTACCTCCTCTAAGCTGGTGCGGCCGAGGCGGGGTCCTGTGGAGGTGGTCGAAGTTTTGCGACCACAGTGCGTGCGCATTAAATGGGGGAAGCGGCGATGGTTCGTGCACCCCTCTAGGTTAAAACCCTTCGTTGCGGTACGCAAACCCACTTCACATATGCGTGGCCAAACGTGTGGGGGGTCGACCGACTCATTGGGTCCGTCTCCGTCGTTCTCACCTAATGCCTTGCCGGCCGTGCCACCTCCAGGTGCATCAGGACTGACGGGCTCACGCCCGACCACCCCTCCTGGGGATACCGACGGTCGCGCGGTATCGGATGAGGACTCACTCCGGGACGGACAATTGCCACCTGACGGTCCGCCACCCGGGGTTACCCCGTGTGAGGGGCCCGCTGCAAGGACGCGCGCAAAAATGCGCAGACTGTTATGAGGCCGGAAGATGTGTACATAGGTTGTGTTCATCGTGTGTTGTGTGGGTGGTGTGTTCCCTGCCCATTGAATGTACATATGTTGGGTTCATTGTGTGTTGTGTGGGTGGTGTGTTCCCTGCCCATTGAAATGTACATACGTTGGGTTCACCTGGTGTTGTGTGTATGGTGGGTTCCCTGCAAATTGTATATAGGTTGTTTTTTTTACGGAATTCGTATTTATTCAAGGGGGGGTGCGTCGGGTTGTTTTCTCTTCTTGCTGTTGCATTTTGTTGTGTTCTTGTTGCTGTTCTTGTTATTGTTGAAAAATAGTGAGGCACACGCGCGGTCAAGGTGTAAATGCACTTTTATTGTCATTTTTGTATGTTGGCAGCCGGGACGGCTGCAAGCTATGCGGGGGGGGGGGGGGGTGATGTAGGGGTGTTAAAGAGAGGGCCCGTTATGCATGGCAGCCTATGGAAAACAAACACAGTGGGCGGGGCTACGTAAGTGCACGAGGAGGTGCCCTCTACGACGTCCGAGCCAGACACCCTGGGGGGGGGGCTGGTTCGAACGTTATGATCCCCCGGGGCCCCACCCCTCAGGGAGGGGTTGGGTATAAAAGGGGATGTTCAAAGGGCTCGAGTCAGTTATGTTTAAGCTAAGGGAAGAAGACTGAAGACGTCTTAGATAGAGCCCTGGACTCCCCTAGTTCGATGTCCTTTTCAGGGCCGGACAGGACTGAGCCAGCGGCGTGGTCCCGAAAGCCAGAGCCGGTGCTCTTGTAAGAGCTGGTCTGGAACTCCGGGTACCGGGCCCGACTTACCAGTGTCGGGCCAGTTAGCCTCCCCTAGCCCATTAGTGAAGGATTCGGGGCTAGGACAGAGTTAGCTAGGGGTGTATCCCGAGTTATACGGGTGAGGGGGCCGATACCCCCTCGAGTGTGTATATGCCCACTGTCGTATTGTGAAATAAATATACGTGTGCCTCAACCTCGGCGTCAAGCGTCTTCACCGGTACTTCAGTAGCAAAAGTAGCTACACGTGCAGTAGCTACTACACATGCAGTAGCTGTATGTGTAGTAGCTACATGTGTAGTAGCTACAACATGTGTAGTAGCTACAACATGTGTAGTAGCTACAACATGTGTAGTAGCTACAACATGTGTAGTAGCTACATGTGTAGTAGCTACAACATGTGTAGTAGCTACATGTGTAGTAGCTACAACATGTGTAGTAGCTACATGTGCAGTAGCTACAACATGTGTAGTAGCTACATGTGTAGTAGCTACAACATGTGTAGTAGCTACAACATGTGTAGTAGCTACATGTGTAGTAGCTACATGTGCAGTAGCTACATGTGTAGTAGCTGTATGTGTAGTAGCTACAACATGTGTAGTAGCTACAACATGTGTAGTAGCTACACGTGTAGTAGCTACCACACGTGCAGTAGCTGTATGTGTAGTAGCTACATGTGTAGTAGCTACAACATGTGTAGTAGCTACATGTGTAGTAGCTACAACATGTGTAGTAGCTACATGTGCAGTAGCTACAACATGTGTAGTAGCTACATGTGTAGTAGCTACAACATGTGTAGTAGCTACATGTGCAGTAGCTACAACATGTGTAGTAGCTACATGTGCAGTAGCTACAACATGTGTAGTAGCTACATGTGTAGTAGCTACATGTGTAGTAGCTACAACATGTGTAGTAGCTACATGTGCAGTAGCTACAACATGTGTAGTAGCTACATGTGTAGTAGCTACATGTGTAGTAGCTACATGTGTAGTAGCTACATGTGCAGTAGCTACAACATGTGTAGTAGCTACATGTGCAGTAGCTACACCACGTGCAGTAGCTACATGTGTAGTAGCTACATGTGTAGTAGCTACATGTGCAGTAGCTACATGTGCAGTAGCTACATGTGTAGTAGCTACAACATGTGTAGTAGCTACATGTGCAGTAGCTACATGTGCAGTAGCTGCATGTGCAGTAGCTACATGTGCAGTAGCTACATGTGTAGTAGCTACATGTGCAGTAGCTACATGTGCAGTAGCTACATGTGCAGTAGCTACATGTGCAGTAGCTACATGTGTAGTAGCTACATGTGCAGTAGCTACATGTGCAGTAGCTACATGTGTAGTAGCTACATGTGCAGTAGCTACATGTGTAGTAGCTACATGTGTAGTAGCTGCATGTGTAGTAGCTGCATGTGTAGTAGCTACATGTGCAGTAGCTACATGTGCAGTAGCTACATGTGCAGTAGCTACATGTGTAGTAGCTACATGTGTAGTAGCTACATGTGTAGTAGCTACATGTGCAGTAGCTGCATGTGCAGTAGCTACATGTGCAGTAGCTACATGTGCAGTAGCTACATGTGTAGTAGCTACATGGGTAGTAGCTACATGTGTAGTAGCTACGGGCCCCGCACTTTCAAGGGCCCCGCGCTAAATGCTTTCAAGCTATCAATTCCGGTTCTGTGATTCTGCACTTGCTCTATGACTACAGTACTATACCGCCTTCAACTTTTATGAACGACTGGGTGTTTAAGGTGAGCGATTTGTCATTATCTGGCTGTATAGCGAATGAACAAATACAATTACTTTACTATGCAAGTAAAAACATACTTTTAATATTTACGTGTTTTTTATTTATTTATGGCCTCTTTATAACATATGCTACAGGCCCCGCACGAGCTTAACCCGGCACTGGCAGTGGCCCTTCACCATCATCTGGCACGTGCAGCGCTGTTGACGAATGCGCTGAGTGTTGTTGTTAATTGGGCGTGTGCACCGCTGCCTACACAGCAGCATCGCCAAATCATATTTCACTTTCACCGCTGGCGGCTGCCTCTGACCCGTATCAGCAAGTCGATGGTTGCTGACTTGCGCGCGTGTTGCGTGTGTTGCGTGTGCGTGCTAGCTGCTCGGGTGGACCGTGCTGGGCTCGGCAGGGCTCCTGGGAATGATGTTCATGTGCTTCGCTCACTGGGTGTCTCCCGTCAGCTACCACCAGCTGCGCTTCTGGCGCTCTTACATTGAGGTACGTGCCGTGGCAGGCAAAGCCACACCCGCCGCTTTCCACCGGGGTCCCGAATATGCAAGCAGCGACACTTTGCCGTCTCCATTCCATCCACCTCATTTCATTTTCATTCATCTCCCTTGACAGTGCCGAGTCAATGGTTGGAATGCCACAGGCATATGTGTCATGGATAATTCAATTCACACGGCAGCCAATGTGTGCTTTCCTGCACCAAACGATGCAATCTCGCCAGCTGATACTGATTTTATACACCCTGGGGAATGATGGGTTAAGTCAACCGAGGTGGGGATATTACAACTGAGAGCTCGACTGTTGTACTGTTCTGCCTGTGGTCAGCGTCTCCAGATTCAGATGAGCGTCAGGGGGGGTGGGGGAGGGCTCTACTCCGCTCTCGGCCCTGCGCATGCAGTCGGGTTAAATTCGACACTCTGATGGCAGGAACCCATCGCATGAATATCCTTAGGGTTTTTTCGGTAAAGTCACGTAGGTAAAAAAAATTACAATTAATAAAAGTAAAATAAAAATCACGACGTTTCGGAGGCAACACAAGCTTCCGTCTTCAGGTGGAACCGTCACAGCACGACTGCTGTATCAAGTGATTTTAATTTAATTTTTTTACCTACGTGACTTTACCGAAAAAAACTAAGAATATGAATCCTTGCAGTCACGAAAGCTTCAAATCTAGAACCATCGCATGAAGTTGGGATAGCGGTCTGGGATGCGTTCTTAATGGACACATTTTTGTGTTGTGATAACTTTTCTTGTTCTTTGTGCCATTTTGTTTTGGTGCCATTTCTTTATTTGTTCATAATTTTTCTGAGAGTTTTAATTTGCTTGGTAGTAACTGTACATAGGATGTGGCCTTGCTATATATTTAACGTATAACGTTGCAGGATGCAATTAGCACGAATGACGCTATGTACAATTAAATTCGTATTTATTATTCTAACCTATTGGCTTCAAATAAATATGGTACTATTTTTGTAACTACACCCAGAGGAATGATGTAATGTATCTGTTGCTTGATTGTACGTGTACTTGCACAGCTCCATTGCCACTCCGCGGTGTGTACGTGTGTTGAACTTCTTTCGCACCGTACGTAGTCAACCGTGCCAATCCGAGGTGCTGGAGAAAAGCCTCCCCACACCATAACGGTGGTGGGGGATTATTTGACCATACTTCATGCTAATCATGGTGTGTGGGGAGTATAAAGTTGGTCATCCCACAGAGAGACTGGCCACTGCCACGGTAATGTGGAATTTCCTCCGCTGGTTCAGGGCCAACGAATGGAAGAGAGCAACGCTGCACCACTGCTCGTTTGAGCGGAGACGACACGCTTGGAGTTTCTGTTTGTCGTGGTGGTGCTGCTTTATCTCTCACCGATGTGTTGTCGGGTTGTTCTGCCCGTTGTCCGGCACCGTGTCTAACATTGCACATTCAGTCCTCAGTTACTGCGGAAGCATCTTCTTCAACCACGGTGGCTCCTGTGCACGTGTGTGTGTGTGAGCTGGAGTGGGGAGCGGTGGTGCAGCGGTTAGGTGGCTCCTGTGCACGTGTGTGTGTGAGCTGGAGTGGGGAGCGGTGGTGCAGCGGTTAGGTGGCTCCTGTGCACGTGTGAGCTGGAGTGGGGAGCGGTGGTGCAGCGGTTAGGTGGCTCCTGTGCACGTGTGTGTGAGCTGGAGTGGGGAGCGGTGGTGCAGCGGTTAGGTGGCTCTTGTGCACGTGTGTGTGTGTGAGCTGGAGTGGGGCGCGGTGGTGCAGCGGTTAGGTGGCTCCTGTGCACGTGTGTGTGTGAGCTGGAGTGGGGAGCGGTGGTGCAGCGGTTAGGTGGCTCCTGTGCACGTGTGTGTGTGTGTGAGCTGGAGTGGGGAGCGGTGGTGCAGCGGTTAGGTGGCTCCTGTGCACGTGTGTGTGTGTGAGCTGGAGTGGGGAGCGGTGGTGCAGCGGTTAGGTGGCCCCTGTGCACGTGTGTGTGTGAGCTGGAGTGGGGAGCGGTGGTGCAGCGGTTAGGTGGCTCCTGTGCACGTGTGTGTGTGTGCGAGCTGGAGTGGGGAGTGGTGGTGCAGCGGTTAGGTGGCTCCTGTGCACTTGTGTGTGTGTGAGCTGGAGTGGGGAGCGGTGGTGCAGCGGTTAGGTGGTTCCTGTGCACGTGTGTGTGTGTGAGCTGTACCGTTCCGGCCTTCATAGGTGCTCGCTAACAGCACTTTCCCCTACAGTTGGTTAAGGCTATACGGGGGATCTTTGTCTTTATCTTTGTGCGAGCTGTAGTGTGTCTGCGCCGAAGCATTTGCCACGACAAATTGTGGAGTTCTTCACGTGAACGTAATTTAGGTAACTGTGCAGCGGAATCTTCGACAAATCGCGCAGAACAACACGCGGCACGTCCCGAAAACACGGCGGAGAGAGCTGCACTCTTGACTAGTTTTGTATTTCTCTGCTCAGATAGAGCACAAGGAGTTTGACCGGCGGGCGGAGGAGCGAGCCCATGACCTCGCCGAGACGAACGTCTCCATCTTCTTCGGTCCGTCACCCCCGCCACCGCCCGCTGCCGCCACCCCAGCCACTGCCCCCGATGCCGCGGACCGGCAGAGCGACGCCCCACCTCCTCCTCCTTCTGCTCCGGCGCCAGCAGAGAAGGAGGCGGAGGGCTATCCCCTGCCCAAGAAGGCCGACTGGGACATAGTGTCGGGCCTGTACGCTTACCAGCTGCTCGACGGCGAGCCCCTGTACAGCACGCTGCACGCGTGGGCCGCCAAGCACGCCGTGGACAAGACGCTGAGCCCGCGGCACCTGGACCAGGGCAGCGTGCGGGAGACGCTCTCGTTTGTGGACGGGCGCGGGCAGAGGCCGGAGGGGCCCGCGCCGGTGGCACGGCGACCCCACTCGCCGGAGGAGGAGGCCGCTGTCGAGGAGTTGTCGAAGCTGCTCGACGAGTGAACGTGAGAAAGAGCGCGACGCCGCCGAAGACGCCGCGCCGTGTCACGGGGTAACGAGTCCTACGCGCCCTTCTATGGGCCGCTCCTTTTCCTCAACGTGAGCTCGGCATCAACACCACCGCGAAAAAAATGTACCGTCTGATGACGACATCACCAATTAAGTCAACATCAGTAACACTGCTTTAAGAATTATATAATAGCTGACGTTTCGGGCAATGATCCTTCTTCATAGCACACAGAGAGGGCCGAGGGATTGATTATTGAGACTGCATTTTTCACCAATGGCTTATCCAAAGGGATCGCTGCTCTCCAAAGTTGGCCAATGTCAGATTGCTGATTTTTGTTTGGCAACGTCTGCCGATTGTTAATGTACGAGCTAAGTAAAGTCTAAGAGGCAGCACACAATTTGCGGAACATATTGAAGCTTTTGTGGATAAAGAACGGGTGGCAGGGTGGCGCAGTGGTAACACTGCTGTGCCTCACAGCAACAAGGGCCGGACTCCGTTGCTTGAGTCGGGCTCCTTTCTGCGTGGAGCTGAGCTTCTCCCCCTGTTCAGCGAAGCTTTTCTCCAGGTTCCCCGGTTTACTGCCAAAACGTAATAAACATAGAATGTAATTTGTAATTTGCAGAGTGATGCTGAAGCAATGCGGAAGCATTACACTGCAAATTACTGTAGTCAATACTCTAGTTCTTTCGGTAAAGTCACATAGGTGAAAAAAATAATAAATATAAAAAAATCACGACGTTTCGATTGCAACACAAGCAATCATCATCAGGTGTGACAACCACAGCAAGGACATTTTAACTGCCCTAACCCTGGTTTCTCTCCCACTTCAGGAAAAATTTCCTTGCTGTGGTTGTCACACCTGATGATGATTGCTTGTGTTGCAATCGAAACGTCGTGATTTTTTTTTCTAGTTTTTCTTTTTATTTATTATTTTCACCTACGTGACTTTACCGAAAGAACCAAAGAGTATGGATCCTTGCAGTCACGAAAACTTCAAATCTAGAATGATACTGTAGTCAATTTGCCTTCCACTCAGCAGCAGCAACATCGCCCCCCTACTTTGAACAATTGGCAGCACCCTCCTGGAAAATAATCTTGAGGCACAGCGAGGCCTTCCTGAGTAATCAAGCACAGTAATAACATTTCGATTTAAAGCTTTCGTGACTGCAGGGATTCATCTTCTTGGTTCTTTCGGTAAAGTCACGTAAAAGGGAATAAAATAATAAAAATAAAACATAATAAAATAAAATATAATTTGTTTTATTTTTATTATTGTATTACTTCCCTTCTACGTGACTTTACCGAAAGAACCAAGAAGAGTAATAACATTGATAAGTAATCCGCGTGTGCATGCTGGTTTAGATTTAAGTTGTGGGGTTTGAGCGACGTCACATTTTGGGGACACCATCCCTGCCCTTTGCTCCCATTGCTGTTCCTTGTGGCCAATCTAAGACGGCATTGGCAGCAGAGACGCCTGTTTCATTACGAACGCAGACTCCCAACTTGTTTGGCTATTAGATAGCTGGTGGAATTCAGCAGAGCGAGCCGGCTGCAAACCTATCCGTGTGGATTTTAAGCGTTTCTATGCCACAGGGCTTCTCAATGTTATTCTAGTTTCCTGCCACATGCAAAGAGCCCATATATGATGATAGAACACGTAGAAATAATTAATTGTGGACGAGCCTACGGTACCTTCGGGAAACAAAGTTTTCCAGCGGCAAATTGAAACGCAGCCACCTCTGGGCTGGTTTTAACTACCATTTGCCAGGTCCCCCTCGCAAAAGAGGTTTTTAACCTCAAGGTGTTTTTTACCTGGTTAAATAAAGGTGAAATAAAAAAATAGGCCAAAGGACCAAAACGTAATCCGATGAAACAACGCCTTGCCTCTCTCCGTGTAATACTGTACATCATACGCCACAATCTATACGGGCAGCACATCATAAATGTTGTGCACGTTAAGAAATTAGTGGAGGATCCTAAATGCAGGACCTTTCCATAGAGGTTGGAAATTGGGACATGGGGGAGGGCCTCATTTTAACCCTTGCACCGGGGCCCCGTTCCAAACACACTCGGGCCCTGTTGGGATACCGCGAGAGTCTTGGGGGTCAAGGGTCAACAGTTGCTGGATCTTGCAGGACGAGGCTACGGCGAGACGTGGCGGCGAACGCTGCGACGACTTCTTGCTCCCGAAGCCGATTACAGGATTCTGCTATGAAATATTTACAGACCAATTCTCGCGCGTCTTGCCGACCGCAGCCAAAGCCTCATAACCGTTTGTGATAAATAATAAATGGGGAACATGAACGGTGTTAAGTTGTGGCATTCTGCGGGGGAGCATTGACACGTGCTCTCTGTCTGTCAGCGTAGTGGAACGCTGTGCTTGGTACTTGGTAAACTTTGGGAACATCCTTAAGTGTGCTTAGCCTGTATAAGATAATTACTGGAATAAAAATTAAACATTTCACCCTCATGTCAATTCACTGATGGTTGAAGTCCTCCCCACACCACAGCAGTCATGGGGAGTTGTCATTTTGACTGGGTCAGATTATAATCACTTGCAACCGATATTACCCATAAAACAGGTTTTTTGGGTGAGATCACGTAAATATATAAATGTGTCATTAAACCCCCCACCACCCGACACAGCCAACTAGTAAGGGTTGTCACGTAAACAGAACGTGGCCAATTCGTCACTCGTACAGCACACCGGTGTGTTGGAGAGCCAAGCCACAACACTTACAATCTGAGTACGACGTTTCGCCAGTAATTACAACCAGCTTCATCAGGCGACAGCCAGATTTGTGGAGAAATCCTCCTGTTTCGTTCCTTAAATAGAGGCGTAGATGTGGTGACAATCTTCTAACCTTGCCTCGGAATCAAACTCTGATGGCTGGGTTTTTAGCGCGGCGCTCTCACGACTGCATTGCCGCTCCACTCGAATTACTGCCAACATCATCATCATCATCGCCGTCATCTTTGAATCTAAACACGTGAGCACCTTCAGCTGCCTCTCCGGAACTGGTTCCACCATCGCCACAGCCCACAAGCGACTTGGCCAAAAAACCGGCCAACATTAGTTGCAGGTTTGCCTTCGTACAGCGCAGGCGAGACGCGCACCACTCCTCTCACACGCAACTAATCACGGGGTGATGCTGCCTTGTTGGCATTGGTGCACAAGCGCAACAACAACAAAAAAACTCCAACATTTGTCAACACCGCGGTTAAACAAGGACAAGTAAATAATCGTCAATGTTTCAGGCAATGGTTCTTCTTCATAGCACACACCTTCCGTGTGTTCTTTTCGTTGTGTTTAGTTTCTTGTCCTTCCACCCCCGAACCTCCGATGAGTTCAACGTACATACATAGTGGCCTGTGACATCTGGAAGAAATAACAGGTGACTTGCTATCCCCCAGCGATCTCTTACGACGCCACTCTCATCAGAAACAAAATACAAAGTGAGCGATGGCACGATAAAAAAATACGATCGGGCCCAAGCGTAGGCCGTGACCCCGACGACTCGGAGGAGAGCAGTGCGAGGCCCTCATCCAGCAGTGGATTGGCAAAAGGGCCGGTGCACGTGACGTGTACACGGAGCGGACACGACACTCGGGGGCTCTCCGACCAGGGGTGCGTTACCTTTTGGCACGCGGCAGAGCAGAATAGAGTTTCGCTCCAGGATGTGCCTTAAACCTGTTGGGCTAAGAGGGTTAGTTCATCTCACAGGGAGAAACTTTTAGAGTAACGAGTCAATTAAATTAGACTGACATGCGTTTGACTGCACAAACCACATTGTCTTCTTGGTTCTTTCGGTAAAGTCACTTAGAAGGGAAGTAATAAAATAATAAAAATAAAACATAATAAAATAATTCTCACAACGTTTCGGCCACAACGCAAGCAGCCGTCCTCAGGTGAAGACCAGGTCTGTCGGGGAGACAGCGTTTGAATGAAACACCACCACGCTTGGAGCGTCTATTTAAGCTGGGTTGGAAGGGGGGAAGTGCGCCTTGACAAAAGAATTTGCATATCAAGAGGAATTTAGCAGAACCAAGAAGATGAATCCCTGCAGTCACGAAAGCTTTAAATCGAAATTTAAACCACATTGTGTTAATTGATGAGTTCACCTTCCTTGGTTTGCTCTCAGAAGCTGCCATCTTATTAAGTTAAAATAAAAAAAATGTTTCTCTTGCTGGAAGGAACACAAAGGACACGTTTGATTTTAAACCCATTGCGTGGACAAATAACCAAACCTGTCAACAATTTTCACAATGCGACCTACTTCTCGACCAAATATCGGTGGAATTTTCCATTCTGTTGAAAATGACACGTGAATTAAAACACACGCGTCCTTGACGTATCTTGGTGGCAGGCGTTCTCTGAGAAGGCAGAATTATGGATCAGAGTGAGTGACAGAAAGACATCTGCGATTTTATAAGTACGGTATCGTCATTAACGGGCTACAGAGAGGTCCAGGTATGTTAACATGCAACCTGATCGCTCCGGTGCAGATGCCTAAATTCTGCTGAAGAAGCTTACAAAGACAAAGACCTCCTAATAGACTTTAACAGGCTTCATACTGATAATTGGTTCTTTACCCTTCTATCTGGCAACAAAACTGACACCTTTTTTTTTTGTTGCCAGATAGAAGGGTAAAGAACCAATTATCATATTTTTACTGGCAAATGAGGTCCCCATAGTGTAGATGTTTGCCCCGAGCTCTCATACTCTGATGGTGCATTGTCTTTGAGTTGTGCGCCTTTTGGCGTCTTCTGGTCCAACCCATGTGAGACTAGGCTCGAAGGAAAGCTGTCTCGGGTGTGGACCAATCAACTTCGGGGACAGTGCACATTATCAGAGTTATGTCTTTTGTTTGTATTTATGACTGCAGGTATTGCGCCTATGCAAACATGACTCCTTGTAAAAAGGTGTCAGTTTTGTTGCCAGATAGAAGGGTAAAGAACCAATTATCATATTTTTACTGGCAAATGAGGTCCCCATAGGCTTCATACTCTTAGTTCTTTCGGTAAAGTCACCTAGGTAAAACATTAAATTAAAATTAATACAAATAAAATAAAAATCACGACGTTTCGGAGGCAACACAAGTCTCCGTCATCAGGTGGGACCGTCACAGCCAGATTTGCTGCATCAAGTGAGGCAGGGATTCCAAGATGCAAGTTCTTAAATACAAGTTAAGGGGGAGGAGAGGGGGGGGGGAGCTTATCAGAATGTGGTAGCCAATGAATGGAACGTATCGGGAGGGGGTGGGGCGGGGCTAAAAGAGGCTGTTGGGGCACGTGCCGTTATTGAGCACTAATAAAGAAGGCTGGTGCGGCACACGTGGTGGTGAGTGGCCAATGGCACGCCCGACTGCCTTTGTCTCCCAAGTGCTGATTTAAAACACACAGCAACCAGGTACTGATTTAATGCTGAGTCGACCTAGTGGAGGTACTGGACTCGTTCAAATATTCGCCACGGTTTATAATCGCGAGCGGGTCGCTGGGCTTGTCGCAAAGTGCGCAAACCACTGCACCGCCGTTCTCCGAAGAAGCAGACATGCCCAATCCCACACACGCAAGGAGCTGTAACCCCCACCACGATAGATTTATTTACGCAATACTTTTGAAACAATGCCACCTGTGCATCAACATCTCAATGCACCACATCACCACGCTACAGGACACAGGGCAGGGAATGTTAAGGCAATTCACTGAACCACTTAACATGTAAAATACATCTCGTATAGTAAAACATATACATATAGTATCCGCCGGTCACAGATGTGCATTTCTCTACATTATAAAAATGTCTATTGAGGCATGAAGATTTACGGCTCTCACAAAGCAATCAGGACGACCACTACAGCAACATAGGTCTACACGGGAAGGAATAAGTGACCTCGCAAGCAGGAATGTGCAAAAATATAAAGAGCTCATACACTCTATCGGGAGTCATAATTAACCAGTGGTTAAACAACATTCAGTACAATGCCAATTATCCTTGTGGGCTGAGACTCCGAAGCCTTAAGATCAACACGAGGAGACATCACGGGCACAGCTGTTAGCGCGAGTGACCGGTACACCTCAGGGCGAGTGGACACACACAGTGACCGGTACACTCCAGGGCGTGTGGACACACACAGTGAGCGGTACACTCCAGGGCGTGTGGACACACACAGTGACCGGTACACCTCAGGGCGAGTGGACACACACAGTGAGCGGTACACTCCAGGGCGTGTGGACACACACAGTGACCGGTACACTCCAGGGTGTGTGGACACACACAGTGAGCGGTACACTCCAGGGCGTGTGGACACACACAGTGACCGGTACACCTCAGGGCGAGTGGACACACACAGTGACCGGTACACTCCAGGGTGTGTGGACACACACAGTGACCGGTACACTCCAGGGTGTGTGGACACACACAGTGACCGGTACACTCCAGGGCGTGTGGACACACACAGTGAGCGGTACACTCCAGGGCGTGTGGACACACACAGTGAGTGGTACACTCCAGGGCGTGTGGACACACACAGTGAGTGGTACACTCCAGGGCGTGTGGACACACACAGTGAGTGGTACACTCCAGGGCGTGTGGACACACACACAGTGAGCGGTACACTCCAGGGCGTGTGGACACACACAGTGAGCGGTACACTCCAGGGCGTGTGCACACACACAGTGAGTGGTACACTCCAGGGTGTGTGGACACACACAGTGAGCGGTACACTCCAGGGCGTGTGGACACACACAGAGTGAGCGGTACACTCCAGGGTGTGTGGACACACACAGTGAGCGGTACACTCCAGAGTGTGTGGACACACACAGTGAGCGGTACACTCCAGGGCGTGTGCACACACACAGTGAGTGGTACACTCCAGGGCGTGTGGACACACAGAGTGAGCGGTACACTCCAGGGCGTGTGCACACACACAGAGTGAGCGGTACACTCCAGGGTGTGTGGACACACACAGAGTGAGCGGTACACTCCAGGGTGTGTGGACACACACAGAGTGAGCGGTACACCTCAGGGCGTGTGAACACACAGTGAGCGGTACACTCCAGGGTGTGTGGACACACAGTGAGCGGTACACCTCAGGGCGTGTGGACACAGTGAGCGGTACACTCCAGGGCGTGTGGACACACACAGTGAGCGGTACACTCCAGGGTGTGTGGACACACACAGTGAGCGGTACACTCCAGGGTGTGTGGACACACACAGTGAGCGGTACACTTGAGGGCGTGTGGACACCTCAGGGCGTGTGGACACACAGAGTGAGCGGTACACTTCAGGGCGTGTGGACGCTGGTCTCTGATATTCAAGCGCGGGGCTTCCGGGTTTCTGGTCAGTGTGGCCCATACTCATGCACATCGAGGCAACGTAGAACGCTCGATGTCTGCTTGAAATGGCAAAACCGAATTGCACTTCCGTCGACGAATTGGTCCGTAACGTGGTCCCAAATCTCTCAGCGTCACCGTCTCTTGCGTCCGAGCCTGTCAACACGATCGGCAGTGCCAATCGGGCTGTTTAATCACATCTAATTCTTGTGTCTCAGCACCTATATGATATAACACATTCCATCTTCTGTACTTTAAGATGCAACGTACATCATCTCTTTTCTTCTGTGTGTAGTTGCTTTTATGCAAACCAAAGTCCGTAGACTCCCGTGGAACGTTTGGAATTGCTGCAATGGTAGCTTGCCAGCGTAAATAACGTTCACCACTCAACAGTAATAATATCCGGGTTGGGAGAAAAATGAATGGGGGTCAGCAAACATCTTGTGCAAAGTTGCCAATTGGTTTACAACATTAATAATAATAATACTCAGACAGCGATGGCTGCCCAGGTCCGAGGCTCGGGCGGTTTTTCCTTTAGTTTGATCGCTTTCGACGAGCACGGAACGGACCCCCCCACCACTTCCAGCACAAAAACATGCACGGCTGGGAGTGTGTGGGGAGCACGCAGGCACGCGACGTAGACACGCGGACGCGACAGGCCACCACCACCACCACCACGCGGCAACGGGGCTCTGTAAACTCTCACCCCAAGCTGAGCCCCAACGGCAAGTTCGCGGCGATAAAGTCCGTGGGGGTGTGGGGGACGGGGTGAAGGAAATGAAATGAGGGTGGATAAAGCTCTCCCCCACGCGCTTCGTGTTGTACCGCGTGCTGCTCGGACGTTGTCCGACGTTCCGCTCCGTGTGCCGGGGGCCTTCGTCAGCAACCCAACTGAGCAAGCTCGCTTCTTCTCTCGACAGGAGAGCGTCTGCCGCACGGTGCCGTTGTTGGATCTTGACGCCGATTGGACAAAGGCCCGGTCGATGTTATCTTTGTGTCGTTCAGCGGGCTCAGAGAAACGGTGTCAAGACTCAACAACAACAGCAGCAGCAACGGCGGCGGAGCCACTCTACTACAGAACCAAGAGAGAGAGTGGGCCGTTCAAGTCAGCTCCTGAAGAAGCTCCTGTCGCGTGCAGCGAAACGTGGGACACGGCGCCGATCAACACGCGGCACAAACCGACAACGCAACGGAGAGCCGTACAGCACGACCGGTGAAAATATCATGTACAAGGCTACAGTACAAAGCGCTTCACAAAACCACGCACGGGGCGTCGCTGTACATACATACGGTGAACTTCTTTCGCACCGTACGTAGCCGAGCGTGCTCGTCAGAGGTGCGGGGGAAGGACAACAAACCAAACGCGACAACGCCGTGCGTCGCACGCGCTCACAGAAAACAAGCGACCGTGTTTGGCCTCTCCCGCGTGTTTTGTTGGGGTCGCGGCGTGCGTCTCCCTGCGCTACGCCCAACGTTTCGCTCCACGCCCCGGCAGCTTCTTCAGGAAATGTAAACGTCGGGCGTCGTTGCCGAACAACGCACAGCGGCACAACCGCCGAAAAACAGATCGGGGAGCTACGCGGCAGCACAACCGGAAAAACAAAAAAAAACGCACGAAATCGCGATGCAGAGGCACAACCGCGAAAACAGACTCCGGCAGTTATGTAAACGGCTTTGTTCGGGTCGCGGGGTTTGTGCCGCCAATAACAATGAGCTCAACTTGTAACGTGCGCCGCGCGGCATTCGCTCGCTCTCGCAGAGAGAACGACGACCGGGGGGGAGGAGTCACGGACGAGCGGGGATGGCGGCCACGCTCTGTGCCGCCGGCGCCAACAATGCCACAACCTCTGCGCATGTTAAGATGCCACCGACCAATCAATCGCCGAGCAGGTGCGGATCCCACGGGGGAGGAGGAGGGGGGGTGGGGGTGCCGTACACGGGAGTCACAAACCGTTCCACGAGGCGTACGTCGAACGACAAACGTCGTCAACTTACAAATATTTTTTTTCTCGCTCCTTTTAGATGCGCTGAGACGGACGAGATACACCGCTCTTCCCTCTCCGACGCCGCGTCGAACATAACGGCAGTAACACTTCTCAGTAACGGATCCCTACGCGGCCTGCTTCAGGGCACTTTTGGAGATAGGGCACTTGACGCTCGGCAAAGTGTTCTTCGCGGGAGCGACAATCTGCAACGGGCCTTTGCTAAGCGCCGCGTTGCCTCCCGGTCTGCGCCGTACGCGTGCACCGCTACACCTCTGCGGACACCGTTGCCCCGTTAACTATCTGCCGCTTCCCCTGCGCTCCCGCCGGCGTCCCCCTCGGCACGCCGAATCCGCCCCCTGCGCTACCATCGAGCGAGCCGGCGCCAAGTGGCCGATGCCGTGACGGGGAAATGGGGGGTTGGGGTAGGCGGAGGGGAAGGAGGTGGGGGGGGGGGTGCGGGGAAGGGGAGCTCCGGGGCGCTCCCCCGACGGTCACTGCGGCAGTGGCACGAGCACCTCGACGTAGTTGATGGGGAAGAATCCCGACTGGCCGTGGATCATGCCCTCGTACCAGTTGTCGTCGATCTGGTTGGTGAGCGTGATGACGTCGCCCTCCTTGAAGCCCAGCTCCCCGTCGTTTTCGGGGTCGAAGTCGAACAGCGCCTTGCAGCACGGCTGGTCCATGGGCGCCGCTGCTGGGAGGAGGTCACGCCCGCCAGTTAGAAGCCGTTGGGCTTTCGTGAACCGCGCCGGCGCCGTTCGCGAAAACTGCACCTCAAAAACCGCCGCTCGCAGGGTTTTGCGACGGGTGACAGTTTGCGCGGGGAGCTGCAGACGAGCAGGGAAGCTGCAGACGAGCAGGGAAGCAGTCAAAACCAGCGGTGGCCGACAATCGCACCAGCTCTGTGGTCCCTTACTGGGCTGTGGCCACAACTCCAATTTTATTAGTGTGGGAGGAGGGAAGCGGTGCGCCCAGCGAAAACCCTACGCACAACACACAATCCCCGTACAGATGGAGAGTAATCCACTTGCTGTACCGCCATCGTACCCTGGTAAGCCAGGAGACGCCCACGCGTAGGGGAGGGCGGTTCGCGAATTTGCGTGCGTGTGATCCACAGACCCGCAGCAGCGGTAGCAGCAGTAGCAGAATCAGAATCTTCTTTACCGAAAGAACCAAGAAGATAAATCCCTGCAGTCACGAAAGCTTTAAATCGAAATAGAATCAGAATCTTTATTGATCCCGGAGAAATCCGATGAGCTGTGAAGCTCTTGTTCACAGATATCCAGTAGGGGATAGCGTCTCAACAGCTGAGATCATCTCCAGGTGTGGGCGGGGAAAATATTGACTTTACCGATGGCTGAATCGGAAATCTTCCTTTGGCGGGCCAACACAAATGACCACAGACCTCGGCGTCATCGAATAATCATACTAATAGTAGAGAAATAATTACAGGTGACTGTAATGTCCGACGTTTTGCTCTACGTGGTGGGGAGCTTCTTCAGGGGGCACGCGGTACAATAGAAAACGCATCGGAGGTCGATAGTGCTCAAAGTCCAAGTGATTTCTCGCTCTAACGGACATGGGGCTGGGTGCTCATCCACCGATTACAGCAGTTGGTCGAAATTCCACGTTCCATGCTGGGGACGAGCCTATCCATAGGACAACCACTGCTGCGTTCTGCCATAAAGCGGTACCCATACATATTCCCCGCTAGGACCCGATCAGCGCGGCCAAGATGCTCGCAGTAATGGATAAAAGGGTAAATATCCATCGCTGGGCTGTATGGAAGTGGCAGGCCTCGTGGGGCTGCGGGCCTGATGAGACCTGCAGCCTGTACACGGAGACATTGAGCAGTTGTGAGATCTCAAAGGGAGAGAGATATATAGACGAATAACACGATTCGTCTTTTGCTCACGGAAGCTCGACTGTGCGTCGGGTGCCCGCTGTTCAGGACGTGGTGCTGCCACGGGTTTGTCCCGCCAAATCCCTGCTGAGCATTGTTTGGGCGGGTGAGGAAACCGGAAGCGTCCCTGGAGGTAACCCAACCCATTGCTGATCCATCAACCCCCACCTCCATCTCGCAGGATTGCAGGCGCGCGCCGCCACGCCTGCCGATTGGAAACGCTCTAATTATTGCCACGGCGGCTAACACCATCGTCAATTTGGTAGAATTGGTATCGGTGCCATTCGTCGTGCAGTCTGCCGTGAGAGGGGCGACGTTGCTGCGTGCGGTAGTTTTTCCAACGTTTCATTTCTCAAACTCGGGCCGCGACGAATGCGCACGATGGCCGACTCCTTTTCAAAGTAAACGTCGCCGGGTCTCTCGCGTCCGCTGCCAAGGAGCCGGCATCACGAGCGCACCCTCCGCGGACGTACGGCTTGACGCATTCATTACACTGGTCAACAAAAAAAAAACATTTTTTTCTGGCCTGGACTTTTGCAGCTGTTTTAGACTAATTTTAGGGTGCTGATTCCAAATCTGATCTCAGATTTGCTCTATCACATCTCATTTTTATGCTATCGGCATACCCCATTTTCATTCATTTTACCTGAAATTAACTCTGTCACTTATGATTGCAAGTTGTTGCGAGTCAGTGACTGCTTTAGTGTTAAAATATGGTGCTGTATTATTAGGATAGTGTGTTTATAATATCATTTTATGTAGATATCCACATTTATTTAATATTTTTCTTCTGCAATTTTTATTGAAAATGCAATATTTGATATCAGCACCCCAAAATTACATTAAAACCGTTGGAATACCTTATGCCAGAAAAAGTGTGTTGACCAGTGTTATTGCCGGCGACACCTTTGCAATGTAGCATCCCAGTGGTGTGTGGGCGGGGGGCGCAGGAGGGGGGAGGTGTACGGGCAGAGGGGGGGGGGGGGGATCCGGGCGGCGTCGGGGGGGGCCGCCACGCGACGGACCGCACTATCGCTAGAGATGTCGTCGCAATCTGGTCGCGAGCGATTCGAGCAGCGGGCAGCGCATCAAGAGGCGCGATGGGAGGACGGAGAGCAAGGCCGTGAAGCGCACGAGGGTGTTAAGCTCCCGTTGGTTTAGAGCCGAGCTGCAGCAAAGATCGCACGCGAAGCTCTGTGCCGGCTACAGGAAAGTAGCAGCGGCGTGATTGGTCAGCCACGGTGAGGCGCGTTAATCACAGGCGGCTTCATCTTGCAGTGCCAGCCTGGGCACGACGCCACATGTGAAAGCAAAAACAATCGGATTTTTTTTCACAAATCGAACGCAGATTATTCAATGCAGATAATTAACAAGAATTGTAAGAGCTTACAGCCCTTTGTCAAATCAGTCATGGAGGTTTGTCTGACCCTACTTCACCAAGCTGGTCATTGTGGGTTGTGGAACCAGTGACATGGGGTGCCCATGACTGGTTCAGATGTCACTCGCCACCGACGCGTGCAGTGCTCGGGAATCGAACTCAGGTTGCCGAGTTATCCGTGCAAGTTACACACAAAAAGAATCATAACTCAGCGATGAAAACGACGACGTCATATGATCGTCGCATCGTCAATTACTCGAAAGATTTTTTTTGTTTACTTACAGAGCAATCATTTCATGGATAACCGCTCGTGTATTTACAATTCGAATTTGTGAAAAAAATTTGTCGGGAAAATAAATTAATAGAAGAATTGAAACGATCAATGACAATCGTGATAAGGATATTTAGACGATACGATTATCGCGCGTCTTCTTTTCGTACGATGTATCACAGTCCTGGTGGAGAGTTAATGACGGAAGATGATGAGGTCAATTTGTAAGAATTTATTAAATTATGAAAGAAAAAAACGATCGTCAGCTTGATATTTTAGCAGCAGTCAGCTCAGCGAGTACTCACCCAGGGTCTGAATCTCTTGCGACCAGCTAAAGTTCCCCGATTGGCTGAGCCTCGGAGAGGAGTCTGACGTTGGGGGTCACGTGACAGATCATGCGGCGGGTCATGTGACATGGTGGGCGGAGGGGAAAAACGTCACACGTTAAGGCGGGATGAGTCTGCGAGCGCGTGGCGCAGGGGAAAATAAAAACAAAAAAACAACGAATGGAAATACGCTGAAAATGAAATGCACGGAACCGCAAATCGTTGACACGCGATTCTGTCACGACGTGATTAACAATGAGGACAACGCAGCAGACGCCCGAGGACGACATGCGTTCATGCTGCGCGACACTCGCAACTCGCAAGACGTGCGCTTTGCACCAAGCGGGGCTTAATCTCTCACTCAATGTCTTCTGGGAGTTCGACGGACTGGAGCAGGTGGTCCGTGCAATAGCGGTCACTGCCATAGCCAATATTTTTCAGGTCACCGAATCAGACAGATCCGGCTGAAATTAGGCCTCACTTTACGAAAACCTCCCGTGGTGTTAACCATTCGCAGCACGCGCTCTCGCAAACACACGCACACGGCATTCGGTGGACAACACAGCGCAATGTCTGCACGCTGTGTAGAAAAGCACGCCGATGGCTGTACGGATGTGGCGAATCACAAGGGTCAAAGTTCGAGTCGAGGTAAAACAAGCAATGGGCGGAACTCATCCACACGGACAGGCATGGGGGGGGGGGGCGAGTGGGCGTGAATTCCACATTCCAATGGCAGGAGTCGGCGTCCCTACAATGACAAGGCAAGCCCGTTGCGGAGGGCGATGGTGAATGGACGCTAACCGCTAACACGTCACGTGAGACGGGAGATCCCCGTCCGTTTCCCCGGTGCAACCACACCGTTGTCGGCGGTGTTGAGGCGGTGGGAAGAGGGGTGGGGGCGGGCCGCCACGTCCCAACGGGAGCCCCTCGTCAGCGCCATCCAACCGAGAGGACGCACACGACCCGCGCCCGTCCCTCACGGCGCTGTGAATCGCCGCTCCCCCCCCCCTCTCCGGTACCTGAGGACTTGGAGGAGCGAGCGGAGGAGGAGGCGTAGGAGGCGGCGCTGACGCCGCCGTTCTGCTGGCTGTTCTCCTGGAGGTCGCAGGGCGCGAACACGGGCTTGGGCTTGAACTCTCGCCTCGGCCGATCCGACGTCTCGCTTATCCTGCGCCACGGGTCGCCGCCGGCACGCACCGGGGGGGGGGAGGGGGTCACACGGCGCCCGCAACCACCACGAGGGCACTTCGAGGGTTAAGCCGTGCGAGAGAGACGTCGAGTTGCGGAAAATGAGAATGGCGAAGTGGAAGTCGAGTTAGGCCGTTCTCAAGAGTCCTTCACAGTTGAGACGAACTCCCAAATGTGGAAGTTAACGAAGCGCTGTTTGTTAACCCATTCCCGTTCCGATGACGTACTTCTAGGTCGTCGGTTTTTCTTCCTCGTTCCGTTCCGACGACTTAAGTGTAAACCGTCAAAACGAAACCGGAAGAAAAACTAAAAGAAAATAACTTTATCGGGTACAGAGGCTCCCACAAGGCCGTGCGGGAGGGCGCGTGGCACAGTTTGGCGTCAGCTATCGTAGAGTACGCTCGTGTCGCTACGGTTCTCTGCGTTGAGTACAACGTCTTTAAAAACAATGGCGCTACTACGCCTGTCGAAAAAAAATTCACGTTGAGCCGCTTGCAGGCATCTCGGAACGAGGAAGGGTTGAGTGAATTAAGTTTCTCGGCGATTCCCCTGCTAGGCACGTTCGTCCCCACGGTGTTGTGACGCCTTCGTGCGCGGAGCGTAGGATTCCCGAGGACCGGACGTCGCATTCACATCCTCGTCGCTTTGCAGCGAGACGCGGTGTCCCTGAAGCAGTGGCGGGCGGTAGCCTCTCAACTGCGGCTCTGCAACCGACGGATCATCGATACGGCCACCCGAGTTCGATTCCTGGTCACGGCTACCATCAGTGGCGAGCGGTGTCTGAACTGCTCCTGCCATACGTATGCATGCGTGCATGTTGAACATCTTTCGCACCGTACGTAACCAAACCGTGTTAATCGACCTCTTCGCCAACGCGCACTGACCTCTGTGGTCGCCTCGTGCCATTCGAAAGGTGCCAACACCAAATGGACGCGTGGTTTGGTTTAAAGGGGCAGCAGGGGGGCGGGGGAGGAGGGAGGTAGGGGGTGGGGGGAGGAGGGATGTAGGGGGGTGGGGGGGGAGGAGGAATGTAGGGGGGTGGGGGGATGAAGGGGGTATAGGGGGTGGGGTGGTGGGGGGCTGGGAGAGTAGGGGGGGGGGGGGGCGTCACCGGCGCTGCAGCTTCTGGTGGAGCTGCACGAGGATGACGGCGGACTGCTGGTGGTACTCCAGCTGAGCCTCCACCAGCGCCGCCAGCTGGCTCACCTGCTCCACCTGCTCCACACACAAAAGACAAAGACCCCCCGTGTAGCCTTAACAGACTGCTGGGGCAAGTGTCGTTAAGCCAGCAGCACCTGCTAAGGCCGGCACGGCACACACGAGGCGGTGGGTGGCCAGCACCACGCCCGACCGCCTTTGTCTCCCCAGTGGCGATGTTTACACTCCGCACCAGGTACTCGTTTGAGGCTGAGTCGACCTAGGGGAGGCCCTGTACCGGTTCAGATAATCGTCACCGGTGTTGTCCGTGAGCGGGAATCGAACTCGGGTCGCCGGGTTCGTAGCGCAGTGCGCTAACCACTACGCTAGCGCTCGCCACACACGCACTCACACACACGCACGCCTAAACGCACACGCACGCACACACGCACGCACACACGCATGCGTGCACTGCGTTACGAACCTGGCAGAGCGTGAGCTGCATTCCCGCTCATGGAACAACATTGGTGATGAATATCTGAACCGGTTCTGGGCCTCCCCTAGGTCGACTTAGCCTAGTATGTAAATAACGGCCCTCGGGAGACAAAAGCAGACAGGGGTGGTGCCAGCCACACCAAGCCGACCGTGCGACGTCGCAGCCTTCACAGCTGCTCACCATCAGCAGTTTCCACAACAGCCTTCGTCGCCTGTACGGGGGACCTTTGTCTTTGTCTGCGTAGGGGGCAGGGTCTGAGATCTCCGTTGAAGAGTGCGGTCGTCATTCAGGATGAGTCTGTCTGCGAGTCAGATTGTCGTGTCTGTGTTAATGTACTTGTGTTACCAGTGGGGAGCGGTAGTGTAGTGGTTAGCGCGCTGCACTACGAACCTGGCGACCCGGGTTCGATTCCCGCTCACGGCAAACACCAGTGACGATTATCTGAACTGGTCCCGGGCCTCCCCTAGGTCGACTCAGCCTCAAATGAGTACCTGGTGTGGTGTGTAAACATCGCCGCTAGGGAGACAAAGGCGGTCGGGCGTGGTGCTGGCCACCCACCCCCTCGTGTACCGTTCTGGCCTTCATAGGTGCTCGCTAACAGCACTTGCCCCTACAGTCTGTGAAGGCTATACGGGGGATCTTTGATCTTTGTGTTACCCGTAGCCCTCCGCCACCCGGCAGAACCCAATCAAATCCGGTTGTCACGTCCTGGGCAGATACGCCAACCGAGATTGAGCTCGTCAGCGAAACACCGGAGCGATGTTGAAGGTCAAAGCAAGAGTTGGACACGTTTTTTTTCCCCCGCGACGTTTCAACTGGAGGTCGCACACCCACGGCATCGTCCTGTCTGACGGCAGCTCGACCACGCCGCGTCTCTTCCTCGTAAGCTCCGAGGATGCCACGGACGCACGTGCGGCTGTGACGGCGCTCAGAGACCGGGGGACAAAAATAAAATTTGGCGTGAAACTCGTAGAGCACACGGCTGGCGCGACGAAGTGGGCATCTCGAGGGGCTGCACTTGCAGGAGAAAGTAGGTCATCCTCAAACGTGTTCCAGAGATCCAGCTCTGCAGGGGGGCGACTCCCCCTGGGGCAGGACGGAGAGTCCGGAGTGCGAAGTGGCATTGATCGCACTTGACAAACGTGATGATGGCCGCTGCTGCTGCTGAAGGGAAAGCAACATTCGAATTCATCTTTGATGGAGGAAAAAAAATGTTATTGAATTATAAGAAACGTTGACGGGTGGCACTCTTCACAGACTGTGGTCGTTGCTGTAAATAATGAACATTCCACATTACTGTGGCAGGGATCAGTCCATCCATTGCATGATCATGGTTGGCTACAGAAAAAAAAACCCCCCATCATTTTATTGACTCAAAAGGCTACGAGGGATTGGTTTGGACTCCCATCAAGGATTTTACATTAAGCATTTTCGATTGCAAATTTAAATAAAAAAAAATCAAAGAGATTCCTTGCCCAAATCAGCATCTAGCTGGCACTCATCTCGTGTTTGAAGCCCTGAGCCAGTGATGGAAATTCCACGATCCCATGGCAGGGACGAGGCTTTACATAGAACAACCGCTCGCTGTACCGCCGTGCAACCCGGCCGGATAAACGACTGCAGTCGTTGGCATTTCCAACAGCACCGCTCAGCGGCCAGATCGTTTACGACTCACGAATGGGACAGTGGCCATCAATACGGCTTTGAGAATTGCCTTTTGTGTTTAGTTTGTTGTCCTTCCCCCCGCACCTCCGATTCGCATGGTTGGCTACGTACGGTGCAAAAGAAGATTTCAACATACACACGTACATGATGAGACTATCCCCTGCCACGGTAATGTGGAATTTCGCCCAGAGACTACCAAATGAGAGGTGTGCTGATCGCCCCCCCCACCCCCCTCCAACTGCGCGCACGAGCAGAGAGAGACTCGCGCGACTTTGATCGCGGTGACGGCGTGAGCGGTCGTTTGTTGTTGTTGTTGTTTTTTCCACGGTGGATTTTTCCACTTCGGCTACGGCATCGGAGCTGCGGCACAGGGGACGCACCGGACCTCGCGCTGGCCGGAACGTCGTGTAATGGACGTGCGGAGCAGAGGCGGTCAGAACTTCACACGCACATGGCCGAGACAGAGCCACGAAGCCCGTGACGGGGATAACTTCACGATGGACGGTAGAGGGTCGGTTGGTCATTCGTTTCAGAGAAGCCAACTGCACACGATTAAACCAGATCCGCACAAGTGCAGCGAGTTAACGGGCTCAACCCAGCCGCTATTTTGTTTGCGTGTTTTCACGACATAACAGACCCTTCCCTGTTATTTTGCAAACTAGATTATATATTATAATTTGGATTGACGCAGCATATGAATAAAATACGATGTGGATATTCACTGAATAGTCCGGCTTTCCAGTTTGTCTTTTTGAAAATTGCAGAGATCAGACGGTGCCGCGTGGCTGAGAGGTCGAAAATTGCAGAGATCAGACGGTGCCGCGTGGCTGAGAGGTCGAAAATTGCAGAGATTAGACGGCGCCGCGTGGCTGAGAGGTCGAAAATTGCGGAGATTAGACGGCGCCGCGTGGCTGAGAGGTCGAAAATTGCGGAGATTAGACGGCGCCGCGTGGCTGAGAGGTCGAAAATTGCAGAGATCAGACGGTGCCGCGTGGCTGAGAGGTCGAAAATTGCAGAGATTAAACGGCGCCGCGTGGCTGAGAGGTCGAAAATTGCAGAGATTAGACGGCGCCGCGTGGCTGAGAGGTCGAAAATTGCAGAGATCAGACGGTGCCGCGTGGCTGAGAGGTCGAAAATTGCAGAGATTAGACGGCGCCGCGTGGCTGAGAGGTCGAAAATTGCGGAGATTAGACGGCGCCGCGTGGCTGAGAGGTCGAAAATTGCAGAGATCAGACGGTGCTGCGTGGCTGAGAGGTCGAAAATTGCAGAGATTAGACGGCGCCGCGTGGCTGAGAGGTCGAAAATTGCGGAGATTATACGGTGCTGCGTGGCTGAGAGGTCGAAAATTGCGGAGATTAGACGGCGCCGCGTGGCTGAGAGGTCGAAAATTGCAGAGATTAGACGGTGCTGCGTGGCTGAGAGGTCGAAAATTGCGGAGATTAGACGGTGCTGCGTGGCTGAGAGGTCGAAAATTGCGGAGATTAGACGGCGCCGCGTGGCTGAGAGGTCGAAAATTGCAGAGATTAGACGGTGCTGCGTGGCTGAGAGGTCGAAAATTGCGGAGATTAGACGGTGCTGCGTGGCTGAGAGGTCGAAAATTGCAGAGATTAGACGGCGCTGCGTGGCTGAGAGGTCGAAAATTAGACGGCGCGTTAGAGCGATTAGACGGCGCCGCGTGGCTGAGAGGTCGAAAATTGCGGAGATTAGACGGCGCCGCGTGGCTGAGAGGTCGAAAATTGCGGAGATTAGACGGCGCCGCGTGGCTGAGAGGTCGAAAATTGCAGAGATTAGACGGCGCCGCGTGGCTGAGAGGTCGAAAATTGCGGAGATTAGACGGTGCTGCGTGGCTGAGAGGTCGAAAATTGCAGAGATTAGACGGCGCCGCGTGGCTGAGAGGTCGAAAATTGCGGAGATTAGACGGCGCCGCGTGGCTGAGAGGTCGAAAATTGCAGAGATTAGACGGCGCCGCGTGGCTGAGAGGTCGAAAATTGCGGAGATTAGACGGTGCTGCGTGGCTGAGAGGTCGAAAATTGCGGAGATTAAACGGCGCCGCGTGGCTGAGAGGTCGAAAATTGCAGAGATTAGACGGCGCTGCGTGGCTGAGAGGTCGAAAATTGCAGAGATCAGACGGTGCCGCGTGGCTGAGAGGTCGAAAATTGCAGAGATTAAACGGCGCCGCGTAGCTGAGAGGTCGAAAATTGCAGAGATTAGACGGCGCTGCGTGGCTGAGAGGTCGAAAATTGCAGAGATCAGACGGTGCCGCGTGGCTGAGAGGTCGAAAATTGCAGAGATTAAACGGCGCCGCGTGGCTGAGAGGTCGAAAATTGCAGAGATCAGACGGTGCTGCGTGGCTGAGAGGTCGAAAATTGCAGAGATTAGACGGCGCCGCGTGGCTGAGAGGTCGAAAATTGCAGAGATTAGACGGCGCCGCGTGGCTGAGAGGTCGAAAATTGCAGAGATCAGACGGTGCCGCGTGGCTGAGAGGTCGAAAATTGCGGAGATTAGACGGTGCTGCGTGGCTGAGAGGTCGAAAATTGCGGAGATTAGACGGCGCCGCGTGGCTGAGAGGTCGAAAATTGCAGAGATCAGACGGTGCCGCGGGGCTGAGAGGTCGAAAATTGCGGAGATTAGACGGCGCCGCGTGGCTGAGAGGTCGAAAATTGCAGAGATCAGACGGTGCCGCGTGGCTGAGAGGTCGAAAATTGCAGAGATTAGACGGCGCCGCGTGGCTGAGAGGTCGAAAATTGCAGAGATTAGACGGCGCCGCGTGGCTGAGAGGTCGAAAATTGCAGAGATCAGACGGTGCCGCGTGGCTGAGGTCGAAAATTGCAGAGATTAGACGGCGCCGCGTGGCTGAGAGGTCGAAAATTGCGGAGATTAGACGGCGCCGCGTGGCTATGAGGTCGAAAATTGCAGAGATCAGACGGTGCCGCGTGGCTGAGAGGTCGAAAATTGCAGAGATTAGACGGCGCCGCGTGGCTGAGAGGTCGAAAATTGCAGAGATTAGACGGTGCTGCGTGGCTGAGAGGTCGAAAATTGCGGAGATTAGACGGCGCCGCGTGGCTGAGAGGTCGAAAATTGCAGAGATCAGACGGTGCCGCGTGGCTGAGAGGTCGAAAATTGCAGAGATTAGACGGCGCCGCGTGGCTGAGAGGTCGAAAATTGCGGAGATTAGACGGCGCCGCGTGGCTGAGAGGTCGAAAATTGCAGAGATCAGACGGTGCCGCGTGGCTGAGAGGTCGAAAATTGCAGAGATTAGACGGCGCCGCGTGGCTGAGAGGTCGAAAATTGCAGAGATTAGACGGCGCCGCGTGGCTGAGAGGTCGAAAATTGCGGAGATTAGACGGCGCCGCGTGGCTGAGAGGTCGAAAATTGCAGAGATCAGACGGTGCCGCGTGGCTGAGAGGTCGAAAATTGCAGAGATTAGACGGTGCCGCGTGGCTGAGAGGTCGAAAATTGCGGAGATTAGACGGTGCTGCGTGGCTGAGAGGTCGAAAATTGCGGAGATTAAACGGCGCCGCGTGGCTGAGAGGTCGAAAATTGCAGAGATTAGACGGCGCTGCGTGGCTGAGAGGTCGAAAATTGCAGAGATCAGACGGTGCCGCGTGGCTGAGAGGTCGAAAATTGCAGAGATTAAACGGCGCCGCGTGGCTGAGAGGTCGAAAATTGCAGAGATTAGACGGCGCCGCGTGGCTGAGAGGTCGAAAATTGCAGAGATTAGACGGCGCCGCGTGGCTGAGAGGTCGAAAATTGCAGAGATCAGACGGTGCTGCGTGGCTGAGAGGTCGAAAATTGCAGAGATCAGACGGTGCCGCGTGGCTGAGAGGTCGAAAATTGCAGAGATTAAACGGCGCCGCGTGGCTGAGAGGTCGAAAATTGCAGAGATTAGACGGTGCTGCGTGGCTGAGAGGTCGAAAATTGCAGAGATTAAACGGCGCCGCGTGGCTGAGAGGTCGAAAATTGCAGAGATCAGACGGCGCCGCGTGGCTGAGAGGTCGAAAATTGCAGAGATCAGACGGTGCCGCGTGGCTGAGAGGTCGAAAATTGCGGAGATTAGACGGCGCCGCGTGGCTGAGAGGTCGAAAATTGCAGAGATCAGACGGCGCCGCGTGGCTGAGAGGTCGAAAATTGCAGAGATCAGACGGTGCCGCGTGGCTGAGAGGTCGAAAATTGCGGAGATTAGACGGCGCCGCGTGGCTGAGAGGTCGAAAATTGCAGAGATCAGACGGCGCCGCGTGGCTGAGAGGTAGAAAATTGCGGAGATTAGACGGCGCCGCGTGGCTGAGAGGTCGAAAATTGCAGAGATTAAACGGCGCCGCGTGGCTGAGAGGTCGAAAATTGCAGAGATTAGACGGCGCCGCGTGGCTGAGAGGTCGAAAATTGCAGAGATTAGACGGCGCCGCGTGGCTGAGAGGTCGAAAATTGCAGAGATCAGACGGTGCTGCGTGGCTGAGAGGTCGAAAATTGCAGAGATTAGACGGCGCCGCGTGGCTGAGAGGTCGAAAATTCCAGAGATCAGACGGTGACGCGTGGCTGAGAGGTCGAAAATTGCAGAGATTAAACGGCGCCGCGTGGCTGAGAGGTCGAAAATTGCGGAGATTAGACGGTGCCGCGTGGCTGAGAGGTCGAAAATTGCAGAGATCAGACGGTGACGCGTGGCTGAGAGGTCGAAAATTGCAGAGATTAGACGGCGCCGCGTGGCTGAGAGGTCGAAAATTGCAGAGATTAAACGGCGCCGCGTGGCTGAGAGGTCGAAAATTGCAGAGATTAGACGGCGTCGCGTGGCTGAGAGGTCGAAAATTGCGGAGATTAGACGGCGCCGCGTGGCTGAGAGGTCGAAAATTGCAGAGATCAGACGGTGACGCGTGGCTGAGAGGTCGAAAATTGCAGAGATTAGACGGCGCCGCGTGGCTGAGAGGTCGAAAATTGCAGAGATCAGACGGTGACGCGTGGCTGAGAGGTCGAAAATTGCGGAGATTAGACGGCGCCGCGTGGCTGAGAGGTCGAAAATTGCAGAGATTAGACGGCGCCGCGTGGCTGAGAGGTCGAAAATTGCAGAGATCAGACGGTGACGCGTGGCTGAGAGGTCGAAAATTGCAGAGATTAAACGGCGCCGCGTGGCTGAGAGGTCGAAAATTGCAGAGATTAGACGGCGCCGCGTGGCTGAAAGGTCGAAAATTGCGGAGATTAGACGGCGCCGCGTGGCTGAGAGGTCGAAAATTGCAGAGATTAGACGGCGCCGCGTGGCTGAGAGGTCGAAAATTGCAGAGATCAGACGGTGCCGCGTGGCTGAGAGGTCGAAAATTGCAGAGATTAGACGGCGCCGCGTGGCTGATAGGTCGAAAATTGCGGAGATTAGACGGCGCTGCGTGGCTGAGAGGTCGGAGCGTTGAACCGGCCCCGCTGACCACAGGCTGCTCCCTGCGATTAAACCGGATTGCTTCTCAAGTGCGGCGGAGTTGATGCTCTCTGCCCAGCCATAAATAACTTCACGTAAAAAAATAACGCCACGTTAACTTTGGTTCAGCACACAATTTGGTTAAATTCCGGGTCTGCGAATTAAAATGCATTTATCCATGTGACTCAGCAGGGTGCATGGGAAACCGATTCCCCCTGCTGTAGGGACCAGGGATTATCTGAAGTGATCTCAAAAGTCATCATGGCTTGGCTTCGCGAACGAAAATCTAGGGAGGACATCCACGTCTTCTGCAGGCACGCTGGTGGCTGACGAGGCCCATGCGGGACAGGCAGGTCCTGCCACAACGGCTGCAAGTATAGGTCTGATCTGGGTCTGATCTCAAAAGTAGTTCTAGGATATCCGCTTCCACGGGTCATTCTCTAACACTGCTCAAGCGAGAGACCCAAATTAATACTTGGTATCATGACGCTGGGCACGTGGGATAACATTTGATGGGAAAAATACACAAATCAAAATCGAGCGTCTCGCATCTTCATGCAGAAACTCGGAGACGTCGCAACGAGGCGGCCAAGGAAGTTTCGTGTTCGGCCGTCGTTAAATGTTTACGTTGAAATATTTGACGTGAATATTTTACACGCCTCCATTCACCCAACAGTTTCGCAGCGGGGGGGGGGGGAGGGGGGTGGAAACACCCACAAGAGCCGTAAATTGTCATTTGGCGTAGGCCGGAATTGTCTCGCTTCGTACAAATTGGTTTCGTGTTCCTTCGTCAGGCCCCATCTCTTCCCCGGGAAGATGGGAAGATTACCATAACACAACCATCTCACCGCCACTCCCGCCACTTACCTCAACCATCACCACCACCACCAGACCGTGCCTCGCCTCCCCCCGTGCCACATTAACCCGTCTCTACCTTGTTCCTCTCGTTCATCCGCGCGACCTTAATCGCTCACGGTGCACCTCTCCCTTCGTCATCATTCTTTGTCCTTCCAAAATGAAGTTGGATTCTCACTTAAAAATCGGAGCTCTATTGTTCCACCCTGTCGCCGACCGTATTTCCCATTGGGGGCGGCGATGTTTGGCCCAGCGATTTCGCGGTTGGAATCCGGCAGGCCGTTCTGGTTAACACAGCGGGGCGCATTAAGAGATCCCGTGACGCCATTGGAAAGGCGCGGGACCATTGCGTGCCGACATTACACACAAAGTTCTTGCCGCAAATGAACCACGGTAACCTGATGATCTCGTCAAACCGTCACGCGAACTCCGGTCATTCTCGCAGCGGCTTTTGGCGAGCCGTCGAACAAAGCCGGTCACCATGAAGGGCATATGGGAGGGCGTGTGGCACAATTTGGCGCCGGCTATGCTTGAGTGCGGTCGTGCCGCTACGGTTCTCTGCGGTGAGTACGATGTCTTGAAAATAACAGCGTTACGTCCTCTCTGAATAAAATGACCGCTGAACCGCTCGCGCGTTTCGAGATTCAGCGGTGAACAGGACGCACCCTGCAACTTACAGATGTCTCGGAAGGGGAAAGCGTTAAACTGCTACGCCGGGAGATCAATGCAGCGACCCCTGGATCATGTCCATCTGCTATGACGAAGGGCCACTGCCCAAGACATCACCTAGTACAGGCACACCCCGGTTGACATCCAAGATGCGTTCCTGAAAACCAGAACGTAAATTGAAAGTACTTAAATCGAAGATGGGATGTTGGATCGTAACGTGGTACAGAACCTACTCGTACTACTAGTAGTATTAATACTAGTAGTACCTACTACTAAAAGTAGTTGTACCTACTACTAATAGTAGTTGTACTATTACTAGGGATGGGATGGTGGAGCGTAGCGTGGTACAGAACCATTGGTGCGAAAAGTAAGTTTATATTATTGATAGATGCATTATTATTAATTGCTTTTCAGACGAAAAATAGTTTACACTTGTGTAAAAAATTGTTTCCATCAATACAGTGTGGGGGAAAAAAAATGAAGAGAGTAGACATGAGAAAGACCGCAGCCTGTCAGGGACACTCACGCTGGGAGGTACCATCTGGCGCATGAATGTTCGCTGTGGAATATAAAACTGTGTGGGGCCTAGCGGCGAAGTTCGTAACTCTCGAGTACATTACGGCAAGGCACACAGTTCGTAAACGGGATTGGGTATCAATAAGTTCGGGAGGTTACGGCGAAAGTCCGTCACGTGAGAGGGCGTAAATCGGGGTGTTGCTGTGTAGATATCGGGTTTTTTAATCTTTAAAGGCTCACACGGTGGTGTTACTGATGAATGTGCGGAGCTCTCCTGCACTGCAAGTCCGGTGTGCTCGCCATGACACCTCGGCGGTTGCTGCAGCATCTCCTCCGGTGGACCTTACGATCAAACAATCGTCCGAGCGTGCGGGGCGGGCGAGGACGCGCGGGGTGGGCGAGGACGCACGGGGTGGGCGAGGACGCACGGGGGCGTACGTACGTCGCTCTCCAAGAGGTTGAACATGCTGCTCTCGGCCACCTCCTTGGACTCCTCGAACTTCTCGGCCGACTGGCGGATGTCCTCCTCCAGGATCTTGCCCTGGCGCTTCTTCTTGTAGTCAAAGTCGAGGCGCCGCCCCTCCAGCTTCTTGAGGTGTTGCTGTAGCGGCGGCAGCAGCGGAGAGCCGAGAGAATCGCGACGGTCATTGGCGGTGGCATCACAAGGCCGCACGCAAGCCCCTGTGCCGTGGCTACGGCTGCCACGATGTTAATTCAATTTTCACAACGACGATTATCGCGGTATTGGCGTCTATCCATAGAACAAACCACGGTCGACTTCCCAACAAAGTGGTACTCGGTTTTATTGACCCTAGAGGGATGATTGGCCGAGTTAACCACCCGCCTCCATACCAACCTAGCAATTTTAATGCTCAACTGGTGGATATCAGAACCAGTCCTGGGGCCTCCTCCCCTCGGTTGACTCGGCCTTACAAATGAGTACCTGGTGCGGTGTGGAAACATTGCCACTCGGGAGACAAAGGCGGCTGGGCGCGGTGTTGGTCAGCCCAACCCCCTCGTGCGACCGTGCCGGCCTTCGTAGGGCGCTACTCGCCAAACGGCACTTGCCCCTCAGAGTCCGTTAAGGCCACTGCGCACGGGGAGGGGGGGGGGACCTTTGCCTTAGACTGCGCGAGCACCGTCGACGGACGACTCGCGGAGCCCGCGCTCACCCCGATCTCCCGGAGCTCCTTCTCCTGCAGGCCCTGCAGGGGGTCGATGAAGTTCTGCTTGACGCCGATGTCCAGGCCGTCCTTCACCTCCGCCATCTCCTTGTACGACTCGCCCACGTCCACAAGGGCCTGGCCTGGAGGCGGTCGGCGGAGGGGCGGAGGAGCGTGAGGGGTTGGTGGGTGGGTTAGGGGGGGAAGGAAAGTCCGCTCGCGATCGGCTCGAACTAAACCCGCGCGGTTGTCACACGATCCACGCGGCGTTTGGATTTACCCGCCCATCGTTCCGTCTCTTTCGTTCCATCCCCGAGTTCTCGCCGTGTTCAATCGGAGAACCGTGTCGGCTCGAACTAAACCCGCGCGGTTGTCACACGATCCACGCAATGTTTGGATTTACCCACCCATCGTTCCGTCTCTTTCGTTCCATCCCCGAGTTCTCGCCGTGCTCAATCGGAGACCCGTGTCAACCCTGGCCTGCTGCTGCACTTTGAATGCTGGCCACTGGGTGGGCTTTTGGGCCCCTGTGCACGCTGCTCGGCAACTGTGGTTTGTACGTCCATGCTATACATTTATTCAAGAGTGACTTGCTTAACAGTACTATCTTACTCCAGTATCCCTTCTTTGCAAGATTAATGTGACTTGCTGACCCGCCCCTACCGGACATCTGTGAGAAAGAGCTTCATAGCTCATTGGATTTACTCGAACTGCGAGATCGCTCGCACGCCAATTTTGCTCGCGCTGCGACGTCTGGCAGAGATAAGCGAGTCGGCGGGTTCAACCGCAGGGAAGAGAGAGAGACACGCTGCTCGATCATGTTTCCGGTTGTCTCGCACTTTGGTCCACAAGGTGGCAGCTTCTTAGGAACTGCATATTCAAATTGCCGCGTAAGCGACGTTGGTGTACAAATGACATTGCGACGTTGCCGTGCGAGCGACGTTGCCATGGGAGCGACGTTGCCGTGGGAGCGACGTTGTCGTGTGAGCGGCGTTGCCGTGGGAGCGACGTTGCCGTGGGAGCGACGTTGCCGTGCGAGCGGCGTTGCTGTGGGAGCAACGTTGCCGTGCGAGCGGCGTTGCCGTGGCAGCGGCGTTGCCGTGGCAGCGGCGTTGCCGTGGGAGCGACGTTGCCGTGCGAGCGGCGTTGCCGTGGGAGCGGCGTTGCCGTGAGAGCGGCGTTTTTGTGGGAGCAACGTTGCCGTGCGAGCGGCGTTGCCGTGGCAGCGGCGTTGCCGTGGCAGCGGCGTTGCCGTGGGAGCGACGTTGCCGTGTGAGAGCTCTACATCCCAACCGTCAAAACCTACAGTGATAGAGATACACGCAGCCACGCCACCATTGCAGCTGGGGAAGGCGAGAGATCGCCCCGGCTCGCGACGGGGACGTGCGACGGCGCGAGACGGCAGGGCCCCTACCGAAGTTGGACTCCTCGCCCAGGTCCTGTCCGTACTTCACCATGCACTCCCCGAGCGTGCCCTCCGGCTGCGGGTATCCCGTGGACTTGACCTGGCCGCGGATCTTGGACATGGTGTTCAGCATCCCGAGCTTGGCGCGCGACGCTGAGGCGAGAGAGAGAGAGCGATTGACCGGACGTGGAAAACAACTCGGCATCTCTGGCACTTTTTTTTTTGCCAGTATCAAAATGGTGAAGAAAAAGATAGCAGTAGGCTTCACCCTTTCTGCCAATAAAACGGCAGGTGCTAAGATGTGCAAACACCAAATAGATCCCTAATATTTCAAGGCATCAATTCCGCATTAACCACACGGTACTTGTGGCAAAAACAAGCAAACAAACATGCTCCGATTATAATTTGAGCATTGTCTTTGAATCTGATTGGTCTACACCAGAGGCAGCCTTCTTTACGGCCTTGCCTCTGCATCAGTGTTTAGACGACCAGAGAACTAACACCAAAAGGTCAAGTCAGAGCGAGGCAACAACAGCTGCCATTCGCCGCTAAGTGGCGTGACCACACCGTTCGTGCAGGCCAGGTGCACTTTGAGGTCACGTGAAGCGTCGAAGGCTCGCTGGCAGGTGGTCACGGGACAGACCCGATTAGCACGGTTGGCTACGTACGGTGTGAAAGAAGTTCAACGTAAATACACGATGGGTTGACCGACTAAGAAAGCTGGTAGATGCACCGACCGTGCTGCCCACTGTACCACCTGCAATGGGTTTAAGTCACCCAGTGCTCTGCCCATTGTGAACGGTGTTGTTGGAGGGCACCAGCCTCGATACGCACGCACACGTACGCACGCACACAAACACACGAGGAATGTGTTCAGGGGGCCTAGATGCGACATTTCTGGCGATCCGAATATATTTCAAATGTCACATCAGCCCAAAAGTATGCCATCTACAGAAACGGGCTCACTCACCAATGGGGAAGTGCCGGTGCCGCCGCATCGTTAATGAACATGTCGGCGTTGACTCACTCGCGTTAAATTTAAACCCCGTATTTATTGAGCGTGGCTTGTAATGTGCATTATTAAGGCCTCACGCGTTGGCTTTAATGGTACGCTGCTGCTGCGGCGCAGCCACGACCGACGAGAGGGAGATGCGAGGCGTTTTATTGCCACGTCGGGGAAACGTTCCCCGCTCGCTTCAACCGTCTGACTTGCGCACCCTTCACGAGCGGCGGGCGCAGGCGGTTAGCGCTGCGATGCGCTGCAAAGTCGGCGACAAGGGCTCGATTCCGCTCATGAACAATCATCGCGCGCTTTGAGATGCGCTTCTGCGGCCGTCTGGAATACGCCCTTCCTTCCGATGTTAGAAAGCCACTGGAGCTCTGGTACTTTTAAATAATCAAGATTGAAAAGTAATTTCTTTACAACTACTTGTTGCGTTTAGTTTATTGTCCTTCCCCCACACCTCTGATTAGCAAGGTGGGCTACGTACGGTGAAAAATAAATTCAACATACATATGTAACAGTGGCGAATATGTAATCCGGTCCTGGGCATCCCCTAGGTCGACTCAACCATAAATGAGTACCTGGTGCGGTGTGCAAACATCAGCACTGCGGAGACAAAGGCGGCCAGGCATGGTGCTGTCCACCCACCCTCTCGTGTGTCGTGCTGTGCTGGCCTTAATAGGTGCCCGCCAACAGCACTTATCCCAACAGTCGACTAAAGATGACATCTTTGTCGATTTGCAAATTGGACTGGCTCGTGTTTAATTCACTACATTTGTCGAGCGATTGGACCTGTCCTGTGGGATTTCTCAGTTCAGCTCCTGCACACAACGCATTTGTATCGCTCCTTGCACACAAGCAGCCACGTTCGTACACTTCAAGAATAGAGGTGGAAAGGTGACAGGTCAAAGTCGAGGTTATTTGTTGCTCGGACGAGCGTTGCGGTGGTGCGAAAGTCTCATTTACAGCGCTGAGCCGGTGGTGGTAATTGACATTCTTATGGCCGGGGCAAGTCTATCCATAGGACAAGCCGTACTCATCGGTAATAATAATAGGAATAAATGTGGAAAAGGGAAAGGTGCAGCCCTGCAATTACTCCCCGACGCCACTGTTGGCAGAAGGGGCTCCAAAGGAGCTCCGAGAGAGGCCGTCTCCTGGAGGGTTATTTTTGGCCTTCTCTTCCACGCTGGCCAGACGTGAGAATACCCACAACTTCACCCCACCGCACGCAACCTGCCGATCGACTCACCATGCTACGGCCGTTCATACCGCCCGGGTGGATAGAGGCGGCAGGAGATTTAAGAACCTCGCAGCAGCAGCGTCGTTTCAACTGCGGCGTCGTAAAGTGGACGCTGAACACACACACACACACTCTGGCCTCGACGACGATCGATCTTTCGCCAAACCGCACCGACCCAGTGCGGTGAAGTACGGTCAAATAACACTCCCCCGCTGTCCTCACGGGTGCACTGGGGAGCCCCTCACCCAGCATTGCGTTGACAGCACGGTCCGTGAAAAACATCGCACGCATACGCACTTTAGCAGGCCCGTTAGACACTTTGGACAGATGGTGATGGAATATTTGTTTGTCACTGGCTGCTCTTGCAGCGAATGGCGTCTACTTAAGGCCCGTTAACATGTTTGTGTACACACGTCATTGCCCGTTCGCTACCTGAGAGCTAATCGGCAGCCCGGACACCCTTTCAAACGAGATGTTCCATCGCAAGAGGGGATTGTCCGGGAAAATATTGTAATAAAACAAAATGTGTTGATTCATCCATCCATCTGCAGGCCCACCCAGCTGGATGCAGAGGGACCGATTTGACAACCCAGATGCCAGCCTTGCGGGTCGCATTGCACCTAGAAGATTTGCGTCCTTTTCCCGTGATATACACAACAAGAAAAAAAACTTCGTCAGGACGTGGCCTGGTGGCTCAGAGGTCAGAGGTCAGAGCGATGAGCAGCCTGAGTTCGACTCCAGGTTTCAGCCGCTGCCTACTGTGCCATTAAAGCAGCTTCTCGAGCGTAGCGCGTGGGTCGATGGCCTCTCATCCCGGTCACCAAGAAAAAATAAACACTTCACAACGAATTCGTTTTTATTATTATTAATTTGGCTAAATGTCCACCATGAGAATGAAAAACCAAGTGGCTCTGGCTTCCTTTTCTTAGGTCTTTCGGTAAAGTCACATAGATAGGATCTTGTATTATCAAAGAACCTATCTACGTGACTTTACCAAAAGACCGAAGAATATGAATTCCTGCAGTCACGAAAGCTTCAAGTCAAGATTTGGCTCTGGCTTGTCACACGCGACACCACATCGCCGCCGTGCGCAGCGCCGGTGGGGAAAGTGCCGCGATGATTGCAGGGCCACGCAGATTCCCTCCCCGGAGAAACTCGCAGGCGGACGTGGGATTTAAATCGTGGACCCCACACGGACGGAGGCCAAGGTGAACGAGACGCCTGCTGCTGCTGCTGCTGCTGCATGCTGGGTAATTCACAGTCCCCTTGCGTTGACGTTCCAAGCAGAAGGCCTCTAAGCACGCCAAGACATTCTTGACACTGAACTAATGTGCGAGTTATCACTGCACTCAAAAATTGCAGTTAAGATTATTGTTACGGTTAAGACAACTTTAAAACATTCTCGAGCACACCGGGGGATAGAAGGCATCAGAGAAGACATCACTTTGCTTTGACCTGCGTGTTTTCACTCTACGATCAGCAGCATCAGCAGTATAATAATCAGCAGCAGCATCAGCAGTATAATATAATAATCAGCAGCAGCATCAGCAGACTAGACGGACCTGTTGCCACACGAATCTGGCACAGTAATTACAAATGTAACCAGATGGAACAGTTTTCCCGTTCGGTTTAACCTGCATTTACACTTCAATTCTTTAGTCATCCACGTCGGCAGGTGTTGACAGAATGGCTGCGTTTTACCGCTCAAACTGCCACTAGCCGGGGATCCGGAAGCCTTCAATTTCGCACGAGGATAATTCGCGCTCGTTTGACGGACGCTGAAGGCTGCTTCCAAGGACGTGGGTGTCCAACCCCAGTAATTACGTTTCTTTACAAACGATGAAGCCCAATCCGGACAGCTCCCATTCATATTCAGATTCACGACTCGCACGCTGCTGTTGCATCGGTGCAACGGATCATTCGATACCCGGACACGGCACCCCCTTATTCCCCCTCGAAGACGCCGGCGGTGTAACCGTCAACGCCATCATCAGAACATCGCTGGCAGAACATGGCAATTTGTTGCGAGTACAGCCCACTGGTGTGTTGGAGATCAAAGCCATACGAGTACGACGTTTCGCCAGTAACGTCGTACTCAGATTGTAAATGCTGTGGCTTTGCTCTCCAACACACTGGTGTGTTGTACTCGTAATGAATTGGCATGCTCTGTTTACATGACAAACCTTACTAATTGGCTGTGTCGGGTGGTGGCGGGTTTAACGACACATCTCTATATTTATGCGATCCAACCCAAAAACACCCTGTATTATGAGCGTTACCAATGCCGTTATGCGGCTGTGTTGGCGGACGGCAGACAGATGGCTCAGTGTCGACACCAGAAACCCATTACCCTGGTGACATTCAATATTCGACAGAGATCATTAGGAGATGCATATTAACGCCATAAGCGGCAGAGGTAAATGAAGTCGCACAGAAGACACGGTGTCGCCAGTTATGCAGCGTAAATAATATGACGATACTTGCATTTATTTTGCGCCCACAACGTAACAAAACGTTGTCACAGAGCAGTTTAGTTTCTTTTTCGCCTCGGGGAACCCTAATTGCCGCTTGTCCCTGTGTGGAACAACGTTAAGTGGGCCATTAGTCTGCCCGTAGGAGGCCAAGATGATTGCTGCATGGAATCCCAACAAGTGTCATTTAATTCAAATTTTGGAACTTTGGGCCACGACTCCGGCACACACAACGGCCTCCTCTCTGTTCGAATGACGCCACGGGATCTTCAACGTCCACTGTGGAGCAGAGAGCACGCATTTATACGGCTAATACACCCGCAGTAATAACCAGGGGGCCTTCCCGGATCGAACCGCAGGTCACAGCTGGGCCATGTCACTGCCCAATTGGGAAGTTCTCTGTCGTTGGCACGCGCCCCCCCGGTGCAAATGCACCGCT